TAATTGCATTAAGGCGCGAGACAAAGATCTTCCCGATGTAACAGTAAAGAAAAATATAATCAAATTCAAAAGAACGGGAAGAGAGAACTTAGAATAGGGTTTACTCTCATGTGGACAGATCTTCATATGCGCAATTCGTGGAAATCGACGAACGGTGGAGCTACAGTCAGGCCAGCCTAATACGTCCAAGCACGCACTTCACAGCTAAATACCTCTACAGCCTGTTAAAAGTATGAAAAAACTGAGTTTGCTTCCAATTTCAGTGCTCTTCAATTTCCTTAGATTACATTTCATTTGTTTTCCATTCAATTAAATGTTGATTTTAATGAAATAATACCTGTAGGAGTGTGTACAGAGTTTCAAGTTTACACAGGCCAACAGGATTTAGTAGCAGGACTTACACTATATTTTCATACTCTTTTACGAACTGACAGAGTATATTGGTTGTGTGCAATGCCCCTCATGCTATTCCTTTGTTTTGCAGCTAGAAACCTAGGTATTCGCTCTTTTGGGGCGTGTTATAATGAAAATACTCTGTAATGTCTTGAGCTTTAGTTTGAGCTTTAGCCCCAAGATTTGACAGTTACTTTACTATAGACTCCTTTAAGGATTGGCCAAAAATTCTGCAGTTACTTTATTTGACCTCCTCAATTCATTTACCAAAAATAATATATTTAAGCTTCTAGAGATCGTGGTAAATCGAAAAAATAACGAGATCTTCCAATATTTTGGAGCTGGCAGTCTTTCAACAATGAACGAGTATTACGAAGTCGATAGTGCCCGACTGCCACAATCTTACTTGTTTACAGAAGCCTTGTGTCATGTCGAATTCAAATCCAAATTTTTTTTAGCCGAAATCCAGTTTTTTTATAACTTTCAGTTTTTGTGTTATTTGTATCTAGTCAGCGAAGCCTTTGCTATATTTCCCTTAGTTTGTATCCAAGCTCTTCATTTCCACAAATACTGGACTGAGCCATAATGAAACTTATTTTCATGCATTTGAAGTTCCAGGAAATGTCTCTTTTTGTTCATTTTCAAGCTTATGCTAACTCTCATGGCTTTTTGCTTAACTTTAACTTTGGCAAAGTTTTTACAATATTTCGACTTATTTTCCAAAATATTATCTTTTTCTATGGCTCAGGCAGTGTACATATATATATCGAACTAAGTTAGCAAATATTTAAAAGCCCTTACTATGCAGCTCGCCCCGCCGCAGACCAAAAAAAGCCAAATGCACAAAAAGAAGCAAAATAAAACAACCTAACTTGAACCGCAAACGGTTTTGTAAAACGAAACCCACAACCTAATGCAAGACAATGGAGACAGATGCAGAGATGCAACATAAGAAGAGGAGGTAGAAGAAGACAAAGAATCAGAAATGACAACGACAAAAAACACATAGCCATAGGTCAGGTCTGTGGGTCTACGGGGCAACCTTAATGCAGTGCGACTCGATTAACAAGTTCCCGTCACACCCCTCGAAACAGTGTTGTGTAACGCCCGTAGTGCGCAAAGCTGAACTTAATGAGAACGACGCGAATGGTAGAACAATTTGGAGTCATCAAAATTGTTAATTTAAATTGTGTTACTTAAGAGGCGACTAATTAGATAACATTGAAATGCTTAATTATAATTAACTATTTAGCCAATAGAATGGTATCAAATTATAGTAGAGAACTCCCCTCTTAACAGAGGTTGAAATAAATACTAATTGCTGAGACCTACACCTTAGATAATTAAACATCTTTTGTTAGTAAAAGCCAACTAATTTGGTGCTGCTGGGAAACTTAATTAGTATAACTAATAATTAATATTGCAACGTTTGATAAACACATTTTACTATTAATTAATGTTTCAACATTCAATTATATATTAATTATATTATATATTATATATTAATACATTTTACATATATTAAATAAAGAAACTCAATATATTTTCAGCATTTTCACACAGCTACGCACCACTGTGCCCTAGGCGTTACTTAAAAAAAAAGGTATTACTCGCATCTCCAATCGCTGTGTGACTTAACAGGCGCAGAAGGTCATGAAACAAAAGCCTTAACTTGTGCTAAGAGCTGCATTTAAAATGTGGCTGAAACTCAGACTGAGACTGAGACGATGTCTATTTGTCTATATACATATATACAATGAAATATATATAAATTTATTGCTATTGCTGTCGCGAGTGCAGAGTCAATCTATGCAAAATCGAAAACCTCAGGCGAAGGTTGCGACTCGGGCGCATTTGCCACATCATGTTGCAAGTTGCAAGTTGTTATTTTTTCCACTTATTTTTTAATTAGAGACAAGCAGCTAAGTCAGCCAATGCATTATGCATAATGCATTTAGCAGTTGCAACATAAATTGTTAATAATGGGCCTCAGGGCTTCTACGGAGAGAAAACATTTTGAATGCCAAATGAGTTAGGAGGGAGCTGGTATAAAATATCCACAGACCCAGCCCAAATCCAATGTTGACTTCCATGGAATGTCGTCGATTCGAGTCCCAGAACGCGTTTACCTATAAACCGGTTTACAATATATATATATATATATATATATATATATATATTTATGTACATATATAAACGTAGCATAAGATTAGGTAGCTTATGATTGTTTTTTGTTTTGTTTTGCGTTTAAGCATTTTGTAAGGTTTGGGTCGAAGTCTGTTGCGAGTCTCGAGCTCACACTCGGACCCAGACTCAGAGGTTCGAACTGCTCCGTAGATAACCGTAGCTAACGCTGCGCTTGCTCTCTGTGAGTCACGTTCTGCACTTTTTCGGGGCTCATTGTTTCCAGACGTGCCTCGACTGGTGTGTAGTTTTTCTTGTTCTCTGCTTTAGATTGGGTAACAATCAACATAGAGAATTATGAAAACAAAGAATCAACGACAAATTCGTATTGTAAATTATGAAATAACTGATAAAAGTTTGCTATACTTAAGATTAACATGAATCCCAGTTGAGAATCATAAACAATGTATCTATTGAAAAAGAAACATAAAAAATAACAGGAATTTTAGCCACATTACAATACAATTTTAATCAATGTCAGGACATTGAAAACATCATAATAAAGTTTATCAATCCAAAAATTTAATGGATGTGCAATAATATTGTATCTCGAAAAATAATTTTCCATAAAAAAACAAACCAAATTATGGCATTTAGTGTATACATAAATAATTGCCTTGCGCGAAAAGCAATTTAAGGCCCGCGGCGATTTCGACATGACGAAAAAAAAACGTGCTAAAAACAGCAGCCGAAATAACAAACCCAAATCTAAAGCACGGCGAAAAAAGTAGGTGTAATTAAATAAACAGCATTAAAAGCAACAACGCTAGTGGCACTGCGGCGAATAGAAGTAGCAAAAACAACAACAGCAAGCAAACGATGTTGAAAGTCGTTTTGCAAGTTTGAGCTGAGCTTCAAACTGGACAGCATACTAGAGCAAATAAGGGAGTGAGAGAGAAAGAGAGAGGCGACACTTGACGGCGACTGCGCTGCCTATAGAACACCCAGAGGTGAATTACCGAAACTAAATTTAAAACTCATAACTGGGCAATGTTTTGTCAAAGAGCGACAAAGAGATCGCTGACATCGCGGCTTGTGAAATAAAACAGAACTTACCAACAAAAAAATTATATATATATAATATATATATATATATATATATATATATATATATATTGTTATTCGGGCCGCCTCCAATTGGGAAATATAGTCAGCAACTATATTTACTTAAAGCACATCTGGAACTGCGTTGCCGCAAAACGGTCGTATTGGAATTTTTACTTATTAGTTATATGTATATATTTTTGTTTTCTTTATTTCACACTTTCTTTTCAATTAGCACAATTAAGTGACTGATTTTATTGGCTATCAATAGCTATACAATTTCCAATTAGTAAATAAATGGAATTTCACATACATGCCATTACATATTCATATACATATAGATCAATATATTTTTAGTGTGCACTTTGTTTTCGTTTTCGTTTCGTTTTCCACGCGCGCGCTTCCTGTCGCAGTTGTTGTTTAGGCCGAAAAATTTCAATTTATGAAACAGCTTGCTTATACATACAAAATTACACACTGGATGATTTCGTATTTGTTTATTAACAAATTTACTGCTGTTTAATTGTTGATTTTTAATTTTTTTCGAAACAGGAGTCGCGCCTAAGCAAACTGTTTGCGCAGCAACAGCGAACAGACAACCGCACCGTTCAACAGCCCACACTGGAATGCGCGGCGAAAACAAAAACGGCGTGAACGGCTGCTAAGAGAGCAGATGAAGTTGCGACGGCGACGGCGACGGCGACGGCGACGGCGACGGCGATGTCGGCGTCGGCGCTCAAAATTGTAGCAGTGAATGCAACCTGCGCATGTCCAGCGTGCATTAGGGTGTTATAGGTGGTCAATATGTTAATTAATAAACACTGAAGTGCTTTCAATATTAGTATTATATTGATGCCATAAATAAAACAATAAGAAAAAGTAAAATTGGTTTAACTCTTGACTGCTGCTTTTCGCTAAGCGCTGCAATAAATCACTGCAAACCAGTTTCATGCAGCGACGCCAACGTCGTTGTAAAAGACAGCGCAGCACCGACAGCGACAAAGAGCGCATGTCCAGCGGGCATTAGGGTGCTTCAAGTGCTGTAGTTTTTTTATTCAATTAATGCAGTTTTTAATGTTTAAGTATGAGTTTCTTTATACTATACTAAACTATGTTAAGCTGCGTTATTCAGCGACGCCAATGACGCTGTCAACACCAGCGCATCAATTGCAACGAGCAGGAAATCGCCCGCTATTCTTCGAAGGGCGTTACACAGTGATAAGCAACAGTATACGCCTCCAAATGATGTTTTACTTATTATTCGTACAATATTCCATTTATACACCCACTTTTTACAGCACAAATTGTTGCGTGCCAATAAATTACTCATTTTAAGAAATATTTCAATTATTTGAATTCAACATTTATTTTAGTGCAAGGCAACCACAGTGAAAGTTTTTTATATTTATCCCATTAAAAGTGAAAATATATTTAAAATAGCCATAGAGTGATCACGATTATGAGTAGAACTAATGCAATATGCCATGCTTCCAATCTATAATGCTCAACAGCGGTTTGTATCGCTTCAAGGGAGCTGTAAAAACAAATTTTCAATTAATATAGAGATTAAATACATATCAAATAAAGTATTGTAAAAATAAAATAAAATAAAAATAATATATGTAATAGTTATCTCAAAAATAAATTATAGATCGTTAAACTACACTAGAATATTTTTGGATATTAAATAAATATATTTATATATGATAATTTTAGGAGTTTGAACTGAAAATGGTAAATATACGCGTACTTTGTCTCTTTGTACATTTCCTTTCTATCCATCTGAAATATTACTCTATTCTCTTCTTACAATTTGCTTTAAAATTAAACAGAATTATTTTTCGGGTGTACTCAAGAAATTTTGATATAAATTACATTTTAAAGCAATACAAACTCTGTGCTATCAAAGCGGAATTTCGAAAAACTTATATTACTATTTTTATATTTTGAACATTTCATTTGTTTAATTTTGAATATTTTCATATAGTGAACTACGTTGTACTGCCATTTTCAAATTGAAAAATAATATATATTGGTCTTAGGTGATATCCGCCTGTCTGTCTGCCTGTCCTTCTAATAGTATGAACGCAACTGATTTCGTAGCCATTGAAACTTTAATTTTTTGGAATACGCCCACCAAAGGTTTGATGCATCAGGAATTACTATATTTATGGATTCTTGGACTTTGATGTATATAATCTTTTTGACAAATCCCGACTGATTTAACTAGAAACGGTATATACGTCTACTCATTGGGGACCTTTGCAAATCATATTGATTAAAAAGGTATAGTCGCCAAATTTAGCGGATGGATGACAATTATTATTTTCTAGTCTTATCGTGAGCACATATATAATATATATCTCTATGTATCACAAGCTTAAGTTATAAAACAAAAACATCTCTCTTTCCTGAAGTTATCCTAATATCTGTCCAAATTTCATGTATATATAAATATCCTTAATTATTTTCAGTTTTACTACTCTAAGAGCCTTTCCCTCTCTTATCATTATACTTATAAAGGGGAATTTCTTTTCCTCTATTTGTATTCATCCAGGCATATTTGCTAAGCTTATCTTTTATACAAATATATACCATTATCTTTTAACTATAAACTTACTCTTTTTTTGGGATGTATCGCATTTTGATCTTTTCTATAAGCTATAAATATATATATATTGTCACCCACCTATTAGAGCATAGCGCTGTTCCTTCTGCAGTGCCAGATAATCAACATTGGGTCCAGTCAGATGTTGCACAGTGCCGCCCAGTAGCTCGGGCACCCAGATCTCATCCAGCGCAGCAGGCTGCAGCTCCAGCAAGATACTTTCGTATAGGCGCTGCAGCTGCGCTGCCCGCTCATCCTCTGTGTGCAGCTGGAGGAGGGCTTTGCATGTGTCACGCACAAGAAGTTGCTGTTGTTGTTGGCCGAGCTTCGTGACTAGGTTGTGCAGCGCATCGATGAGCGCGATGTCTTCGAAGGGGTTGCCCGGCTTCAAGCTAAGCAACTTGCGTTCGTGTTTGCGTCGATTTTTGCTCGAGCGAAATGTTTTACTTAAAAAAACAAGACATAGAAAGTGAGTAGAAGAAAAAGAAAATTGGCAAAAAATATGCAGCCAAGTGATGCCTTACCCTGTGCCCCGCGAACTGCCACTATGCCGAGACGACTGGATGCTACTGGTGTCAGACAGCAGATCCACCTCATCAATATCTAACTCGTGGTCTCCGGCGCCATTGGCGGCTGCTGATGCCGTCGCCTGGCGTTTGCGTATATCCAGTAGACGCTGTTTGTACTCCAAGAATAGCAGTCGATCTGCGCCCAGTGAAGCCTCCAATTGTGCAACATATTCAATGAGCGAGGGCTTCACGCGCTTAGCTGAGAAATTCAGAAACGATAAAAGTAAATAAATCTTTGTAATTTGAGAAGATTGAGATAAGTATTTTAAGCAAGAGTTAAACTAACCCAATAGCTCAGCTGTGCCGTCCACATCCAGCAGTCCGGCCTCATAAATGGCACGCCCATAGAGATGACCTTTCAGTAGCAGCTCCAGTGGCGCTTCACTGTCCGGTGCGTCAAATCTCTTGAGCAGCTCATACGCATCCAAATGACGACCTTGTTGTTGTAGCGGTCCCACTAGCGAGATTGCCACCGGAGCTAGCGGTTCACCTGCACGCTGAGCTAGCAGCAGCACACGCTGCCAGTCGAGCGTGTGGCGAGCGCTGAGCAGTGCCTGCTGAAGCTGCCCGCCACGTTCATACAAAAGACTGGCCGCCTCTAGCTGGGCATTGGCACGCAAATGATCCCCATAAGCCACACAAATGCGACGATGGAAATCCGTTTGCGACTGATAAGCGATCAAGGCTTGACTGTAAAGATTGTGCTGTTTGATAAAGGTTAAGGCCAGTTCGTAATGTTCTGCACCGCAGGCAGCCAAATGATTGAGAGCCAGGTCGAAGCGCTTCAGATGCTCATCGATCTTGAACTTGCGATAATCCGGCTGCAACGACTTCAGCTCATTGAGATAGGGCAGAAACTCCTTGGGGTCCATTTGCGACTGCTGGGCAACAAAGAGGACAGTGCCAAAATTATATGTGCCCAGGGCAACATTGTATAATTCATTCACATCCACCAGATAAAGCAGATACTTGAGCAGTTGCTCACCCAACTGGGCATCCGTTTGCTTATGCTCCCAAATGTATTCCAGAGCCTTTGGCAATTGATTGGACTTAACATAAGCCGTTATAATGGGCAGACGAAAGCGTGCCTTCTGCTTTGGATCGTCAGTGTTGGTCATTTCTTTGATCAACAGCGCACATATCGTGGATACCTTCTGGTCGACTGTGTAATCGGGCGGATAGCTTTGCTTTACAGAGCCATAGTTACTTGCATACATGCCCAGCGTATAGTCCTCATTCTGCAGCTCGTTGATAAATAGACATATCCATTGGCTGTCCTCGATCTGGTCGAGAAAATCATTTATATTCTCCACAAATTTTGACATATTGTGATCGCAGATGATATTCATATTGATGCGATGTTTGCGCAGCATACACATTGGCCGATAATAATCACCGCAATTCAGCGAGTTCCCGATCAGGTCAAGAGCTAGAACACGTGGGCATATCACCTCCAGATTGCCGCGTGGCAACTGCATCACTAGTCGGGCGCCGCTCGCCGATGTCACCAGCTTAGCGCCGCGCTCAATGCTGCGTATAGCTACGCCGGATTTATCACTCAGTCGTACAAAATGCAATGTATTCAGCTGGGTATATATCAAATAGTTGTCGACGACGCAGAATGAAGTGACATCCTCATCAATCGTTTTGCCGTCAACCTGTAGCAGCTGCTCCGAGTGCAGCGTTATCAGTTCACCTGCAACAATTTAAGTTCCAATATAATTATAATCAACTAGACTCTACAGCTCAGTTTCTCTGAATTGATCGTCGTCCCAAAAGATTTGATATTATCTCTGGTATATTCATGTGTCGCGATGGACAGTCCGCAAAAGCTCCGTCGTCAGTAATTCAATCAATCAAAAAGTTTTTTTTCGACTTACCACCTGGCGTAGAAGGAGTTGTGTAAAATATCATGTGATTTACTGAATGTGATAGCTGCAAATAGCTGCGCAATACCTTCAGCTCACTATTCGGTGTCAAGATCAGCTCGTAAATGTGATTATTGTTGAGGGTCTGGATATAGAAACGATCCTTGCAGCCATTAGGCACTGTTAGCGCATTGACTGTGCCAGCAATGCTTAAGGATGTTTTCACCTTTTCCTTGAGGAGCATAAGGATGTGTGTCCGGTTACCCACACTATTTGTGGCCAGCAAAAATTCATTGGCAAAACAGCTTAAATTGGCCAATTGGATTTGCGCTAAGTCCGGAGAGAGCTGACAACTAAATCGCATGCTATCATCTTTTGGTAGATATGAGTGTATTTTATGATCGCTTGTATAAATATAGATGTCATTTTCGGATATGCTCACGGCATTTATGTAGCTATGCATTTCGACGACACGCCAGGACATGGGTGGCGGTATCACAGCTGCCGAGAATCTGGTCAATAGCAGACGCTTGCCATCGATAACATAAACAATATCTGTGCTTGGCTGGCAATCGATGCCATACCGAAAGCGATGAGTATAACGTTTTCCACTCGCAAGCAGAACGTGCAGCATGTGCTCTGCACCAAGGCGATTGTCCCAATAGAATAGAGAAAGTGGATCCTGTTGCTCCTTAAAGACCAGTACTTGCTTAAGATACCAATGATAGTTTCCAATCGTGTAGAGATAAATACTCTGCGAGTCTGCCGTCACAGTGTGCAGCGCAAGGATGTCTGAATCGTTGCTCCAACTTAACTGCATGATAGGCTCCACATGCAAATCGAAGGGCAACTCAAATTCACGATGACGCAATCCATTCTTTTCGAATAGCGCCACAGTCGATTTGTTGGACATGATTTGTGGCTGGGCAATCCAATTGCCGCTCGGCCTCCACGCAATCGGCGTTTGCAAGCCATTCCATTTCTCTGCCGTGTACTGAAGCTTGCCTTCACAGTCGTAGACACTAAAGGTACGACCCACGTTGGCTGCCACATAGGAGACGGCAAAATAGGCGCCATCACCTCGCCAAGCAACCTGTACATCCTGTTTGGTAAATAAAAAATAATTATATTAATAATTATATGCATATGCATGCCTCTTTGACACTTACCTGTGGCAGCTTCTGTACATCTAATGGAGCTACGAACTCAGCTGACTGCTTGGCCGCTTGTTTGCCAGCCGAGCCATGGAACTGTGTCTCCTTTTTGCCCCAGCCCACGTTCACGAACTGCTGATCGTCAGCGAGCCCCGTATCTAGCGGCTGTTCACCCAGCACGTCATATGTACAAGTCATTACCACCACATTCTTTGTCTTAGTTGTAAAGACCACTACCTCCTGGTTGGGTGACCAGGCCATACACTCAATTCCCACATCACAGTAAGTTCCCTCACTCTGAGACAAAGAATCAGGATTGATGATCAGCACCTCGCCGGCACCCGTGGCTACGCATATTGCATTATCCAGCTGTAAGTACTCTGCGCCAACTATGTTTGGCAGTTCGGCAACAAGTTTGGGCGGTTGAACATTACTGACATCGTTACCAACGGCAAATATTTCACTGTCAGTAACTATATACGTGATTTCATGGCCACTTCGTTCGATATCCGGCTGGAGCAAGAGTTGCTTGCCACCTGGAATGCCAGTTGTCTGCTCCTTACAATATTGTAACTTCAGATTGCGCATTTTTCTTTTGTTTAATTATTATCATACTATGACAACAACGTGCGCAATGTGAAATACCGAATAAGATACACATTTATCGAATGCACATATCGATATATATCGATATATAGTCATATCGAGCAATCAAAAAATTAATATTAAACATCGTTCCCTTGCGGCTAGATATTAATTTTTATTTATAAATACCGCAAATACAGAGATAAAGATAATTAAAATATGCGTATAAAAAAAAACAATTTAGAGTTTTCGAAACTATGTTTATATACATGTAATAGCACTTTTAGAAATTTGAATTCAAATCTTGGCGGAAAATTATTGTTTCACATTGGTACCGTCAAATGTCATTTATTGTAAGTTGTTAAAAAAAATCAGTAAAAAATCTAAGGATAAACAAAACCTTAATTTTCCGCACATTTTGACATTTTTACTTACGGTAATTAACTTAACATTTACCGAATTCTTTAACCGATGACAAGGTTTCGATAAATTAAGTTTATTTACAATGAACCAAATTATCGGACTTGGGATCTAGTTCGTAGGTCAAGTTGAACAAGTCGTTTGATCGAACCTATCCCAATCGAATCGGCTCTGTTTTTTAGCTCCGCTTAGTTGTATAGCTTTAACTAGGTGTACGTTATATCAATATTTAATAATGGGTATCAAAGGTTGCGAAGTGCAGTTGGACAATCCATGGAATACTTACTATGCTGGGCAAACAGTCAACGGTCAGGTGAAAATCACCTTCGATTCGCCTAAAAAAGTGCGAGGTAAGAGCTTTTTAAAAAAAATTATATATATATATATTTATTTCAACACAAATATAATTGAGCCCGTATTACTCATAAAAGTGACGGCATGAAGTAATCAGCTAATAAAATTGAAACCATTACCTCGAATTCCATTCTGGATTTGAAAACAGTTGATTTTCTAGTTTCTCCTCTCGCTTGTCAAAAGCCGGTCCCGTTAGTCATATGTTATTACAAATGTACATATGGGTGGACCTTGTTTTCTCTAGGATTTAAATTAAAGTCAATATCCAAATAATAATAATATATAGATGTCTTTGGGCGTGTTCGTGAAATTACAATAATAAAAAACAAATTATACTAAAATTTAGAAATGTATCTAGACTTTAATTAAGGTCAACCCATTTGTACGCAATAGTGTGGAATGATGCTGTCCGCGATGATGTCATCGGTTTGGTAGTCGAGACTCGCAGAGCTGAGCATTCGTCGCAGTAGTCTGTTATTTATAGCATATGCTATACACGCAGACTAGTTGCGAGGTGTGGTGCGACAATAAATTGTTTTCTTTACAAACAGCAGGAAAATAAATGAACATTCTTAACCACTTGTTCATTTTCAGGCATTATCATACGATTCTTGGGCGAAGCCAATACGGAATGGACAGAGGAGCGTAACGTAACGACAAGCGAGGGCAAGACTGAGAACGAGATCACGAGCCTTAAGGGCCATGAGGAGTACTTTAAGATACAATACTACTTGCTCGGCGGCAAAAACAGTAAGATATGCACTAAAAACTACAATTCTAGTTAAAAATTTTCGTTTGATTGCAGGCTCCGAAATTGAGCTACCGGCTGGCACACATACGTATCCGTTTACGTGCGCCTTGCCTGCAAATTTGCCATCTTCGTTTGAGGGTGAATTTGGGCATGTACGATATACTATTAAGGTCACTTTGGATAGGCCATGGAAGTTTGACCAAGATATGAAAATGGCCTTCACTGTCATAGCGCCAGTTGACTTGAATCTCAATCCGCGTGTTAAGGAACAGTTTAAGCTGGAGCTAGAGAAATCATTCTGTTGCTTTTGCTGCCGCTCGGGCCCGCTGGCTGTGATCACAAGCATACCACAAACTGGTTATGTATCGGGTCAAATATTGCCCATTACCTGCGAGGTGGACAATACCAGCAATGTGAATCTCACGGCTGTTAAATTTGAGTTGCGCAAACTGGTCACGTTCCATACGAATCAGCCGCGCAGCGAGAAACGTGAGTCCAAGGTGGTAATTGCCCAACTGAGCGTTGGGCCCGTCAATGCCGGAGAATCTCATACGTTTTCACAGCAAATGGAAATACCTGCACTGCCGCCAACTAATTTACTCAATTGCGGCATCATTGCGCTCGACTATGATTTGCATGTTGAGTGTGATGTGAGTGGACCGCATCGTAATTTCACTGGCAAAATACCAATCACATTGGGCACTATTCCACTGGCTTCCAATAAGCCACAAGCTGAGGATCCGTCTCTGGCACCCACACAGCCGGTAAGTCCAGTGAGTCCACCCGGCGATGGTGTTGGCGGTGCTCTCGGCTGGAATGTAGCAGATAGTGCAGGCGGTGCACTCTACCCCAACATACGTAACTAAAAATATAACCGTACAACAAATAATATATTAAAACTAGTTTCTTTACTTTTTATAGCGCCACCACAGTTCGTAGAAACGGAATACCGAGCACCAAAGATAATCGGAAGGGATGATTCGGAGCACACACAAATCATTGGAGACAACACATTTGCTCCGCGGTATCCAACATTTCAATTTAAGAACGCAACAGCACCAGCAATAAGCCCCTAAGTCTTATCAGGAATTTACTCTAATTCAATGTGTTAATCTGTCTTCGATATTCTGTATATTTTTTTTACGTTTTTTCTTTTTTTTTGCATTTAAATGTAAGCTTTCCGTCCGAAAAGAAAGCATGGAATATTCGGAATTTCGAAATCTCAATTATATCGCTCAAATTTATACTGTATATTTGTATTTATATGAGCGAAATTCTAATCTTGCAAATGCTCGTGATAAGCAAAATTATATTCAATATACATATGTCAAAAATACACAACTATAATTTTTGTAACCAATAAAGTTGGATAAAGCTACTGTACATTTTTTATTGTATCTAAAAAGTTTTAATTTAAATTACAATAAATTGAACAAAGATTTGTAACAAATATCGAAATTGGCGCTAGAATTGAATGTATCTTACCAGGGGTGGAACAAACATGGGTGTTCGCTTACTTTTAAACTTATCGATGTCGTGCGAATATTTAGAAATCGCACTGCAGTTACATCGATATATCGCCAGTGCGCAGAAGAAGAAAACTGCGTACCGTAAATAACATTTCTGCTCGTTTTACAGCTTTGATTGTAAACAGCTGTGTGAGAACGGATTGGTATTGAATAAAAAATAATAATAAAATAATAAGGAGCGCCTAACAAAATGGATACTACCGAAGATGAGATTCCAATATCAGAAAATATCAGCATAAACGCTAACGAGCAAACCTGTCGCGTTTGCTTGGAATCTCACGAATCAACATTGAGTCTTTACGATGAAATTGAATTTAATGATCTAAATGTTGAGCTGTGGCAGATGCTAGAAAATGTATCGAATGTGAAGGTAACGACGGTTAATTGTACAATTTGTAATCATAGTAATATAATTCAAAAATTATTTGCAGTGCGATTTGCATGAACCAAGTCTCCCCTCACATCTATGCCAAGGATGTACGCGTCGCCTGATTAGTGCCTACGAGTTTATAGGAGAAGTAATAAAGTCCAATCAGACACTTCAGGAATTATATAGTGTTCAGGATTCAGATGAACCGGCTAAAGTTGCGGAAATTAGTGAGTTCACAGAATTGGAAAAGCAAGAAGACGAACTGATGCAATTGGAAGAATGTCAATCCGTCATTGAACTGCAAGATGAGGAACTGGCCCCTGATGATGCTTCATATAAAGAAGAGCCATATGACGAAACGGCATATGAGGAACAAACATATGAAGAACAGAAATATGAGGAGCCACCACATATGGAAGAGCCATCTGAAGAGCTGTGCAATAGTGAAATCGACCCCAGTGAGTTGGTCACAGAACTAGTACAAGACGAGTCTGATTCAGAGATTACTGATGGTGCGGGTCAATTCAAAAATCGTTCTTCACAGCTAGGAATGCGATTGGCGAATTCTCAAAACTTTATGTACAAATGTTCCAGCTGTCCACGTATTTTTGCCAAAAACAAATCGCTTGCACGCCACTTTGCAACAGCTCACAGCCAAGCGGCAGATGTAGCTGCCCAAGAATTGGCCAAAGAGCATAGCAGCAGTGGTGCTCTGATCTGTGAGCATTGTCCGCGCATATTCAAACGGCACGACACATTGCGTCGACATATGATTGCGTTTCATCCGGAGGTGGTCGCTGCCAGCGGTTGTTCGGAAGATGCTATAGTTGGCGCGCCACCAAAGCGTGCAGCAAAAAGACGCGAATGTCCTCATTGTGGCATAAGCTTTCCTGTTTCAAGTCTAACCATACATATACGTCGCCACACTGGGGAAAATCCATATAAGTGCGACGAGTGCGAAAAGGCTTTTCCACGCAGTCAGGACCTTAGTCTTCACAAGCGTCAGCACACCGGAGAGCGACCCAGCGAATGCAAAATATGTGCGAAGAAGTTCATCTCTCAAAACAAGCTGGCCCGGCATATGCGTCTGCACACTGGCCATCGACCGTACACTTGCGATAAATGCGAGAAAAGTTTTGTCCAATCTAACGACCTAAAGATCCATATGCGTAGACACACGGGCGAACGACCGTACGCGTGTAACGTTTGCGGTAAGAGCTTTGTTTGCGGTTCCCTTCTGAACATTCATCGTAATCAGAAGCGACACTACGAGACTGTAAGAGAGGGAGAAGAAATCTTTGAGCCTGATCCCTATGAAAATAGTCGTGTGAATAAGCGTCGTGCCGAGGACATTGAACGAATGCGATTGCAGCGCGAGACTGATACTCAGCCAACTATGCTGCAGCCCTACAACTGCGGTGTCTGTGGAGATACGTTCAAGAGCGGAGCACTACTCACAATTCATCGCAATAAAATGGCACACTATGAGATCGGCAAGGTGGACTACGGTGATCCCTACGAACAAAAATATAAGCAGCAGCAGCAACTCAGTGTTGTGCATTGTGAAGACTAGAATATTCAATATATATTCAAAAACAGCACTATAATTTTTTTTTATTGCTTAAGATCTGCTTTAAACCATTTTTGAATATTTAAACTTCTAATAACTAAACATGAACAAATTTTTTATGAACTGAAAATAAGGTTTGAATAAGAAAAAAACTAAGCTAGACTATACATATAAGAAAATAAAACTGCAAAGTAACAAATATATGTAAATGTTGATACTATTAATCAATTTTATATTAAACATACAACAATAAATATTTTCCATTGAACTCTGATTATTTGAATTTCATTTTCTGCGCACCTTGGACCCTGCTAAAGAAAACAGCTGTTATTTCTTCAGATGCGTAGCAACCTTTTTTTGTGGGGGCTTGAATCTGGCTCAGTTTGAGTTAAGCTTTGGTGTCAAGACATAAGTGCATACATACGTACGAATGAATAAGCAAAGAGTAGACTAAAATACGTATTGCACTCAACAATACCGATAAAAACTCAAAATATTGTCAATGAACTGAAGATTGTTACAAAAAGGAATGGAATTCAAATATATTTTCAGTTATAAAATTGACCATTTTAACATTTAAATATTATCGCTAAGATTTGAATTAACTTTCACATGTATACATACACATAAACATATTATAAATATATTCTTCTGTGTAAGCTCGTTTTTTTTGCATAAGTCCATACATATACATACATACATACATAAGTCAGACATAAATCGTCCCTGTCTACGTCACTGGCTTTTACAGCTATAAGGGGTTGGTTTGCGCTAACTTTGCTGTAGGGTTGCAATGCACTTGCACTTGCGTTAAAGAATAAAAAAGAGCATAAAACGAAAAGTTTTGTCGTCGTTAGCTTGTGCAAGTGTCATTGGTAAAATCAGTGACGTAATACGCAAAATATTTGCATACAAAACGAAAGCAAATACAATACATATCGGATAGCTCAAGCTGCTCAGTGTGTAAATGGTTTGCATAATATGCGCACAAGCTACATCAACTAAATGTAAGACAAAAATCAATAAGCATGTGTTTTCGTTGGCAAGATTAATGGTTACCCAATTATTACCACAACAGAAAAGCAATAAAACATAGTCAAGAAAATGGACGGGAACAAAGGTGATGCAGACAATTGCGAGCCGGATGTGGATGGCTCGCAATTTATGCTTCACGACTTACAGCTGGCAGCCGAGCTTGGCAAAACGCTGCTAGAGAGGAATAGAGAACTGGAAGTAATGCTGAAGGAGCACAAAACTCGCAATGAAGAACAACAGCGAGAAATCGTGCACTTGCGAAAGCAAATCAACGCAATGGCCGAAGTCAATGATACACGCTTAAAGGTGTACGAACAGCTAGAGGTGGGCATTCAAGACTTGGAGCGCAGTAATCATCGCTTGACCTTAGAAAAATCACGCGATAAAAAGCAAATTAAGTCACTGGGAGCCAACATTGAATCTCTGGAAGCACGCTGCGAAGAACTGAACCAGCAGTTGGAGGAGACCCGGCAACGATTAACCACTGAGCGGCGCAAAAACGAAAGGCAATTGCCCCAGGATCGATCTACTTCACAGACAAGTTCTGAACGGCCGTGCTTGCCCAAATTATGGATTGCCCATGATCGTGAAGTTGTCGACCCGAATGTGACACCAATAGACAACGGCCCATTTGCTGCAAATGCCAACTCGACGGGTGTCACCGAAATCTCGCAAGCTAGTGGATCGATGGCTTTCAGCGATATTGGTAGTTCAGAGGAGATTATAGAGGCAGCCGCCGCTGCTGCTGCCAGCAAGGGTGAAGACAATGAGGAACTGTTAAGTCTGATAACGGATATGGAATCAATAAGACGTGATTTTATGGCGGAAAAGCAACGTTGTTGCGAGCTAGAGGAGCAATTGGTTGCCATCATCCAAGAGAACCAAACACTTCAGAGCCGCATCGCTATCACCAGCACAAACGAAGAGATGATGTCCATGCAGGATGAGTTCTCTTTGTTAGATGACGTTAGGCAGGGACAAATGTGCAGCCGATGTTTGCGCGTCATGGAGGAGCAGGCATCAAACAACGACGGCCAGTCATCAGTAGCGCAGACCGAAGACGGACCCGAAGAGGACGAACGCAGCCTGATGGGCAGTGAGTTTAGCTTACAATTAGCTGGTAATAGTGCTGACATTTCAGCAAAGCTCAATGAAAACGAAATGCTCGAGTTGAAGAATGCTGGAAGTCCGAATCCATATCGCGACTTGGTCGAGAAATACGAAGCTTTGTTGGAGGTGCAACGAACATCGAATGCGCGTAATGGCAATTCAACCAATGGCGTTCAGGTCTCAAAGGAAGGTTCCAATGTTGTCGAATCCAATCTGGAGCAACCACAGAAGCTCAACGTGGTCGTCAGACAGGAAACATCTACTGCGACAGAAAATAATGCAAAGTCTGTGCGGGGTCGAACATCAACAGAGTTCTCCGAGGCAGAGACCTCATCATCTGGCTTTTCAGACGAGACTAGCAACAAGTATACTCAAACGGATGAACGACCAGGATACTTTTTGTGCTCAATAAGCAACGGCGAGGAATGTAAGCTAAGCATATATGACGACGTTACCCCCATCGACACACACTTCCAGAGTCGCCCCGAGTACCGAGAGTTGTTTAAGGAAATTTTTGGAGTGTTGAAAAAAGCCGCCGATAACAAGGACGATGGGGAGAAACTAAAATTCACGGAAGAAGATGGTGCCCAATCAAACAGTGCAACAGGGCCAACAGGCGATATGGCAGCTAAGGAAGAGTTCTCGGTTGATTTTGGCGATGATACACAAAGTATTATATCATCAGTGTTTTCGGATCACTCATTTGCCATGTCCGAGTGTGTCACTAAGCTGGAACGCAAAACGGCCAAGAAGCATATACATGAATGCAAAACTCAAGAGAACAGAAGCTCCACGTCCATCGCACAGCTGAGCGGCCCAAGCAAAATGGATGGCGTCAAAACCATTGAAGAGAATGGTCGCGTGTTGACTCCACTTAAGCGCGAGCCACTCGAGTATTTGGCAGTTGGTGTTGGTATTAAGAAGAGAAATCGTCGCAAGAATCGAAGTCTACATAACAATGGTGGCCGAGTCGAGTCACCGCTTGCACAACCCTCGCCTTTGGCACAGCCATGTCCGACACACAGTGCTCGGCGTACCCGCAAAGACTTTGTGCCAATCCCTCCAGAAATGTTTGTGACAGAACGTGTTGGCCGCCGGGGGCAACCAGATCGCTCCAGCACCGAATGGAATGGATCTCCAATGATAATCTATAACCGGAATATGAGCGCCTCTCGCAACAAGCGTACAGGTCGTGTGATCGAAGTGAACGGCGTTGAGTTCCATCCAAATACTGTATCCCAGGAGTTCCATAAGCTCAAACGGCTCGATCTCTCATACGCGGAGGTATTGCGCCGTGCCGATGCATGCGAGCACCAAAGTCAACCGCTGCGCGTACAGCGGATGCAACAGTCACGTTGGAACAACAAAAGTCAAAATATTCGCCGCTAAACCTAGACGTAGCAACTATCTATGCATATGTAGTGATCCGTATTTGTATTAACATTTAACTATTAATATGGATTTAACTTTTGCGAACTAGCTCCGATCTTGTCGGAGTGCCTAGTAGTTATATATGCATTGCCTGCGATAGTTTCTGGTATATAGCAATTTACAAGTTTTATTATGTTATTTTGTCCTTAACTATAAAGTGTTCAGTTTTGTAAAATCCTTATTTACTTTCTTTAAGTTGTTTTTAATGTGTAAATTGCCCAAGATTGTTTCTGTCTCGACTACTTATTCGACATCTTTAGCATTTTTCTAGCATTTTTACTCGATTGTATAATCCAGCCATATTTTCGACATACGAATAGTTCTACATGTATTTTATTAAACCAATATTTCTATATTCTTTCAACTATACAATTGTATTTACGACTATGTATCAAGTTCTTTAAGATATTAAATAAATAAGCATGTGTGCCAAGTCCAATACCTTTGAAATAACACGCAGCAAACAAATCTATTCGAAATATAAATTGATTCTCTTTACTATATAGTCGGATTGAAAACTAAGGAGCATGCCTGTCGGTCAGTTCAATACTTGGAGTTGAAGATATGCTGTAATAAGACTTTTATACTTACTACCAACTCAGCACAGATAAAAAATCTTAAGTATAACACCACTTTATTAGTTTATGTATATTTTCTAAGCTTGATTAAAGAATATTATCAGTAACAGAAGACTAAATTTGTATTAGATTCACTTGCGTTTCCGAATCTGATGTGAAGCGGAGGTGGAGACGGACGAATGGGAGTTGTGTGTGCTGCGTGAATTGGAGCGGGATCTAGTTCTCCTTCTATGTTTGCCATAACTCCTGCTGCTCTGGTGACTGCGACTGCTGTTGTGACGCGAATTGCGTCGATAGCTACCGCTGGCATTCTCCTCTGTCGACTGACTGGAATCTCGGCGCCTTCGCCGCTCACGGTTCTGTCTGCTATACTCAATTGCACGTCGTTCACGCTCACGATCACGATCACGGTCACGATCACGTATACGACCGTGATGATCACGACTGTCTCGACTACTGTGATGATCACGACTGTCTCGACTACTGTGATGATCACGACTTTCGCGGCTACTATGATGGCGATCGTAGTTGCGCGTGCTGCTGGTACTTGGACCCCTGCGATGGCTCTTACGACCGGAATCACTTTGCTGCTTGTGACTACTGCTGCCTCGGCTGTGATGGCGACTGCTCTTGCCGTGTTTCTTGACAGCAGCGCTGCTTCGAGTGCTGCTGTCTTCGCTGTTGCTGGAGGACTTTGAAGTGTTGGAGCTGGAATTGCTATCGCTACTAGAGCTACTACTGCTGCTGTCCTCGCTATTACTGGACGATGAAGATGACGATGACTGACGACGTTCACTTTTTGATTTTTTTGTTATGTTTACTTTGTCGAGTGCTTTATCCGCAGCGTTTAGTATGGTAGCCATAGTTTCAGGCATTTGCAACAAATTGGTGGCCGGATTTGGAACCGGCTTTAGTTTCTGGGGAGCAATGCTGGTCTGCACTGCCGGAACTGCAACCACTTGGCTGACAAAGCTCTGGACTTGTTTGCCATCTTTGTTGTCGCTAAAGCGCGTTGTTCGTTCTTTGCGACTGATGCGTTTTCCTATTCGATTAAAGATGATCGATATTTTAGCTGTGTATCTAGAATTACAAGGGTCAAACATACCATTATATTGTTGCATCCTGTCACTGGTTGAAGCATTCTTTGTTTCATGTCCTGCTTTATCAGGAGCTTCTGCTTGCCGATGTTCGTTGTGAGCAGACTGCCTGGCAGCTTCCGTTTGCTCCAATTCGCGCTTACGATGCTGTTGCAGCTTTCGCTCATCCAATTGCTCCTGCAGCAACACACGCTCCTCGATGTCATCAATGACTTTCTCGAAAGCACGCTTACTTTTTCGTATTCGCGTCTACAAATAAAATGATTTATATAGTAACCTTATAAAGCGTTTAACTGGAATATAATTGATCAAGTCTATACCTTTAACTCGTCCGCACTAAGGTCATTAGTATTGTCCACCGATGAATCACCACGATCTTTTTGACCGCCATCATTATCATCAGCATTGTCATCATCGCTTTCGCTTGAAGAATCGCCATAGACAGCTAATCCTATAATTCAAATCAATCAAGTGCTAATTGTTGCTGCAAGGCGTACATTGAAAAAGGCGCGGTCTTTTTGTTTTTCATTTTTTTTTGGGCAGTTTTAGTTTCTTTTTAGAAAAAATCGTTTAGCAGACAGATATGCAAAGAGAGATTGAGCAATACGAATACTGGGATGCAGAAAGCTACAATTAATGTGGTCTCGTCAAAAAAAATTGATTGAAAATCTTTATGTATTGAGTATGGTCAGTCTGGAGAGGGTTGGATAGATCAAACCGAATTCATATGCAAGATAAGAAAGTTAGTTAGCCAGTCCCGTTCACTGTGTACGAAATGTGGATATAATACTATGTGGGGGTTTAGGGTAAGCAAAACTCAGACTACCTATTAAACAAAAGTGTTCAAGAACTTAAGGGTAAACTGGAATTTGTTACTTACCCAGGTTGCCGGTAATGGAGGACAAGGCGCTTTTGCGAATCACTTGGGCTGATGACGCTTTTGATTTACATACACATAGGTATATTATATATATATATATATATATATATGTATACACATATAGATATATAACGATTATATAGAGAAATTCAGCATGTGATTGGATTGTTTTGTTACAAGTATAAACAGTGACATAAAATTAAAATTAATTACTCGAACTAAAAAAGAACGCTTGATTACGCCATGATAAAGACAACTTCCTCTCAGGGGGTGAATAATTCCAAATATTTCATCTCTGGTTTATTTCAAAATCAGGCTCAACTTACTGGAATTCGTGCCTCACAGCCATCAAAAACCCAAACATAATAGTACTTACACATGCACACACACTCGCATACACACACGCACGCACGCACACACACAAACAATCACACACGCATGTTTTCTCACTGTAAAAAATTGTTTGCGATAAGCTAAATGTTCTATATTTTATATAATGTACCTTTAGCGCGATGCGCTTTGAGTGTTTCAGTAGCAATAGCTGCAATCTCTTCATTGGTAGTTTCCAGCAGTATTTCGGTTAGTGTGCGACGCACAACAAGCATCTATAGATTGGTTTTTTATAGATTGGTTGCGCTATTTTAAATGCCTCACGATAACAAAGTGGCGCCAGACAATGAAACCCGTAACTGTAAATTGTTAAGTTAATCTTGGGAACATTCTCTATATTAATATTTAATATTCAGTATGCAGAAGTGAACCCATTATACGATACATATATAATTATAGGTTTAAGTATAAGTTAGTTTTCAAAGGTTCGATTTTGAAAAGGATATTATAGTGAATGAAATGGAAGTGAACTAATTACAGTTTACCTAAGCCACCACATTGAAAGTTCACTGTAGATCGGAATTAACTTTTGACCAGTGGATTTCACACTGGCCCCTACTTGAAACATTACAGGACTACATATCGGTTGAAGGTTTCATTGTCTGGACGAACGCACCTCAATTCAAAATAGTGATGCATACCAAATCCGCAAGTCTTTCTTCGTAGTTTTTACCACTTAATGCTGCTTCAGCATGGGCTGACCCTGCAACTGTTGCGTCAACATGTCCACTGTCTGCATCATGCTGTTGCTGATTTTCCAGCTCCTCGTCGCTTTCCTGTTCATCATCACTGTTACTGGCCTTACTCAATACTTCATTACCTATTAGATGAGCCAGGCTTGGCGCAAGAGTTGCCTCCACAGGAGCAGCAATTGAATCTTCGCTGTCGCTTGCCTGCATTTCAAGTTCAAGTTAATTGCAAGGCGTTTGATTTAGTACACAGACATTTCGGTCAGGTGTGCACTTTCGCAACCAGATTCATTTCTCTTGTTGCAACTGGCACAACTTGAAATTGAGTCAAGTGCAGCCCATAGACGCACTTCTCTACTTACCACATTCGACATGTTCAAGAGATTAACAGTTGTTGTTAGTGTTTTGCTTGATACTTGCTTAACTTTGATCTCTGGCGTCTCGGATTCCGACGTGGGGGCTTGTCGCTCTAGTTGTCGTTGCTTTTCGCGTTCCATTTTTTCCAAACCCTCTCTGAAAAAACATGAAATATTAAATAATAGAAACATAAGAATAAAATAAGAATAATCCTAGGATCGTTAATCTTCGAGGCTAAATACTTTTGATGCTATTCATTTACAGTTTAATATTTAGTCTATTGTTCCCATTTCTTTCTCTTAATCACTATTATTATTATATACCCATGAAGCATAAAGTACATAGGACAGACTAATGTAATGCAACGTTGTACCATGTGATGCTTTATGTTGGTCTGCTTATGTTGGTCTTACCTAATCCAAGCTGGTAACATTTTGCGTTTGTTGGCATCAATGTCGCTGCTGACGGTACCACTGTAGCCGCTGCCCGCGTTGGTGGAGCTGCTGCTCCTAGGCAGAGGAAGCTGTGCCTGCTGCTGCACCGCTGGCTCATTCGGATTGCAAACGTTCAGCTTCAAAAGCGATGGAATATGGGCTGTTGGATTGCTGCGTGTAGACCAATCATTCCACTGTTGGCTGTCTGTGGCGACTAGGGTTCGAATTATTGGGATATTGAAGTAGAAATGTTATTGGGGCAGGTCAAGGAGAATTGCGGCAGCCACTCACCCGTATTGTGGGATGAAATGTTGGGTATATCATTTACTCTGCCTGTTATCCATTGGGATTGCGTAACTACAGGCGGAGGGGGAAGATTTTCAATGCAATGCGCCATGCGTGCAATATTTTCATTTTCTTCCTCATCCATGTCCATGTCCATTTCCGCCTCGCCGTGTTCCTCGTAGTGTCTTTGAACTTTTGGCTGTTGCGGACGCAGCTGTTGCTGCTGATGATACTCTGGTGCATTGCTTATGATCGGTGGCGGAGGTGCAATCGGCATGTTCATGCTAAAATTAGCCATGGGTGGCGCAGCTGACGAATCACGCATGTGTATCCACTGTTGCGCTAGTTGCGCCCAGTCTATGCCTCCCTGCACATTCATTGGCATGACGGGCGTTGCAGCCGCTAGTGGATTCGCGACTCCAGGACCGGGAATTGGAACAGGCCCGGGACCTGGTGCAACTAGAAAATGTGGTGGTTGCGCCATATATTGATTGTGTTTGTTATAGCCCAGATCGGCATTTGTGTTGCCACCCGGGAACATATTGGTTGGTATTATAATTAACGCTATGTTATAGTTTGTTTTGCAGTTTTACACGATTTTCTAAAACGATTTTTCGACTTCTACGCCATTTTCTTGCTCTATACATATAGACATTCACATATGACCAGTAACACTTTGATTATATTGTCAACTATATTGTTGTTGCCGTTAACAATATTTACAAAGTAACATTCGTATTTATTGATTTGTATGATTTTTAGAAATTTCATAAAATACCTCTAATCATAATTGTACATGTATTTATACTGACAAATTGCTGCTGGGCTCAAATTTATCGTTCGGTATTTACCTTTACCGTAGTAGTCAAGGAATCATTATCGACATTCACTGGGAAACGCATGTACGCGCTTCCCAATTCAAACGAACGGCATTTTATTTTCACACAGAGATCACTGTGATCAGACCAAGAATTTGTATCAATTGAATTTAAAAAGATTTTATGACTGATTAATTACAAATAAATTTAGTATATAAAATATGTCACAAAAGCCAAATAATGTGCTGCGTGCAAAGGAAAATGCATTACCCAAGACAGGAACTGTCAATGGTGCTGCAATTGCAATGCAGAAAAACCAATTGCTAGCGAAAAAGGTGAGCATTAATAAATTAAATTTCGAAATGATCTTTTCGTTTAATATATTCTTATATATGCACTTAGCCAACAATTGAAAAAGTGGCGCCTAGCTGCAGTAAAGCTGCCGCACAGTTTGCGAAACCCACAATGAAGCCCATGGCCGCTTCACTACAAAAACAACAAAATGCAGCAGTGGCTCCCGCAGCAGAAGTTACGAAAAATGTAAATCCAGTTTTGACTAATATTGAAAATAAAGCGCCACCATCGGCCCCTGCGAGTAGTAGTAGCAACAGCAACAGCAACACTGAAAAGGTTAAGACTGGTAAGTCTCTTTAATATATGTTAATTAACAATATTAAACCAAACTCGACATCAATACTCAGACACAGCACCGGCGAAACCAAAGAAAACTTGGGCGCTGAGTAACTTTGATATTGGCCGGCAGTTGGGACGTGGAAAATTCGGCAACGTGTACTTGGCGCGTGAAAAGGAATCACAGTTTGTCGTTGCTCTAAAAGTCCTTTTCAAGCGTCAAATTGGGGAGACCAAGGTAGAGCATCAGGTGCGACGCGAAATTGAAATCCAGTCACATCTGAGGCATCCACATATTCTGCGTTTGTATGCTTATTTTCATGACGATGCACGCATCTATTTGGTATTAGAGTATGCTCCCCAGGGAACGTTATTTAGCGCGCTGCAGGCGCAGCCAATGAAACGCTTCGATGATAGCCAATCGGCCACTTATATCAAAGCTCTCTGCTCAGCTCTTTTGTACTTACACGAACGTGATATTATTCATCGGGATATTAAGCCGGAAAATCTACTCCTGGGCCACAAAGGAGTGTTGAAGATTGCAGATTTTGGCTGGTCGGTACATGAGCCAAACTCGATGCGAATGACTCTTTGCGGCACTGTTGATTATTTACCACCCGAAATGGTGCTAAACAAGCCACATACCAAGAATGTCGATCTTTGGAGCTTAGGTGTGCTTTGCTTTGAACTGCTTGTGGGTCATGCGCCGTTCTTTTCAAAAACCTATGAAGAGACATATCAAAAGATACTTAAAGTGGATTATAAACTACCGGAACATATGTCCAAAGCTGCGGCCCATTTAATATCCAAGCTATTAGTGCTCAATCCGATGCATCGAATGGCACTGGATCAGATTATATTACATCCATGGATTGTAGCTCACACTCAGTGAATCACTGAATCGATTGAATCTTAAATTCGTTTTAACATTTTAATTTTATTGTTTCAGTTTCTTCAGTTTATCTGACTTTGTTTGAAATTCGCCTGAACGCCAGTTAATTTAATAATTGCACAAAAAAATATTAAGATAAAAAAATAATTAAAATTATGCATATCTCAATTAATTTTGCTTTAAATAAAGTTACTGTGTTTAATTAAATTTTTATACACATTTTGTTCGATCTACTTTTATATGAGCTTATAAAATTATTTTGTAAGGGGCTTAGCATATTCTAGTACATATATAAATGAGTATAGACACAATTTGTTTAAAGCAATGAAAAAATGCAGCTTTGCAAGTTCTTATCACAGAAAACAAAGTATATACTTACAACGTCCAGATAACTATTGAGGTAAAAGACGGGAAATTTAAACACGATTCATTCAACACACCACGCATCAAAATGAATTTTAGTTATATTCGTTATACTCAACACCATTAAAGAACCAACTGCAAACTTTAATTAAATGAAGTAACTATTTGCATATATACAATTTAATTGGCTTAGCTATATCATTAAAGTTTCCATTTATTATTCTCACATTGTTTTTTTTTAAATATGTGTTTTTCTTCAATATATATATAAAAATATTAATGTTCAAAATTGTTTGAAATGTGTATTTATGACTTAGCATAAAAAATTATTTGTAACGATTTTAAAACTAGTGACATAATTTTATATTTTGTGAAAGCCAATTGTATCGTAGAGGTCAATTAAAATGGTAAAACTAAAAGGTGTTTTAAATAAAGTTACTTTAAAATATTGCAGTTGGTTATTAACTAAGACGAATTTCGAAAATTTTCCACACTTTTAAACTTTTAGTTATTCAGAAAATTATATCAATATAAATGGGATTTAATCTTAACTAAAGTGGCTGGTATTTGCTTTCCTTTTTCTTTATCTAAAAGAAATAACCAAATTTGCCAAAGAGATGCCATAATAAAATACTATTGTAAGCCATTATTAAATCTACAGTTAATCATCTAATTTCTAACGGGCGAATCAGCGCCCGCTTTGCGTGCCGGCACATTGTAGTCATCCTCTGAAAAATAAATATTGAATTATGAATTTAATAAGTAAATGCAAACAAAATTACCATCTTGATCTTCATCCATGCCATCGTCCAGATGTACAGCGTCGGCAAATTCCTTGCCCTGATCCCCTGCGATTTCATTGTTTAAATTATCATTCTCCAGCAAGTGCTGTGGTTGCTTCACTGCTCCATCCCCAAGCATGACGTCGTCATCGTCATCGCCGACACCGCCGCCAACAGCAGCCGCATCTGCAGCGAGAAGTTTGTTATCTGATTCAGCTCCATGCGGAGCAGCAATTTCGCCATCAAATAAATTATGCTCGGCGCCAGGTAAATTGAAATTTTGTTCGTTTAGAGCATCTTTAACTTCATGCGCTCCAGAATCAAGAACTCCTTGATTTTTGTTAGACTCCAGCTCGTTCACCACATTGGAATAGCGATTGTTGTTTTCGTTCTTAGGTAGCTCCTCAGCTGCTGTATCGACATCTCCTGCTCCGTCAGCTTTACCATCAAAGTTATCTGGAATGGGTGCGACATTCTCCGGTAGCTTGCGTTCTATCTTGACCTCAGGTGATGGTTTTGCTGGTGGCATGACCAATGGCGGCTGACCAGTACTGCTGCTGCTGCTTCCTAAAGCTTTGGGCGCAACAGAACCGTTTGGTGCTACTTCGGCATTTGGAGTGCTAGAGTTAGATTTGCGTGGCACACTTAATGGTGAAACAGCTGAAGCGGCTGCAGCTAATACGGGCTGCTCTTGCTGTTGTTTGTTAGTTTCATCTGCTAACGTTTTAAGTGCTTTGGGGACAATCTGAAAATTTTCAACAGAATTTAGTATGAGGCTATGATTGTTGCGCACGTCAAAGCGCTGCAGTGGTTGCTGTTGCAGTTGCCGTTGGAGTTCCAGCCGCTGCTCCATACCGACACCATGGGGTTTAGTTGTTGCGTTAGTAGCCTGACTGGGCTTGGCGACACCAATTCTGTACAGCCCTTGACTCACTTGTACTTGTTCGTTGAACGATTTTTGATTGCGTGGCTTCTCAATGCTGTGCGCCGGCTTGGCTGGACTGGACTGTCGAACGGACGTCGTATCGGCAGTCAAGGACTCGATCGGCTTAGCAAGTTGATGTTTTGGTTGCACCTGCGCCTGCGGCTCAAATGTACAGTGAGATTTCAATTCTTCAAGTGCTTCCTCTAGTGTGTGTGTTTTGTGCTCAGAATCTTTAAGCAATGTTTCATACTTATCCTTTAAATGACAAACAAAAGCAATACAAATAATTAATTAAAAATTAAAATTAAAATTATTTCATGGACACACCTTCCAGACAGTTGCCTCCTGCTGTTTGTTGTTTTGTTGCAGCTTTTGCAGCTGTTCGAGCAACGTAGTTGTATCTTCGATGTGCTTCTTCTTGCTCTTGGCGCTTTCAGTTAGCAATTCATTGTATTTGGCCTCGAGTACTTTGTATTTATTAACTTGCACATCATACTTCTGTTGAAGTGTTCGTTCCACGTCCTGTTGCTTTTCGTAGTCATCTTGTATGTTTTGCTTTTCTGCACGTAAGATTTCCACATTTTTCTCTACTGCCAGCTTGTTTTCAGTAAGTGCTGCATGAAATAATTCAAATAGTGGATGTAGACTCCTCTATGGATAGTGTTTGATTAGTTGGTTTGCAACTTACATTGCAGCCTTATGGTCAATTCCTCCTGTTTTTGCTCGCAATGCAGGCGAAAACCTCTGGTCTCGTCAAGTTGCTGTTGGGACATGTGGTAAATGACAATCATCATAATGAGGACGATAAACATGCTCATCAGAATACAGATCCTAACGCGCCCCGAACGGGCAAAACGTGCCGTACTCATTGTCCAAAGGGAATATCTAAGTCTTCTTTAAACTTATCAATAATATTATTGTGCCCTAGTTGACGAAACGAAAAACTAATCGAAAGAACTATGAAGTGTTGTAAAATGTGTTTCCAATCTCTTCGCGCAAGCGTTGCCAGATTCTAGCGTTATCGATTTATCGAATTCATTGAGCTTTTTGCCCAGCAGATTGCGCGTATACTGGTTACAAGAAAACTTAAATATACAGTACACGCCGGTAGCTCGTTGGGAGAGTTTTTGCTGCGGTAAAAGCGTAAACATTTTAAGCTTTTCGTTAAGTTGAGTGCCGCACTCCGACGACAACGCGCCGAAAATCATATGAAAACAAAATACACATCTCCTTTTCATTTCATATTGTCATACATACAGTAGATAGTAAAAGTTGAATATTAAACGCAATTATTAGGTGTAAAGTGATCAAGTCAATTACAACAGCTGAGTGAAACAACAATAAATAAGTGAGTTTAACTGCTGCTGCTGGTGTCATGAAATTTTAACAGCGTCGACGTCGTCAATGCCAATTTATTTAAATATATTAATACTAACATAGGCGATATGCACAGTACATAACTACACACATACATAGCTACGTATGGAGATATGTATTTATATAAAACGCAAATGAGCGTCAATCAATAAAATTTGTACCGAGGTGTTATTACAAAAAGTAAAAAAAACAAAAACAAAAAATAAATTACGTAAATGAAGTGTAAATGTGCCATAAACGCAAAATTTTGATACATATATATACAATAAGTATGGTCGGGCGGTTCACCTGCTCAACCTGCAATACCTGCTCGAATAAAACAGAGCGCAGAGCAAGGCAAATAGCAGTTTCAATATGGTCTTCTAATTTAACAAATGTCACGCTTAAGACGTTCCAATCCACTCAACTTTTCAGACAGTAACAGTAATCGATATTGGGATATATAACAGTAACCAGTAATCGATAATGGAAATTGAGTTGATAACAGCAATTAAAACTCATATATGTATCCATATATAAATATAAATGTTCAAATACACATGTATATAATAGTTTGCTGATAAACATATATTGGATGATTTCGGTGTTTTAATCTAAATCGTTTTATAATGGCATAACTTTTTTTTTGGCGACATTCAACCACTAAACATTTTGGCCTTCTGCATGGCTTTCATACATATAAAATAGTGCTGTCGGTAAAGATAAAACTTAAAGGCCCAGCTCGCTTATCAACGTCCGTGCCGTTATTAAATTAAAGCTAACTGATCATTTAGAAGTTTAAAAGTTGGACAATTCAGCAATAGAAGTGCTTTTACTGATTTAATTATCACTGTAACGTATTAATGCTGAAAATCACACATACACTCGCGCGAAATAAGTAAATATAGATTAAATATTGTGAAAATTCAATGAGCAAATGTTCCCATTTGATATGGTTGCTAATCTGAAGAGGCAGAACTCGTTTTTGCTGTTGTATATTAATAAACCTTGGACCGCACCCCTTTCTTTCTTACTTCCATTCAGTGCGAAAGACCAAGACTAATATTGTCTTTTGAATACAAAAGATAAGCTTAAGACCGCAAATCAATTATTTATTAAAAAAGAAAAAGAAAATTAAAACGAAACGCATATCTTTAATAAGTAAATCCTATATACAATTTCAGGAACATCTGGTAGTATATAGACCGTATCTTTGTGCGTTGCACATTTAGCATTATGTATATGTATATAAATATATATATATTTAGATAGTGCCGGCAAAGCAGTTAAGAGTCATTCAACCTATTATTTTGTTGAAAGTGAAATACAATCGGGATTCTCGTTTGCTCAGTTACTTGTAAAATCATGATTTTTATAGGTTTCCTATTATCATGTTCTTTAATTTCAGAATATGGCAACAGCACAACAGCAAGGAAGAGAAATAATCCAAAGTCAACCAGTGGTGCAGCCGAAGCAGCAGCAGCAGTTTGCGTAAGTTCTTTACAATTTATATCAAAAGTAAAACATAATTATATCTAGAATATTATTGGCGAAAAAAGAGAAAAAATGGTACATATGTATAACTATATATATTTGTATGTATTTATTTGTATACATTTTTTCAACACACACACATATAATATTTATATATTGTTATTAATTCTCATATTATATTGTTGTCAGCAATTGACCACTGATTAAGAATTTAATACATTCGTATTTTCCATGTATTTTTACAAATACTGTAGCACATACGCAGACACATTTAATCCCAATGACATAATAAATTGCATATTACAATGATTATAAGTTTATTTATCCGCTGATCTTTTTTTTTGCATTTTTTGTGTTTTATATATTTTGAGGGGCCAAACTAAAAATAGCGGCGAACAGCGAAAAGCTTAGAAATTTTTGTGTGCTACGCTGGCATGTTACCAATTATTTTTCATATTCGCCTAAAACAAAACAGAGTCTAAATGTTTGTGTGCACCTTAGCTTACCTTTTGTTATTTGTTTATTTTTTTCATTTTAAAATGAATATCGACTATCGATTCCAAATATATCGATGTACAGCGTGCTGTGATCAGTGACATCTGCAGCAATGCTTCTGTGTCAATGTCAAGGTTGCTTCTCAGGGAAATATTGTTGTTGTTGCTGTTGCACATACAAATTGAATGCAAAGGTTAACGCAGTGCAAATATTTGTCAATTAGCCAACAAAAATCGACGGATAGTATTTGATCTATTTAATCCTATATTGCATATATTTTTTTGCACATATATTTTTACAGATTGCTTCCGAAGATAATTAACGGCGGCATTGCGGGCATTATTGGTGTGACATGCGTGTTTCCATTAGACTTGGTAAAGACTCGGTTGCAGAACCAGCAAATCGGTCCAAATGGCGAGCGGATGTATACCAGCATGTAAGCAATAATTCGGGTTCACCATTCCAAACGAATTAATTCCAAGTTATGTTTCAATGCCAGGTTCGATTGCTTTCGCAAGACGTACGCAGCGGAGGGCTACTTCGGCATGTACCGAGGCTCTGGCGTGAACATTTTGCTAATCACACCTGAAAAGGCGATTAAGCTGACGGCGAACGATTACTTCCGACACAAACTTACCAATAAGGATGGTAAGCTGCCCATGAGCTGCCAAATGTTGGCTGGTGGACTGGCTGGCGCGTTCCAAATCATTGTTACCACGCCAATGGAGCTGCTAAAAATCCAAATGCAGGATGCTGGACGTGTAGCTGCCGCTGCAAAATTAGCGGGCAAAACCGTTGAAAAGGTTTCCGCCACACAATTGGCAACGCAGCTTTTTAAAGAGAAGGGCATTTTTGGACTTTATAAGGGCATTGGAGCAACGGGCTTACGTGACGTCACGTTTTCTGTAATTTACTTCCCACTTTTTGCCACACTTAACAACCTGGGTCCACGTCGTGATGATGGATCCGGCGAAGCAGTATTTTGGTAGGCATCCTCCTTTAGTCTCACGTCTGCTTTAAATATTTTCAATTGTATGCATCAGGTGTTCGTTCTTGGCTGGGTTGGCCGCAGGTTCAACGGCAGCCCTGGCGGTCAATCCATTTGATGTGGTAAAAACTCGATTGCAGGCCATAAAAAAGGCCGATGGCGAAAAAGAGTTTAAAGGAATCTCCGATTGCATTACGTAATTAATAATTATCTATGTAATTGAATTTATTTTAAACTTTCTTTTTTTTAATTCCATCAGCAAAACTCTTAAGCACGAAGGACCTACAGCATTCTTCAAAGGTGGACTTTGTCGGATGATTGTGATTGCTCCATTGTTTGGTATTGCCCAAACCGTTTATTATTTGGGTGTAGCCGAAGGTTTACTGGCCGTGCAGAAGAAGTAATTGGCAAACAGAGTCTATCCAGAAGAATTTCTGCTTTTGCTTTAAATGTTAAATGTATATGTATGCGTAAACGACGTTATTGTTACTGTTAAAGCTGTCTAATTTTGATGTAAAAGCGAAAGCGCTCCATAGAAATATGCAATTACACTATCCCTTCCATATATATACTTTTATATACAAATATTTATAAATATATGTATGTATATAATATATAATATATATATTTATTATATTTATGTATATGGGTATTTAAATGTATATATACAGGTGATATTGCAAACCATCACAGGCAAAAGAACTTCTATCCCAATGACAATAAGATAATGAATATCAATGCTATTATAATGATTATGATTATGATGTCATTATTATGTAAGTGTTTATTTTAGCTATACATATCTATACAATTGCATCTAGAATTTCAATTGATAAAAGTTATAATTAGTTGAGTACGATTTGTATGTTCTTTTGCCTAAATATGAATAGACATTTTTAGTAAATTTGCATTTTTTGTTTGCTTTTAGAAAGCGAATTAACTGTTAGGAGCAGTAAAACAATGACCATAGTTAAAGCAAGATATCTTCTACAAACATTTTTACCCTATACATTTATAAATGAAATTTAAAGTATATAAATATCTTTTGATTTCACAAATATATAAATTTACTGACAACCTAAAAAAACATGAATCTTATGCACAAGTTTTTGGTTAGATATGCTATATAGACCGCCTAGGTTAGGGTTAACCAAGCGACCTTGTCGAAAGGTTCTAATCGGACTGAAAGGCATACGTATGTAAGTTAACTCTTTTTGCCATGCTTCACATATTACAGTTTCCATGATTAATTTCTTGATCTAGTTGCTTAGACCGATCAAATAACTAACTGTAACAGCTTGAATGGAAGTTAGAAGCGATTATCGCAAAGATATTATATGTCATTTGTCCTTATAATTTTGTTAGTTAAGCTTTTGATCTGCTGAGGGCATATTCTGGATAGTGAGAAATAATTCAATTGTAAACTTTGGTTTTACTATATGTTCTTATTCATAAGTAACTTCAAAACAATTTATAAAATGTATATGTGGTAGCAAATAAATATGGGCAGTATCGCCAACATTATTTCGAGCTATCGAGAATAGTTTTTGATTTTCCATTTCCAAATGGGCTTCGCTACATATCTAAGTTAATGTTCAGCATTGAAGCAACTGTTCTCAATATTCAATCAGTGAACGACTAGAAAATACCTGAAAAATGATTTCAATTAACAAAGCCTTTATGTGTTGGTGGCAAAAATTAAAAACTCAGATCAATCGTGCAGCAGAAAACTGTCAAACCGTAGAAGCATCATTGGCTTAACCGAAAAATATTGCAAAATGTGCTTCTGCCATTGGCTATCTGAGATAGCTTAAAGTCTTTTGTAGGTCTTATACCGCAGATATAAATATAAGTCTCGATTAAAAAGAGCGAAATAATTGAGTTGCTTTCATTAAACTTATAAAAGTGCGTAATTAGTATACCAAACGATTTGGCATAGCTCAAGCGGCATATTTAATAGAGTGAATTTTATGTATCAAGCAATCGCTTAAAAATAAATGTGGATAATAAACTATTTGGTTTCAGAAATATTATTTTTGATAATGTTTCTACAGTGTTAACACATTTTTTGATCTGGTTCTAGGAGCTTTAATAGCCATATAACATATATTTTTTGTTGAAAGTATATAGTTAAAATTTTAATATTTATCTTTCTCCGTCGAGCGAGGACAAGAATTGTAAAAAAAACTAAGTTTACATTTCAGATTATATATATATTCGTATTTTTATTACAATTGATAAGTATATTTTTAGTGATCCATCCCTCAACTGGATAGCTCTATCAGCCCGCTTCTCTTATCACAATCAATTCAAACTTCTTCATCACTGCATTTTAAATAACATCAGCAGGTTGGGTGCTTGGTGTGGGGCCAGTTTCTGCGTTCAAATCTGAATAACGACTACGCTGCCAGCGTGCCAAAAAAGCGCGATACCACTCAAGAAAGATAGCCTGCCGGTACATAATAATACCCATTTGTAGTATGAGAAGACCCATTAGAGTAATGAGATTCATAATTTCCCACTCAGCAAAGATGACAAACGCCCAGATAAGGTAGACACGAATTCCATCAGCGAGCAGACGATTAGCACTGGATGAAAATTTAGCAATCGACATTCCCACACAGTTGTAAATGGCACTGGAACAGGTAAAACTGACAAGTGCAAGGATTAGCAGCGTATTGCCACGTATCTGTGGAATCAGATCACTAATGTCATCAAAGACGCCATGCGAGCTCTCATTAAACGGCGCAACACTTGGTACAAAGTTCAGGCAGATGGCTGCTAAGATGGTGATAATAATTCCAAAGAGCCCTTGCCAGCCAGCAGCCTGGATGGGCACCATATCGGAGGCTTTCAAGTGCTTTTCTTCGTACACATATTGAAAGGCGTGCAACACTTCAGCAATAATAATCAATAAATCGCCTGTTAAAATAGCATTGGTGTCTGTATACGGAATCGTTTGGTTATCATATTCAACCCGCTGCACATCCAAGGTCAATATGTCAACGATGCCGCACGTCATGGTGACGATGGCCAGCCAATGGCGAGTAGTCAATGTTTGGTTTAAGTACATGGTACTAAACAGGCCCACAAAGATAAGCGCAACACCTGCAAGATATTCGAGTTGGTCAGATGGAGCCGAAGTGACTGAAGATAAACTCACCTCTTATCATTTGAAAGCTAGTCGCATAGGTCAAGTACAATCCCGTAAACAGCAAAATGGAAGAAATCGTACGCAAGAAAGATGGCAACAACATGCTTAGCGGATGGAATTCATTGCTGCCACCGGTTAAAATGAGATCTGAGTCTCCGCCGAGCTATTGTGAGCATGTACAAATACATTTTCATAATTGGCCAGAGCTGCACGGCACTACTACTTACAGGGCGTCGTGCAATCAGCATATGAACGATCTTGTAAACTGCAAAGCACAAATACTCGCCCAGAAACATGAGCAGGGTTAATACCACAGGGTGCTGAAAGTGATACTGCTGCTTATCGCTGCCTTCCAAGAGTTGAATGCTGGTCCATCTGCAAATTGTTTTCTTAATTTTTAAATTGCCCATATTGTCCTTTCAATAAACTTACTTTGCCAATAAAACGTTGATCGTGCCGCTCAGCACAAACAGCAGTGTTAGAAACACACGGTAATCCATTTTAAAACATTAAAATCAATGACTAATTAAATTAACAATTATGATAGTTCAGCTCTTTGTGTAATTCTAAATGCGCAATGATAAAGAAATCAAACAGATGATGTGCAATTGATTAGAGTCGTGTTTCTGTGAAGCTTTGATCAAGCAATTTAGTTGGGACACGATCACACTTTATATTTATCTTTTGCTACTACGCCAGTTGAATACGAAAGCTACCTGTAGTACTGAAATATTTTTGTCGCAATAAAAAACTGCAAATTTAATTGTACATTTTTACTCACCAAAGCCTGCCAGACAGCGGAAAGCTTAATAGCGCTGCCAGATAGTCAGATAATTCGGATGTTTTATTAAAATCAACTCTGTTTCTGGCACTTTAATGATAGGCGCGTAAATAAAAATTCAAAAATAAATATTGTGAATACTTTTTATTATTAAACCCAAACTTAAAGAATATCACAGGATATAGATATTAAAAGATTATTGAAATGATTATCAAATCCGATTAGGCAGCTGCTGTATAATTCTGCGTATTTTTCCTATAAAAATTAAATGAAATTAGTTGATTTATCATAATATGACAACATTGCTGCATGATCAAACATAAATAAATATTGCAACAAAAAGCGTGTGTTGGTGTCTCACCTGTAGTCTGTATTTTTGTGTGTAATAATTTGTTGTATTGCTTGTGGAAGAAATGCTTACTATGTTTAAAGCTCATCTCTTTGCTGTGCCAGGGGCAAAGTCACTTCCTCTACCGTGCCCAGGTTTATGGTTTTGTTTGGTTTAGAAAACTTTGGTATATATTCTACTGTATCACTGTTGCTGACCACCGAGTTGTGTAGATTGTCCATTGGTGCCGCGGGATCGGGACTTGTCAGTGTAATTTTAGATTTTGTTGCAACTCTGTGGAATGTATTTATGTATCTCGTGTGGTTATGTGGTGTGTGACGTGTGTATCTAGTGCTTGTTAGTTAGGCTCTACTTAAAAGGTTAGTTCTTAAGACAAGTGCAAAATCAAAGGAATTAAGTTTGAATTTGTACCTTTAGTACAGCTAATCAAAGTGAATATAGTTGAAGAACTTAATAGGTAGTCATAGGGTGAAGTTCTATTGACGCTGGCGGGTTCCAGCGCGTGCTCCGCGCAACTTTTGTGGATTTCTAAGTTTAGATCGTACATATCCATGTATATATATGTATATATTGTACATGTATTCTCATATTTGTATATATTTGCTATTAAGAAGTACACTTCTTCGAAAGAACTTACCTGTCCCTAGTTTGCATGGTGGCTTCGACATCCAGGCTACGCGGCTGACGGAAATCGCATTCCAGTGAGAAAGCCGAGTCACCAGGCGTTATCAGTTCTGGATCGTTCTGTATAACCACAATGTTCGAATAGAGCTCGCCATCCTTCAGCGTCTGGCATTGATCCAACTGGAAATTCATTTCCAGCGTGCGAGTTCCCTGACTCGCAGTGGGTTTCATGAAGCACGGGGCCGTTTGCTTGTAGAAGCTACCACGTGTGTACATGACGCCCGTAAAGGGTTTCTCTGTCTCTAGCATCACATTCATCGAATTAGCACCACACTTCAGGTTAACCTTTTGTATGCCCTGATCGCTGCCTTCAATTTTAAAAGTGTCCGATAGGTCCTGCTCCCAGATTTCTGGAATGGTACGTAAGATATATGAGGGGAAATTATTATAGATTAATGAAGTCTAAAAAAATTCAGCAACATTGTTTGTTTTTATGGGATATCATTAATTACACTAAAAGCAAAAGAAAAGTTTTATTCGCTGATATAAAAGTAATACTAAGATACAAAGCTAACTGTTTTTGCGAAAGTGATCTCTATTAGGTTTCTCATTTTTAAAAATTTTCTTTATTAAAATCGACATTTTAACGGTAAGTTTATACTTCGGCCCTATGCATCATAACACAGAAGTTCAAGAAACTTTAGGCATATCACTGTTTACTCTTACTGGCCTTCTACGCCGGTTACCAGCAGATGTACGTAGAAACCGGTTTCTTTTGTTTTGTTATGCCTAGAACTGTCCTAAGTTGCCATTGAAAATTGCTCCAGGCCGTTGCCTACCTTGGTTTTGTTGTTGCTGTTTCTTATTTTTGTTACCAGTTGCGCCGATGGCTAACAACAAATTGCAGCCCAACAGAATCAAAAACATATTCTTTAGCCCGAACATATTGCACTGGATTCCGATAACTTTTGCTATTTAACTCAGTGTGGACAACTGTCTTTTATCACGAAACACGTCCCAACGACTCAAAGCTGTAGACAAAACTGACGCTTCGATGGCGACGGCGCAGCGCATATAAACGTAGTCGCCCCAAAGCTCGACTCGGCTAACAGGTGGCGGGAGAGAGCGAGACAGAAAGAGAGCACAGTTGAGCGAAAGAAAGAGCGCTTGCGCAACTGAGAATCTGGTCAATCAGCTGGAGAGTTGGAGCAGTTGCATTGATAACATTATATTTATTGGCAGCGATTGTGCTCATGCAGCCCGACACACGGACAGTGAGTGCAAGTAAAAGAAAATTTATTTTTGGCTTTGGCAGAAAATTGTTGCAAGGCAAAAACGCAAAGCGCAGTTTAAGGAAAACAAAATGCGGCTTCATCCACAGCATTTCCGCTTTTCGTGCGGATTTTTGTTGTGCATTTATATCGTATTGCATTTTCTTGTTGTTGCGGTTGTTGTTGCTGTTGTTGTTATGAGTATTCATTATTCAAAATGTTATTAAACTTCCCCGTTTTGCACACCGCAGCGCGCTTCGACGGTTCTCCGCAGAGCCATAAAATCGTGTGGCTTGTTTTCTTGCCGCTCGTGGTATGTACATACTTATATACATATGTATGCATGTAGTTACATTAAAAATTGCGTTAATTAAGGCTTAATTAGCGCAGTCTGGTGACCATGGCAGCGAAAGGTGGAAGTTGCATATTTCGTTTCTTTTGGACAACAAACAAAAATGCATTCGAAAGCAAAAGCATTTAGTGAGCTTAATAATTGATTTGCTTTAAGTTGATTATAGACAGATTGATTAGATTATATCACTCATTGACCCCATGTATATATATATATATTTCACATCAATTTAATTCTTCAATTGATTTAATATATTGATTCGAAATCAAAATCGTATCTTATCGCATCTGCTCTATAGCTTGCAGATTAGATTGCAATAATTTAATATTGTGTTTAGTTATCATATATGAACCAAACTAATTTTTCAAATAATTTAACTCTTTATAAATATATTATATTTATATATATTATTTATATATATTTATATATATTATACAATAAAGTAAAAAATTAGCATTTTTAAATATATTATATTTATATATATTATTTATATATATTTATATATATTATAAAATGAAGTAAAAAATTAGCATATAATTGCTGCAAATAACTACTAAAAAATAAATCTAAAATTGCAAATGTAAATAAAATGTAAGAGTTTAGACAGTAATTGGGATAAAACATTTATTTATGCATTTACAGACATTTATTATATTAAAAAAGGGTTTGTTGTCGGCAAGCCAAGGTCATCTATTTCTTTTTCAGTGCGGCCCAGTAGCGCTCCAGTTCGATGCCCTCCCAATGAGAGGGTTTTACCAGGACGCTGAAAAATAAAAGTAATAAAAATATGTAAATTTGAGAGATCATTGAATTTGGTCAGCGATAAATTTATAATAAATATAATTTGATTGTGGCACGAAACTAAAACAAGTTCAACCACAACAACGACAACAACAACAACAACATGCAATGTACAAAGAGATGGAATTATTTCGAGAGAGTCGCTAGCTGCCTACTGCACCGATGGCCAAGATTGACAATGAGTGGGCACATAAATGGACAAACTAATGGACCCGGCTTTGGCTGGTATTGGAATGGCGAATTGTTGCTACTGCAATCTCTGTCTCTCTCTCTCTCTCTCTCTCTCTCTCTCTGGCTGTGAAGTGTTGTCTCTGTCTCTCGGCAGCAGCGGATTGTGACTGCGAATGGAGTCGGATATGATGCAACAGTAACATTGTATCCGAGTTGCACAATTTCGGTCAACTTCCGAGTACGACTGGCCACCACTCACTTTTCTCTCAGATGCTGCAGCACTTCCTGCTCCTGCTTGCTGAGGCCGTGGTAAAAGGCAGCCAGATTCGTTTGGAGCAATTGCCGCGTCTGATTGCCAACCAGAAAGGTGGATACATCACGCAGTTGAATCGTATAGTACATGGCCAGCTTGCCCAGTTGCACTTCTCGCTTAATGCACTCCTCGGCTGCTTGACGTGCTATGGCCTTCTGGTCATCGCCGGCCGGATGCCAAGGCTGGGGTCCGGCATTGGTCAGCATACCCAACGCATGTGCAGCTGCACAAATAATGCCCAGATTCTGGGACTTGAAGAAGTCCATGTAGTCGACCAACGAGTCGTCCAAAAGCGTGTAGCGTGCATATGTAAGCACCGTCTGGGAATTAAGAGATAAATGGCTAGGACGAACAATTCTCCCTAGGTCATGGCGTGCCACTTACATCGAATCTGCCCTCGGCACGGGAAATGCACTCCTTTAACACCGATAAAGGATATGCGGAGAGGCCAATAAACTTGGCCTTGCCCTCTTTGACTAGCTGTTCCAGCGCTGGCAAAGTCTCGTTGAGAACTACGTCCAAGTTTTCAGCAAATTCGACATCATGAATCTGTATTACATCTACGTAGTCCAGGCCCAGCAGCCGTAGGCTCTTTTCCACGCTCTCGCGAGCTTTCCGTGCACTAAAATCGAACATGTGTTCGTAGTCCAGCTCATAGCGTGCCACCTTGGTGGCTATGTAGTAGGCTTCCCTTGGCACATCTTTTAATGCCTTGCCGAGCACCTCCTCTGAACGGCCTTGGCCATACCAGGGAGCTGTGTCGATGTAGTTAATGCCAGCCTTCAGTGCCTCGTGCACTGTTTGAATGGCCTCATCCAGATCGAAGCTGTCTCAACAAAAGCACTCAAAAAATATTAAGATTTTGCCGATCTCTCTCTTTAGAACACACACCCGTAGTTAGCGCAGAGAGCTCCGCCACCGAACGCGACTTTAGAGATTTCCAGGCCCGTTTTACCGAGCGTGCTGTACTCCATTCGCTTCACTTGCTCCTCGTCGTGAAAGCCCTTGACAAAGGTGATCGGTAATTTTCCAGACATAGCTACTTATTTATTTTTAACCTCCGCAATTTGCCGAATCGCGCCCAAGCCCCAAAGAGACAACAAGCTATAATGAAATCGTATTCTTAAAACTGCCCAACTCTCTGCATTTCTTGCTTCACTATCAGAGAGCGCCATCGTTTTTGCACTTGTCTGTCTGATTGTGCGAAGAGCTTGTTGATATGCTGAGCACTTGAGCGAGATTGTGAACGAAATCAGCTGGAAAGCAAAGAGAGAATTGTTTATTTTCAACAGGGCTGGTTCAGCTGAAGTCAGGTGAACTTGAAGAACTGAAATTTGATGTGCCGAAAGGAGAAAGGAGATGAGCAGAGTTATCGATCAAGCCAACGATCAAAGTGCTTTCCCTATTCATATATATATATATATCTATACCTGGATATATAATTATATCTGTATCCTATATCTATATCTATATCTGTATCCTATATCTATATCTATATCTATATCTATATATTAAGTGAGAAAGAGATATATAGAGATAGATGAGGAGTAAGTGTTTGACAGAGACAGAGAGAGAGAGAGAGAGAGACAATGCAGAGAAAGAGGAAAGGGAGAGAGATAGTGATAGAGAGCGAATTAGAGAGAGTGAAGTAAATAGAAGAAGAGCAAAAGAGATATAGAGAGAAAGCCATCGAGAGAGCGAGAGAGAGAAATAAAGATAGGGAGAAATATATGAAGGAAATACAAATAGAAGATTTATACAGGCTGTGATTAAGATTTTTATACAACCAATGCAACTTAATATTAATTATTCCTTAACCAAACCATAAAAGGGTATATTCAGCCCTACAATAATAAAATATATTCTTTCTTTTTTTAATTCACAACCTATTTGCATGGTATACACATGAATAGGTATGGTCATATTTATGTACATATTCATACACTGCATTTGCATAAATTCATGAATCCGCGAATATAAACAATGCGCGAGCACGTTGCACCACCCATTTGCCACCATCGCCATCAATTAAAATAAGAACACAGGAGTACAGGGTATAGAATTTCTCCGTCGATATAGTACTTTGTGATAGTAATATAAACGCACATATAACAGTTAAATATAGAAAATATATATGCATGTATTTTTATAGACGCTGGCAGGTAAATGAATTAGACAGCGACTGAACTTGAGCTGATATTGAAGCATCTCAAATACATATATAAATAAATGAATCTACTTTCAGCTAGCTCAATATATATTCAAATTTATAAATTCAATTAAAACATACATTAAAATCATATTATTTGCTAGATTAAAATTGTTATTAAAGCTTTTGCTGCATTTGCATGACGGACTCATTTGAAGTCGCTGATCGTCGACAGCGTTGATCCCCAGCTGTAGGACTTTTTGAAAACACTGCAAGAGATGTGAGAGAAAATCGGATAGTTCCACTTTAGTTGGTCTGCAAACCGGTTAACATAGGCCAAGTTCGAGTGGCTCTGACGCAATGCTAACACCAAATCCGAATTGCACAATTTCGTAAAACGAGTTTACTTACTTTTCCCGCAGATACTGCAGCACTTCCTGCTCGGCGGAGCTCAAGCCGTTGAACACCGCATCCAGGTTGATCTGCAGCAGACGACGATTGGGTATGCCGATCAGGAAGGTCGCTGCGCCCTCTAGCTGCATGGAGTAATACATGGCCAGTTTGCCCAGTTCGACGCCACGCTGCTTGCAAATCTCGGCGGCATGGCGACCCACTTGCTGCAGCTCCTGGCTGCCGGGATGCCACGCCTGTGGGCCGGCATTGGAGAGCAGGCCAAGTGCGTGTGCTGCGGCACAGATGACGCCCACATTCAGCTCCCTGAATGCCTTCATGTGGCGCAACAGAGTGTTGTCCAGGAGCGTATAGCGAGCGTAAGAGAGGACTATATTAACGCGCCCCTTCGCACGCTCTGCGCACTCCTTAAGGACATCCACATCGTAGCCAGTGATGCCAATAAATCGTGCTTTGCCAGCTTTCACGTACTCTTCTAGTACTGGAATCGTCTCCTTTAGCACAATGTCCAGACTGGGGGCCGCATCCACGTCGTGAACCTGTAATACATCCACGTAATCCAAGCCGAGTAGACCCAAGCTCTTTTTGACACTCTCCCGTGTTTTGGCTGCTGTAAAGTCGAACATGCGCTCGGGATCTAGTTCGTACCGGCCCACCTTGGTGGCAACGTAGTACGCTTCCCTAGGGACATCCATCAGCGCCTTGCCCAGCACCTGCTCCGACTGCCCCTGGCCATAAAATGGCGCTGTGTCGATATAGTTGATGCCCGACTTAATAGCTTCTTGCACGGTTCTGATGCCCTCCTCTTCGTCAAATTTTTTATCAAAGAGCGCACTCAAAGTGGCCCCGCCTAGTGCAAGTACCGATACTCTTAAATTGGTGCCGCCCAACTTGCGGTATTCCATGCGGCGAACCAGCTCCTCATTGTGGAAGCCCTTCACGAAGGTAACTGGAAGTGTTCCCGACATCGCTGAAGTCTAAATTGAACTGAGCCTTCCACTGCACTGATTGGAATATTTATAGACGCATTCACATGCAGCTCACACACACACACACACACACGCATGTCCATTGCATGCCCGATAACATAGATCAGAGAGTGTGAGTGAGCTTTTGCTAAACGGAAGCTTTTCTAAGTACCGGTGCATATTTCAGTTAAGCTCAAGTGGTTTAGAACTCTGCGAGCAGGGAAAGCTGAGCTCTTATCATCTCTTAAAGCTCTCTTTTTGTCTCTTAAATCGAAAAAAAACTCTTTACCTTTTTGACTTATAGACAGCTGTTTAATAAAAATATATAATAATGTTAACTGCTGACCGGGAAGACTGATGTATTAAAACTCCTTCAGCATTCATTCTAAAATTCAAGATGAGATGACAAAAATGTAGCTAAGTGAATATTTGTGTTTTAATATTAATGTATTTTATTTATCAGAAAGACAACTAACTGCAGTTATACTTTGCATAATGTGAGTTTTCCATCATTGATAAAACTTTATAAAATAATATAAATATATTTAGATGCATATGTGTATTAGACAAGGTAGAGATACACACTCAGAGACATTTAGCACAATCGACCTTAGAAGAATACATCGAAGTCGCCATGGGGCTGATAGCTGTGTGTTAGCTGTGGTCGATGATGCTGCGGCGGCGGTGGTCGGGGCACAATGATGTCGTTAATCTCGTGCAGGATTCCATTGGTGGCGATCAGATCGCATTTTGTAACTCCGGCATTTTCGATCTTGGGACGGCGGTCACGAGTGATGCGCAGATGCTGGCCCGAAATAGATTCGATCGAGCGTACAAATGGCCAGTTGGTGGGTATGATGCCAGCACAGCAGACAACATCGTTGACAATGTGCGTCTTGACCTGAGCTTCGAGTTCGGCCTGGCTCTGGGCAGGCTTGCTCTCGCTGGACACGCTGAACTCTTCGAACACATCATTCTTGGGCACAAGAAGCGTGAAACTATCCGATTCATTGGCCAACATTTGGGTCAGATTGGCCTTGCGCACCAGCTCCAGGAACTTGCTGTAGTTGGGATTAGCTTCCAGCGCATTGAGCAGATTCTAAGTGGAAGAGCAGAGCAAATGTAGTAGATAAAGCACAGATCAAATCGTTGTCACATCTTTAATCTTACGTTCTTGGGTGGTGTCAGGGCGCGATCCAGCTGGTGCAGCACAGAGCCGCAGCTCTCGTCATCAAAGTGCACCAGGCGGGCACAGTTCACGGTAGCACGGTTCATGACGTCCGAGAAGAGGGCATGTGTTGAGTAGAGATTGAGGCGAACATTTGTGCCCGCTACCGTTGGCAATAGGCTCTCCGAGAGATCACAGGTCTTAATCATGGGCTGGACGACGTGATAGTTGACGAACTCAGTCAAAGCTTTGTTGTTCTTCAGTGACTCGGGCTGCTCTGCCAAAATGCGTGCCCATTCCGAGTTCTGCAAGGCCTTGTCGGTGGGCGCAAAGACTGTGATGTTGTCCAAATCGTCGAAGTTGTTGTCAAGGCCAGAGGCCTCCAGCAGACGCTTGAAGATCGTTACGTTCTTCTGCGACATCAAAGTAGTCATTGGCAGCGCCGACTCGGTTGGCAGAATGGTGTCGATGACATGGAGCACTCCATTGGTGCCCATTATATCGGCGTCTAGAATCTTGGCGGCATTATTAATGTAGATGGCCGGCTGCTCTGTTTGATTCAGGGCACTGCGCGTGCGGTTGAGCAGCAGTGGCTCGCCCAGCAGATTGTAGGTGGTTGTCTTGGCACCTGGCAGCGTGGCCAACGAGCAGAAGGTCAGGTCCAGAATATGGTTCTTCAGTATGTCTATGATAAGATATATTAGTTAAAGCGATTCGAATCCAGGACTCAATCCTTGCTACTTACTGGAGGCGCAGCCACGTCCCTCCTTCAGGGCTCGTCGAAAATGTGGCTCCAGCTTATCGAAGGCAGCATCCGTGGGCACAAAGATGGTGACGGGCTTATCAGCCTCCAGCAGAGCGCTGACATTGGTCTTCTCCAGCACGGTGCGCATGATAGACATGTCCGAGCGCTCACGTATTAGATCCATTACATTCTTGGTCAGAGGCTTCAGCACGCCTCTCAGTGTGTGCACCAGGGCCTGCTCGGAGAGCTTGTCGTGCTTCTCAATGGGCACACAGTTGGCGGCATAGCGATAGGGCTCCAGGCCAAGTGCTGGCGGCAGCTGATAGCTATTGATGCGTATCTTCTGGCCGGGCAGTTCACTCTGCAGCAGCTTATCGTTCGGCACATCCTCGAGCTCCACGTCGCCCAGCACGGAGTGCAGCTTGTAAATTGACGACATTTGGGAACCCTCTGGCTTGGAGTCATCCACGTTCTGAATGTCATTGCGGGATATTGCTTTAGTGGGCATTTGATTCGTGGCTATTAATGACTACTCACGTTCTCTTGCTGATGCTGGCTGCGGTATTCCTGGAAAGCGGCATCGTTGGGTATGAAGAGCGTCATTTTCTTGCCTTGGCCGTTGGACAGCATATTGCCCAACTCGCCGGCACTCTTGGCGCTCTCAATGAACTGCTGGGCTCCCATGTCGGCGGCAGTGGCTTCGATGTCTTTGATCTCAATCTTCTCGCAGGGAACCGTGAAGTCCGCGTTGCGGGGACGTCCATAGCCATAGCAGCACTGGCGAGTCAGAGTCACCATCTTCTTCTTTCCATTTTGATTGACGCTGCACATGAGGAAATGAATGCATTAAAAATAAAGTTGACGCAACGCTGCCCCACTTACATCTTGGTGCAGACGTGCTTGTTGGGTTTCTCGGCACAGGAGTTCACGCTGAATTGGAACTGGCCAAACAGTGGCGAACGGATCACGCTGCTGGTACCATCACGTTCTTGACCAAAGCTGTCCACTGTTTCATCACCGTCAGTTTCCGTGGTCGCACCGTCATTTTCCTCCTTCTCGGTGCACACGTTGGGTCTGCAGGTGAGCGTATTGCGGGTATATACAAAAATCAAATCAAATTAGTTGCGAAGCTGAGAGATGGCAAAGCTAAGTGCAGACATTACATAACCAGAAACAATACGCATTATAGCTGCCTTTCTTCTACAATTTGGAGTAGCCATATATGCTCTACTACCTGTAGCTTAACTTGGCCAAATTATATAATACATAGCAGAGCTGTATCATGTATATAGCTTAATAATATTACGCTGTTTGAGTGATCTTCACACACTATAGAAAAGTTGTTAAGCAAATATAAATTGATATGTTTATATATGTACATCTAGATACGAGTCTGTTCTTAAGTTATTGCCTCATCATGTTATAGATACTTGCAATGTATTTGCCAACACTTGCTAATGCCTTTGGCAAATTTCTAACTAGCAAATCAAAAGTCAATGCACTCCCAGGCACTATCTAGATAAATGTATATAAATACATGCATATTCATATATATAAATATATATATATAATATACATCTATTTATTTATGTATAGGTGCATGTGTAGCTGTGAGACCTGTACAGCTATCACCCAATATGCGCACCCCACTATCTGCTCATCAGTGCGAGAGCACTGATGATTGTTTACTTTATGGATTCGCATATATAGAGACACGTTTGTTCACATGGTTATATGGTTAGGGGCTACTATACATATGTATCTGATGTGTAGAATTAACAGCTTAACAGCTTTGCCTGCCTTCAATTCAATTATGTGTATGTGTGCGCCACAAAGCCGGCCATTGTCGGCCATTGGGGGCATGGTGTTCGAAATTTCTCGGTCTGCCTAAGAGTATACATATCAATATAGATTTATATATATATATATTTATATATATATATATATGTTTATGTGCTTTTATAAAGCGACAATTTTTCAATTGCTGCGTCTGACTTTCGTTCTCAGTTCAACAAAAACAAATGCACCCAGCACCAGTTGATTTCACAATTTTGCTTGAATAACAATTTAGAAAACTGCAAACGACATCTGTAAAGATTGCATTATATATAACTATATATACCAGTTGGTTCATTCACGTTGCATATAGTATAAGCAATTTAGCAGTTAATGTAGAAATCGGTCGCAGCAGGTGCTCAAGTCTGCTGGGCTGTATTGAAAGTGAATGTTCGATCGTTGATCATACGCTGATCAGCCAGCAGTCGAAGAGGCTCTAATGCGAGAGAGACATTACAAATCAAAATTATATTTAATAGCTCTGGTGAACTTGACTTTGCGCTTGCTTAATTACCAAATGTCAAGATCGTCGGAATCAGCCGTGCGCAGCGATTAGGAAAGAACCGCGCCAAGTGACCATATCAAATGCTAAGTATCTACTATATATAAGAATTGTGCGCAATAGAACTGAAAGATCTGGAAAGAGTATTGTGCGAGAGCTTGATTCAATTGACTTTGACACTGAACTGGCGCACGTTAAGCTCACACAAGTAAAATATTCCAGCTGACTAGAATCAATGCTAATTCTCACCTAAATCGCCAAGAATAAGTGCTGCATCAGCATTTGTAATTGGCCAAAAAAAGCCTTTGCATAGCTTAAATAAAAAATACTTTAGAGCCCTTGTGATTAAATAATGCCAAGCATCATATATATCTTAAAGGCAGATCGGAAATGATTTTAAGCTAAAGAGTTTCGTCTTCTGCGAACTACTCACCCCTTCCACCAAGGCTCCTGAGTGTTACCAAAGCCGAAGCCGCCAAAAGAGTTGAAGAACTCATTGCCAAAGAATGGGAATGATTGCTGAAAGAAGACGGCTGGATTGGGAGAGTTCACGTCCGTGGTGATGGCATCAACATCTATTGAGAGAGAGAGAGAGGGAGCGAGTTGTTGAGTTTGTCTTAGACAGGCTTTTCATGTACTGATCCTGACTTACTGAACGGCTTCGATTGCACGGCCTGTGCTGGGACAGCGGCTGCAGCTGCGGCCGCATCCTGACGTGCTTGCTGCAGCGACTGCTGCTCCAGTGGCACGAAGTCTGTTTCGCTGAGGCCATCGCTTCCGTAGCTGCTACTGTAGAGTGGCAACAGTGGCGTATTAAGTAAGGCTTGGGGGCGTGGCTGCTGAGCCGCTAGCGGGGCTGGCGGGGGCGCTGCCCAGACGCTGGCCACACGCTGTGACGGCTGAGCATGCAGTGGTTCTAGCGGTGCGAGTGGTGCAAATGGAATGGGCGCAAACAGCGTGCGATGCAGCGGTAATGGTCGTGTTAAATGTTGCATTAAGCTGTAGAGGAGTTGCGCAGTGGGAGTGGAGTGTATTTTTTATTGGTTTCATTAGTGCGTGTTGGTATGTTTCTGCTTTGTATGTATGTGTGTGTGTGTGTGTGTGTGTGTGTTTGTGGTGTGTGTGTCTTGTGCCGTTTCATGCAAATTCCACGCCAGATCTTAACTATCCCTAAAGCGGATCCCCACCATAATTCATATGCCTCCCATTGTTTCGCACATAAAAGAAGCCCCGGCCCGGCTCGACATTCTCTCTACACATACCGTCTATATATATATATATATATATTATATAGTATACGGCCTGATCGTGCCCATTGTTTAGCAATTGTTTTGCGCAGCATTTCTGTGCGCCGCATACTAATTGCCTGCCTCCATTAGCTGCCCAGCTAATACTATACAAATCAAATGAAAATTACTTTTAAACAAAGTTGCATAAATTCCCAAAAAAGAAGCAAAACAACACAAAACATTAACAACAATGTGCTGCACTCTGGTGTCATTAATCAAACAGGATTTATGTCTTTCGATTTTATGTGTGCGAAAATTAATTCAACACCAATAACTAAAATATATTTATATGTAGCGCAAACTCCATCGCATGAGTCACTCGCACGCTTCGCGCAAACAAATATCAGCCCGCTTTCTATTGACAAAACAATAACAGTCGCTTTTTAACTGACTTTTCCTATATACAACTCGCAGTTGGCACCCACTTGTAGATATATATATATATATATTTGAGTGTCTGTAAGATTTTCGGGACCTTTTTTGTTGATCGAGCTCATTAAAAATGCGCCACACGGAAGTTAATTAAAAATAAAAGACATTATAAGAGCAAATAAATTTATATATATATATATATATATAGACGTATATATATAGACTTTTTTTGGCAAACATAACACATTTTTTATGGCTGACATGCTCAGTTAGCGGCAAGTTAGTACTGACATCTGAATTATATATATATTCTATATATATTTTATGACATCTTTATCAGAGATGAGTCATGACTCAAGGGCTTAAAGCACATCGAATTGTGTTTACGCAGAAGTTGTTTATATATAAAATACATATGTATATACGTTGAGCATATCACGAACTGGCATTTGCGAAGACGATACCTGACTTGATCTCAACTTGGAGCCGTTGGCATTTCGGCGCTCATACAGAGAAGGTTACATGGAAACTCTGAGCTGGCCATAAGCCTAGTTTTGGGAGAAACTCCAGGCATAGTGGCTGGCAACTGCTTTGCAAGTCTCTTGGACTTGCAGCTCAAAAAAAGAGAAATTTTGTAAATATGATTTACTGTGAACTTAGCTAAATTATGTGAAAATACAGACTTACGAGCCACATAAAATAATAATAATAATAATAATAATAAATTTTAATATTGAATTTCAGAGATTTGCCCATTTAAAAAAAATTTGAAAAAAACTTTGAAAATGTTTCAAAAAAAAGTATTAGTAAATCAAGCTTAATTATATATTATATATGAACTGTAAATTAACATTAATGTAAGCTAATAGAATTAGGTCTTCGACTGATGAGCTCTAATCGCGTTTTAATCTGCCATGTCGAAAGGCTCTAGACAATTGGGAAAGTTTGTTAAGGTTATAATTAAGTCAAGAAAGTTCTGGAAATTTCCAATGTATAACGAATGCATAACATAAAGACTGCGAGCTGTAAATAAAGGCAGGACCTGGTAAATTAAATAAAATGCCGTCTTGACTACCAAAGCGAAAGTCGTTGGCCACAGTCGCTGGGCAAAGGCGACTGGTTGCAGTGCCACTGTGATTCGATTAAGGTTCTGCCACGGAGGAGAACCAAACGAGTTAAGCACACTGAGGTGGGTAGGGGCAGGTTTCTGGTTGACCCAGTTCATAGGTCTTTAAAGCTCGCGACAGAGCATTAAATTTGAGGCGTTACCTGCTCCCAAAATTGCATCTAATGAGGTGTCAAGAGTTAATTCACGCCATGTCAAATCCAATTTTCCCGCAGCCCACACAACAAAAATCGTGTCAACATTAATGACAGCATTTCGAGCAACTTATCCAGCTAAATAGCCAAAGGGGTCTACAGCTGGGTTTTAAGGTTGCTCGCTGCAGTCAGCCATGTGTAAACGAGCCCCAACATGCAACCAACGATCATCTGTCAAATGCCGCGACTGCATTTGCATCTGCAACTGCAACTGCATCTTTCGCGGATGCCCTAAAGTCGATGACCCACTTTGCTTGGACATTGTTCTCATCTGCGAGGCTGCAGTTGCTGCTCTTCTTCTTCTTCTCACTATTCGCTGCTTGCACAATGCCTTTCGCAAAAACTTGAACTGCAGGGTTAAATGATCTTTGCGGCGATTTTGTGTGCCAATTTTCGATCTTGATTCTCTGCGCTTATCGCCTGCGCTGAACAATCTCTTTTAAGTCTGTAATTGGACATTGTCATCTGAGTTGGGAAAGTGACTTGAAGAAATTGTCAACAGATCAGAACATATAGTTGGCCCTCGTATATTCAGTCTGGTGCGACATCTTACTTAGGGGATTTTTCGTTTTTCTTTTTGTGGTTTAAGTTATAAATTTAGGTCAAAATTTGACTTTCTTTGCGTGCTTTTTGCTTTTGTGTAAAATATATATATTTTTATTTTTGTTTCGTTTTGTATTCTTTTGCGGTTAAGCCATGTTTGTTGGGCTCACTTTATTTGCAATAATGTTAACACGTTTTATTTATCAAGTCAACATCGTAAATGGTGAAATTTCGCCAAGGCAAACCAAAAGAGTGCTAGAACAAACGCCATAAACGTCTAAACTCTCAATTAGAGTGGCTATTAAGGTTTGTCAATGGGCACAAGCTCATAAAACAAAAGTTCAAGTTGACAGATTAATATTTGAACAGAACGGAGTATGGCTGGGACTATGAGGTGCCCGGTGGTTTCGTATTTGTTTTGGGAAGAGGTTGCTAAATGCTGGGAGTGTACATAGAGGGCATGTGAGTAGTTCACCTGTAGGAGCCTGATGAACTGTCGCCATCTTCAATGGAAATTGAATGCGAAATCGAATTCGATATCGAATTCAAGTAATCACTGGAAAAAAGGCATGCATTATAATAGTTCGAAAGTTTCCAAATCAGCTAGTTTATGTTCTACGTTAGATACATAAATTTTGTTTTTGTTAAATTACATTTAATGAGAGGACAAATAGATATGTGTGCAAAATGGGAACAGTTACCAAATGATTTCAGCCAAATCTAACAATAATGTGAGCCTGATTTGCTTATCTTTTTTATAATTATTTTTTATGATGATGTCGAGCCACCCATTTTTACCACAATAAATTGACAGTAATAAAAAAAACTCATAAACTACATAAGATATGCATGAACTACGGAATGCAAAATGCCAATTACACAAAAACCACACAAGCATAAATTAATATTTTATGTTTTTCAATTTTTATTTTTATTTTCATTTTTACTTACTCGCTGTAAAATGGCGTAGCTTGTACGGAGCAGACCAGGACCAGGCATGCCCAGAGTCTCAGCATCTTCATGTTGTCAATAATCACCGTAACTGAAGCTAAAATCAAACAAAAAACAAACAGAAAGTTGTTGGTACAAAGAAATGCACGAAAATTTCACTGATTCGGATCGAACAGCTGTCTGGCTGGATGTCGAGATGAGTAGCGACGAAATCCAAACCGAAAATACTGGTTTTTCCATGCCAAACGGCACTCGTCTTCGACTGGGTTGAAGAAAATGTAGGTGAATGTGGACAGTTAGTTGTTTGGAAATACGACAAGAAGAAAAAAATTTTCCACTGTCTCTAGACGTTAATTACAACGTCAATAGTTGGATTTAATTACTCTCCAACGATTTTGGATGTTATTGTCTTGCAAAATTGACACACATAACATTATCATCCAAGCAAGTCGAAGTTTATGCTTGCTCAGCTACATGAAAATTGTTTTCAAGTCCTCTTCACTCCCGTGCTAAGGTACACACACATACACACGCACACACACACACTCACGAATACTAACAAATTAGCGTAGCGTACGATGCACACGATGTTTAAGCGGCAGTCGAAAAGTAACTGGCTTAGAACTCGCTCTGTTGTGCTATTTATAAGCTGTGATCGCTACCGCCGCAAGCGCTGAGAGCGGCCGGCTTGAGCTTTACCTCTCTCCCTCTCTTCCTCTCTCTCTCTTTACATGCCGCTCTCACGAAGTTCTCTCTTTGCTGGGCCAGAGAACTTTTTGCTGCGCAGGCACCATTAAATGCAAAATTCGTGTAATAATTGTGAAAGTGCCCGACAGATTGCTGATAACTGTTTACACTGCACAACATAAATTGCCGCGCTCAATAGTTTCGGTTTCAATCACAATGACCGAGGTCAACTGTTACGGTCCCACGCAAGAAAAACACATATTCAGACGCACTACCTGAACATCTCTGTGGTTATCCTATTCAAATGCGCAGTTGTGTGTCGATTGTACAATAAACTCATTTACTTTCAGTTGCCTTATTAAAAGTCCGTTCGTACAGTATTTGAATCGTGTTTTGTTTGTATGTAAAATTTGTACACATATATATTTAGGTACCTATAATTCTGTAAGCCATTATTGTTTTTCGATTACCTGTTCTCAGAATTATGAGATGATTGTTTGCTGTTTTATTTTTAAAGCAAACCCATTTTGAAGACGGAATTTCAGCGCGTAATCAGCTTAGTTAATTTGCTCGCTTGCAGTCGCTGCTCTTGCCTTATCCAAAAAAAATAACAAGTTTCAATTTGCTTACATTTGAGAATCTCACACTTGTAGTGCAAGATGTCTGTAGTTGCTATCACCTAGTCGAACAACAGAGCACTTTTGTAGGTTGTCAGCTAAATAGGCGTGCGCGATCATTGTTTATTGTTTGTTAGTTATTGCTGATAACGTTGTGCTTCCCATTTGAGATTTTTTTTTAGCTCTGCTATAGGTTCGATGAGGCTGACGGCAGCTGTGCTCAGGCCAGATGTAGCCATATATTTTGCATATGTCATGGGGGAGAAGTTCTTGAGAACTTTCCACAGATTTCGATCTTTTGATTTATGTTAAAAACACATTTGTTGAATTGTTAATAATAGTTTTTATTTATATACCAATATTTACAATAATCAATTAGACATTTGTGCTATATATGTATGCATGTATGTATATGTATATATATATATATATATATATATATATATATATATAGGTTAGTTTTTCTTAATCATTTGTATGTAGTTTTGCTTTCAATTACCGTTGTAATAAATTAATTGAAAATTAATTAACATCTCGCTTTCACTTACACAGCTCTGAATGGGTGTGTGTCTGTATGTGTATGTGTGTGTAGGTGGCTTTCTATAAAATCGATATTAGATATGTCCACGAAGTACTAAGTCAATTTTTAATTTTGATTAATTTGTCCACAAATAGATATGCAAATAATTTAATTCATATGCCATCTGAAGCTAATATGGGCTTCAAATGTGATTTTAATTAGAGTTCGCTTTAATTTTCGCTAACTTTACATCGAAACGATTAAGCCTATGTTGCCAGCAGAGGAAATCTTGTCTATAGGTAAATATGTGTGCGTGTGTATGCGTGTGTGTGTGTGTGTACTCACGTTCTAAATAATCTCCAGCCCAGCGATTATTTATAACATTGTATTTGCCTAGTTTAAGAGGAACTTCCGACTGTCATTCGTCAAATGTAAATGAGGAAGCGCTCGCCTATCTGTGCCACCAGTTCCGTTCCGCTTACTCCATCAGTGCTGCAATGGAACATGGTATCAAGGTTGCAATTGGGAGTGGCTTCACTTACCAGGACGCTTGCCTCGCATGCCAAGAAAGCCGCTGGGCGCACGTTTGCCACCAATTACATAGACCCATGGCAGAACCATATTCTCCTCCAGTCCTCCGTTGCCATCGCTTAGGGCGCTCTTCTTGCCACGCACAGCCACAAATTTACTGTTGAAGTCCGCATATCGTTGCTTCTTGCCTCGCACATCGTATGCCTTTTTAAAGAGTTTGCGCCACAACTGGCCATGGTTAGTTCCAACAATATTATAAATTACAATTAGTCTGTAGTTTGAGATAAGGGCGTGACAAAATAAATGCATTCATATTGAAGTTCTTAATGAGATCATTGCGAAATCAAAGCGAAAACGGAAAATAAATTGTAGTAAAGTTTTAAGTGATGTGAGAGTTTAATATGGTTTTCTATTTCATTGAAATTATAAATATTTAAGTATTATAAATATTTTGAGGTCTGAAATTTTGTTTCACTGACTGATTCTTCAAGAGTTCATAACAATTCTAAGCAAATAATGGTTCTGTTCTTCTAACTTCGTCTATTTTCCGGCGTGCCTAATGATGAAGACCCTCTTTGGTAAACTGGGTATGTAAATAGAAGTAAGGATACTCTACAAGCTCCTTAGAAATACCATTACAGTGACTGAGAATTACTGTTTGGTGCGATTTATGGGCTGGTGGAGTCATTTGTCCTTAAAAAAGATGATGGTCATGATTGATATGAATGAGCAAATAAGAGTTTGAGATTGGACCTTATGTGCGCAATGGCATAAACATGACCGAAATAATATTTAAACATTAATGTCATGCAACATTCTATACAATAAATCTTATTATATTAGTATTAAAAATAAATATATTTATTTAATTATGATTGAAGCTTATGAAACTCTAAAAAAAACACTTTATATTATAGAAATTTATCACGAAGTAGAAAAAATTATTTGGAGGTTCAAATATTTACATATATGAATTTCTAGCAAAGTTTTATTAGCAAGTGTTCCCAGTATTAAAATAAGAGTTAAAGTCCTATTCATTGACATTTCCTAAGCCTACATTTCCGTAACATTTCTTACGTACGTCCCCTCTGTTAACTCTCTGTTAATAATATAGCTGGAAATCTGTCACGCGCTCATCTGGAGCTGTATATGTTTGGCTTACCTCTGAGAGAGCTGCGCGCTTGTAGTGCTGATGTGAGACATCCTTTTTGCCACGCACGCCTACAAAGGAGTTGATAGGTGCGCGTTTCTCCAGCAGCTCTTGGGCATCATCTTCATCATCAGCAGGGTCGTTTTCGGATAATGATGGACGCTTGCCACGCATGCCAGTAAATCCGGTGGGTGCTCGTTTTTCCACATCACCACCGTCATTCGCCAGATGTTCCAGGAAATCCTGTAGGAAACTCTCCCGCAGACGCTGCTCCTCCATGTTCTGTAGTAAGTCGCGCAGTCGATTGTTACTCGACGTAAATTTCTTGCCTCGCACGCCAACAAAGGCCATTGGAGCTTTTTTGAGCCTTCTCCCGATCTCATTGTAAGAGTTGTCCGCATCGTCTTCAGCATAATCTAAGGGATCCGGGCCTGACCAGTTGGCATCTGTCGATACTTCTCGTTCCTTCTTACCTCTCATACCAATAAAGCTGGAAGTTGGAGCTCGCTTAACCATGTTTCTTGGCTGTTGCTGTGCGTCAGGCGCCGAAGGGCTAATAGTGATAGCGTCAGTATCCTCTGACTCGACTGCAGCAGCGTTGCTTACAATCGCAGCTGCTGTTAGCAACAGAAGCAACAGTAACAGTTTCTGATTGCACATCTCTTTAAATTTGTGTTGCGTGCTCTTAGGCGGGTGCTGAAAATAAAAACGACCGTTAGATGGCGCAATAGCTTAATAAAAACCGATATAAGAAATTCATACAAATATGAGCTCAAAAAGAAATGGTTATGCTTAAAATGACACTTATTTTATTACTAATTATTTATTAAATTCATCTTCTCTCTTTATATTATGTAAATGAAAATATATTTATAATTTACATTATATAATTTTGAAGTGGAAACTTCATTATAATAATATTTTTAGAATAGAACAGAAACAGAACAGAAAAGTCTTTACTAACACTTGATTTGCTATAGGCACCTTAAAAGATATGTCAATGTAAATAAGATGTGATGTATTATTTCGATATACCCTATTTTCCTCTAAAGTGTATCTCATTTTGTTGTTTTGCATTGGAAATTTCACCTTGGTTTCATATGGGTATTTGACTATTGCAATTGGCTCAAAAAGCCAACGGCTGTTGCAACAATTTATAGTCCCACATACGCAAATATTTGTAGACCAAACAAGCTGAGCCACCTTAGAGCTGCAATGGGTTGTGCTGCATGCATCCATTGCTTGCCATTGATTATGCTCGAAAGTTGCCATCGCCCGCCGCCTCGTTAAGTAAAATTGCCATGCAAATGCGTTGGCAATGTCGTCGAGGCACTCTCGATAAGACGGCTATGCATATCCCAGCCACCCGGGCAACTGGTGTCAGAGCAGCAAGCGCAAACAAGAAAGCTGGCACAGAACTGTGCTCGATTTTAAGATACTTTATAAAATTGAAAAAAAAAAAATACTTGATACTCCACTGATAAAGACTGCTTATATTTATTACTATTGTTATTGTGTAAGATTTTAGTTGCAAAACTATAAACTTTATTATGCTAAATGGATACCAACATGATTTGGCCACTTTCAAACTAGCCAAAAAATAAAATATTTTATCTTCTGACTTGTCGTCTTTATTAGAAATAAAAAAATTTCAAATATTTTAGTGCAATTTCCATGAAATTGCGGTTGGCTTATGCCCTCTTCGAGTGAGCTGCACTGAGGGTATGGTAACACTAACGATGCGCGCACAGGAAGCTGGCAACATGTAATTCAATTGATTGCCAGTGGCGTCGAGAAGAAGTTGCAGGCTGCGATGCGCGGGCAGAGCCAAGAGACGCCAAGTGGCAATTGAATTGAATGCAAAAGGCATTTGAATTGAATTGATGTTAAATTTGCGGTAATCAACAGGTTGCAAGCATAGTTTTATTTCGCCTCGATAGGGCCCATTGATGATGTCAATGGGTGAGCTTTGGCTTGCTGGCTTTAAGCTTAAGTGCCCGGAGCTGACAGTTTTTAAATACTAAAAATAACAGGGCAACGGCAAATGTCAAACTATCTGAAGGCCCTTCGCCGACGTTGCACAAGTCTCCATGCTCACGCTCTTTTATGACCAAAGTTTCAGGCACAAAATTAGCAGGCAGCAAAGTGTTAAGCTTCCTGTTTTTGAGGCGCCTGCCCGCTGGGCGCTTCACCATGACATGAAAGTGACAGCAGGCAGCAGTCGAACAATGACTTAGAAACAGGGCCAGTCAACACTCCGCACACGATGCATATGTGAATATGCCGGGATGGCTTTAAGTCAAGCTGTAAGCTGTGGTAAGTGTGTAGCATGTGTGTCCTGTCTAATTGTCAATGTATGTGTGACTCTGTGTTTGCTTTGTGCATACCCAAAGGACACTTTAAACTGCCAACGGGCCAGCAGGCCAACAAACCAATGGCCGTGTGAACATTAAAGATGCGAGAGGCGCCACAGCGAGAGATTTACATTTTGGCCAAAATAGCGCCCAGGACGTGCCACGGATATCCTTCGGTATACGCTATGTGTGCATGTGTGTGTTTGCCTGTGTGTCTGTGTGGGTAATAAAGGCCCATTAGCCCGACAGCCGACCCACTACAACAACGTCCACGCCGACGACAACAACAATAATAGAAACAAACGTACGAAATAAATAATAGAACAACACTGAATGGAAAATTCACTTTCTGGCCAATTGTTCTCAGTTCTCAGTTCTCAGTTTCAGTTTGCCTGCGGCTGCATCCCGTTATTGCCCTCTCTGCATCTATCTCGCGCTGCCCCCTCAAAAATAACAAACAAGCCGCTGCTTGGTTGGAGAATGGGGTAGGGGAAAACGTGTGTTTGGGCAACAGTTAATGCATAGCATATGAAGCGTTCCCAAACTCCTTTTTACTGGGCCCTGCAGCTGTAGCCCCATTCGAATTTCCGATGGCAGTGTCAATCGTGCTCATAAGGCTCTGTATTTGCATACATATATTAATATTAACCATCGGCCTCAGATGCCCAGTTGCACAGCAAATGGATATATCACGTTTAAAAGACCGCTTTAAAGCCCATTTATATATATATATATATATTTTTATTAGATATTAGTTGACATCGCAGTTATTGAAACAGGTTTCTGTAGTATAGTGCATGATGAATGTAACTACAATTACTCAACAATTTGAGAAAGCTTTAAAGGCAAGAATAGATTATTCTGAGCTATAGCAATATGCAGACGAAACTACGAGGCGTCGAGATCTACCTATCTAAATAATTTGTTATATACTCTATCCATTGAGAGTATATTTGACTGTGTAACATTTATCTTTAGTTCACCTCTGCAAACACTAAATTGATCTTGTCTTGTTCGTTCGTGCATTCGTCCGTCTTTTCATTAGTCCATCCGTCCGTCCATCTGCTCTTCCAAACGTTCGTCCGTTAGTCCATCCTTCCATCCGCTTGTTCGTCCGTCCGTCCGTCCATTTGTCCGTTCATCCATTCGCCCATCCATCCGTCCGTCCATCTGCTAGCCCGTACCTCCATTCGTCCGTCCTCCCATTCCTCAGCTCTTTCGTCCGTCTATTCGTCCATCTTTCCCCCTTCCGATCATTCTTCCGTCCGTCCGTTTCTTTATCTGTATATACGTAACGCTCTCGTATCAATATGCTTATCGTACTTTGAATTTGCTTCATATCCTTGCTCATATTCGTAATGCCAGCACTAAATGACTTAAAACAATGTTTTCTTCAGAAAATAATGCTGACACGAGCGTAGTTATTGAATAGTGAATAGTTCACTTTTCAGACAATAAAAAAGAAACATAAATTTAATTGCAGAGAAAAGCGTTTTATCTAAATGACTTGGCACATTTTGAATGGCATATGTATATAAATAAATATGTTAGATTCGGTTGATACAGGTACACGTGCAGGGTATTTACTAGTCGGTAGTTCTCAAGAGACAGAGAAATTCCCACAGATGAGTCATATGCTCTTAGTACTATTGTATAGGCATATATTTGAACAAAAATCCAGAGAAATAGCTCTAAGCAAAAACACGTATGAATGTCTCTGCACATTTGATTAAGAAAGTCCATCTGGAAGAAGAGTTATTCAGCAAATAAGTTCGCATTGTAAAGACCATGCTGCAGCCCAAGCTTAACAGAAGAGCGCGTACTTATGCGTGGGTGCGTCTGAGTAGACAGGGTATCTGCTAGGCGGGCACTGCAAGCTGATGGCGGTAATTTTCTTTCATGAGCACGACACGAGAGCTAAAATAACGATGACTGCTGCACACGAGTGAATTGAAAACACATGAATGATTCAAGAATCGTTCTCGCCATGTGTTTAGGCTGCACTTATCAGCAGCTCGTGGCTGGCGATCGTTCAGTTTGAGTTTGGCTTTCAAGCGAAGCGCACGGCTCGGTCAGGCAGTGAATATATGTATATACAAGAGAGCTGCATGCATCAGCATTTAAATATATATAACTATAAACTGTGTGTATCATAGAGATCAAATTGGAAATCAAAACATTGGCTGCTTAGCACCAGGTGAGCATGGGAATTGCGCTAAGAAAAGCAAGTGCTGTACTGTTACTTGTACAGTTATCTTAATGGGATTGAAACACGAACCCTGCTGACCTGATAAACAGAATAAAAGTCTGTGAGATCTTTGACTTAGCAAAATACTACAAAAACAATGAACAACAACGAGCTAAATCTAAAGCAAAAGCAAAAGAAAATAATCAACTTTCTTGTGGGGCACTCTCTGGGAACCTGGGCCTCTGCCAGGGCTTGGGCTTGGGCGCTGGCATGCAAAATAATTGAATTGGGTCAAATGTTTAAAATGCTTGTCTCATGTTGTGCGATCGGCTGACGTTGAATAACGAATAGCATTAAAAGTGTGTCTCAGATTTCGTTGTTCTTGCCGATATATAAATTACCACAACATTACGAGTTCCGTTTCGACTGCGGCATGTGTTTATGTATTATGTACATATGTACTTCTGTGCATATGTATGTAATAATGTATGAGTATATAAATGCATATACGGACAGATCGTTTTAGTGATTGCCTTAATTTTTGGACAGGTCTGCAGCACTCGTCCAAGTTCAGGGCCGGGAATTCACACATCATTTAATTCACTCTCAATTAAGAGCACGCACTACATTAGCTTTGACACAGCTCAGCAATTTTTTAGTTTTTATAACACAAACGTATGTATATTTGTCTGACTCGCATCAAGATACTTACAAATTCTTATCAAAATTCCATTAGACTTGGGACCAATAGGCCCCACTGCAAGGGGGATGCACAAAGCTGTTTTCTAAATTCGAAAATAAGTCGATTTTTTAATGACTGCCAAATGAATTTGAGTAATCAAATAGATTGAATCAACAGTCGTGTACTTCACATTAAAGAACGCAAAAGGAGATCTATCATAATCTATATTGTAAAGCACCTTGAATTGCGTGTGAAAATAAAGACTTCACTTGTTAAGCTGCCTAGAAAGGTCACATACTGTGCAAGGATTATTACAACATAATTATAATATAAATATTATTTTGTCATATACCATAGAATAATAAAATACAGCCAAACAAGTGATATTAAATCAATGCATTATCGAAATATCTTTGCTGTTTTTCATTTGCCTTGCTTTATATGTTCACCAAGTTCTGAGGCTGATAGAAAATTGAATTTAAACATTGGCCACTTATCAGTGAGCCATAAACAGAAATGGGATTTGTGAGGTGGAAAATACACGTACATAACAAATACGTGTACATACTTATGCGAGTAGGTAGTTGAGCAGTGATAAGAGCCGGCCTGAGCACATACAGCGAGTGCCGAGCTCAAATAGGCTGAGAAAATATTTCTTTATGGTCTTGGAACAGCTGTCACAGTGCCTCAATAAGGTCCAGGGCTTTGGCCAAAGCAAATAAATAAATAAACATTGCAGTAATTGTGAATTGTGAAATGTGAAATGTGAGTGCGCATCAAATTAACGCTCATGAAAATGAAACAGTCACAGGCCAAGTTGTTGTTCTTGGCCAAACAAAAGTGGCATAAATTTATAATTAATATGTCAACCGAGGCGCTGCATCAAGTTAGCAGAACAAACAGAGATTGATTCAGCGCGCAGTCCGTCAATCAGTCGGTCAGTCAGCCAGTCACTCAGTGAGGACAGAGCTAACAATGTGGCACACGACGGCCACGATGTCAACTAAATAATTGAACCATGAACTTGAGTTAACGCAATAATCCCATTCCAACCGAGACATTTGCGGCAGCACAAGATTTCGCTGATTAGCAAAGCTGCCGCATTTTGTTTCCGTAAAGCTGATGGCCATGGACTCGGATATGATGAAAAGCGCAATTTACATAGAGGGAAGTAACAATCCTTCTATGTAAAGCAATCTGGGCTAATTCTATAAGATATGGAATATTACATGATATAATCGCCAGACAGACGCTTGACACTTACATAAAAATGTAAAATTCATTATAGGAACTTCAAGTTAACTTAAATAAGTACAGTCGGGTTGAAACGACTTCGCGATACTCCTTCCTTATATGTTTCAGTTCAGATTGTCTACCCGAGTATATATTCCAAAATGTATTCCCGATAGGCAACGCCCCTAGTGGGCTCATCAAAAAGGCTTAATACTTTATAGACTTGATTTCTCAAGGAGCATACCCTGCGCAACATCAGGATAGTGCACCCTTCACGTTCTCCGTTAATTTTTCTATTTTCTATACCATTCGAGTTAAAGTCCTACAATTAATTTTGTATTTTTTTACTCTACTTTATTCTTATTAAAATAAAACAAAATTGAGTTCTGCATAATTTCAGTAAATATTAAGAAAAAAGTTAAAAAAAGGTCTCAAAAAGAAGTTGCTAAAAGTAGTCATCAGGATAGCCCAATCATTAATAATTTGTTTATTTTAATATTTTCATGGCATAAGTTGGTTTTAAATACTTTTATTTCACATTTGAAACTCCTTTAAATTAAATTAGTAGTATGGGGCTCCAACAAGTATTACAAAAATTAGATTAGGAATTCAATTGTAAATATATTCAAAATAAATTTTAAAAAATTAGATAAACTCTAATATTATATATATTAGTGTTTTTCGGAGCCGTACCCCAGCCTTGTCAACCATTCTCTAACGTGATCGTTGTTATTTAAGTCTGCGTAGTAAGGTGTGCCTCCAAGGACATTCACGTTTAGGTTCTGCATTTATTTGATACAAGTCTCTAACTTCAATCATAACTTCATCGATACCCCCACTCGACATTGCAATAAGCCAATACACTCTCTTAACTCCATAAGCGAGTATAAAATAATTATATTCGAATATAGAAAGGTGTTTTATTGCATTGCATGAACTATTCATACTCTGGAACATTCAACAAAAATATTACAATTAATACCCGAGCTTTCTTCTTATAGTTTGTCAAGAAGAAGCACAGTAACAGTATACGCAGTCGAGCAAGCTGCGTGAGTGGATTTGTGTGTCAGTGTGTGTGTCTTTATAGATAAAGATGTGCGTGAAACAGTTGAGCACATTTAATTGTTGTAGTCACATGTGTCACGATAAGTGGGTCATTTACCCTCTATTTGGAAGCGATCGGGTAGACTCAACTGAACATTACTGTTACTTAGGAGCCTATTTTCTGTTATTTTCCCGTTTTCGAAATATTTAGTTTTTGACCTAAATAATCTTTTTCACTTATAAATTATTTCTGAAAAGGCTAAGAAGACTACTAATTTAATGTTTTATTTACCACACTAAAGAATATTCGAACATGTGAAACTTGTTAATTGAGACAGTAAATCATAAATTAGAGAAAACCTAAAGTCAACAATAGTATTTCGTTAAAGTAGTTAGTATTTCTGGACTCTAATCTATTCCATCAATTTAATGCCAAGCTAATTTTTTATTAATACTGTCAGTTTCTTGAGCGATAAAAACAGTTTCTTTTTTAGAAATGAAGTCCAGATTAAGATTGAGCTTATACTCTATACTCTATACTTAAATAAAAAATCATATTCAAACACATTCTTTTTTCTTCGGATAATCCTCTTTCTGCTATATATTTATCGCACTTTATTTCATTTAAGCTTTTCTGTTTAAGAAATAACTACTTCCAACTAAAGATCATACTGTAATAATATCGTAATTCAATATTTAGGCAAGTCGGGCGTAACCGACTGCATATTACTCGTTTATGGTCTAACAACAGAAGGCTGAATAAAGTAACTTAATTGTTAAAATTTTGATTTCTAGGTCTAAAACTGTAAGAGATACAGGCTTGCTCGCTTATATTCTTTAGCACTTTAATTAATAGCATTTCTGTTTTAATAATATATATATATATAAAATATATATATAATAATAATATGTAATAATATTTCCCAATTTGCCACACCTTATAAGACGAGTTTATGCCCCACATTTCTATGGTCTATAGTCTAGAGCTTGCGGACAGCCAGACACACATTGCCGAAAACTAATATACTCAAATATTTCAAATTATATGAGTATAAAAATGCTTTGTGAAATGGTAACTCTACTGCAGTTTGACAGCAGTGACTAAAATAATGTTTTCATAATTCGAGTATTTTTGATTTCAGCGCTAAATTTTAAATGTATTAATTTTAAAATTTTAAACAATTTGGAAATAGATTAAGAATTAATGAATTTAAAAAAAATAAAAAGCCTTAAACTTTCCTCGTCTTAAAATTTTGCTTCGCAGACGTTGCCTGGCAATAATGAATCTGTTGTATGGCTTGTTGACGATTGTGGCATTGGTGTCCATTGCCGACCTGGGCAGCAGCTCTCGCTTGTTTACTGTGGACTACGAGAATGATCGATTTCTTAAAGATGGACGGCCATTTCGCTTTATTTCTGGATCCTTTCACTACTTTCGGGCTCATCCCGACACCTGGTCGCGACACTTGAGAACGATGCGTGCAGCAGGACTCAATGCAGTTACTACGTAGGTTTAGTGCTTAGCCTGGCAGGCTGACTTCTTAATTTGAAGCAAATTTATTATATTCCTATTTGTTAAGTTACGTGGAATGGTCACTGCACAATCCGCGCGATGGCGTCTACGTTTGGACGGGCATTGCAGATCTGGAGCGCTTTATACGCCTAGCTGTGGATGAGGATTTGTTGGTCATACTTCGTCCCGGACCCTACATCTGTGCCGAGCGCGACATGGGCGGCTTTCCCTACTGGCTGCTCAACAAGTTCCCGGGCATTCAACTACGTACAGCCGATATCAGTAAGTGCATCAACAATGGCTTGATTCCAACCCAATGGAACTAAGCAGATTCTTCAATTCTGCAGACTATCTGAGTGAAGTGCGCATATGGTACAATCAGCTAATGGCACGCATGGTTCCCTATCTGTATGGTAATGGCGGACCCATTATCATGGTTCAGGTGGAGAACGAGTATGGCTCATACTTTGCCTGCGATGCCAATTATCGCAACTGGCTGCGCGATGAGACACAAAGCCACGTCAAAGACAGTGCTGTGCTATTCACCAACGACGGACCCGGTGTGCTGCGCTGTGGCAAAATACAGGGTGTTCTGGCCACGATGGACTTTGGGGCCACATCAAACCTTAAGGACATCTGGGCCAAGCTGCGACAGTTTGAGCCCAAAGGTCCACTAGTAAACGCCGAGTACTATCCCGGCTGGCTGACGCACTGGACCGAGCCAATGGCCAATGTGAGCACTGCAGCAATAACAGGAACTTTCATGTAAGTGTATTGAGAGGATATATTAAAAGCCTTAAGCCAGCAGGTGGGGGTGACCACTCAAAAGATAGAAGGGAGGATACATGGCCTGCTTTCACTATCGAGGTTTGCATATGATGAGCTTCTCTTCCTTCTCTTTTTTTCTAGTAACATGCTTGATAGTGGAGCCAGTGTCAACTTCTATATGTTTTATGGTGGAACGAACTTTGGTTTTACGGCCGGCGCCAATGACAATGGCCCCGGCAACTACATAGCAGACATAACCAGCTATGACTACGATGCACCAATGACAGAAGCCGGTGATCCCACGCTCAAGTACATGGCTTTGCGTCAAATTATTGGCAGGTATTTGCCGCTGCCGGATATTCCAGTGCCAGCGCCGGTGCCCAAGCGGGCTTACGGAACGGTCAGGCTACTCAGCTGCTGTACGTTGCTGTCCGACGAGAGTCGAGACAAACTGAGCACGGGCGTTGTGCGGTCGCCGAAGCCAAAAACCTTTGAGGCACTGGACCAATATTCTGGCTTGGTATTATATGAGACTTGGTTACCGGCGCAGTTTAAACGGGATCCGAGTGTGTTGCACGTTCGTGGGCTGGCGGACCGTGGCTATGTCTATGTGGACAATGAGTTTATAGGCATATTGGCACGTGAGACACCTGTCTTCGATTTGCCATTGAGTGCCAGCATGGGCAGAAAGTTGCAGATCCTGGTTGAGAATCAGGGACGCCTCAACTTCGGAAGGCAGCTGAACGACTTCAAAGGACTCACGAAGGACGTGCGCCTGGACAAGCAGATATTAATCAACTGGAATATGACCCAGTATCCCCTGGAATCCTACGAAAGCTTGGAGACACTGATTGTTCAGTCCACCGCAGCGGCGCAAGCTGGTTTTCATGAGATCAAGGAACTGAAAACGATTCTACGCAATGGACCGGCCATCTATTATGGCTCGTTGACCATCAACAGCGCCGAAGAGCTGGCGGACACATACCTAGATATGTCCGGCTGGGGCAAAGGCATTGTCTTCCTAAATGGTGAAAATCTGGGTCGCTACTGGCCTCTAGTTGGCCCGCAGATAACGCTATATGTGCCAGCTCCAGTACTGAGAGTGGGCAGCAACCGTCTGATCCTAGTCGAATACCAACAGACACCGACCAACATGGAACTGCAGTTCCGAGATACACCCATCCTAAACAGCAGATGTTCAAATTAGCTTAGACACTACTACTTCTGTATCGTGTATCATGTAAATTGTACTAAATTAAGTTTTTTATAAGACATTAAAATCTGGTAATGTGTCCTTTATCCTTTTGTAAGCCTGCTGCTAAAAGACTCATTACCGAAGCATCGCCATCAGCATCAGCCCCCACCATCGCAGCACAAAAAATAAAAAACAACCACAGGGAAGCACGCATGTGACCTTTGTTCGTATGCCACCTTCCCAAATTAATCCCAAATGATTGAAGTCCACGACAGCACAGAAGCTGCTAAACTGTCGTCAGTAAAAGTTCAAATTCACGTCAGAGCTCGTTGGTTTCAACGCTGAAGTTAAGATATATGGATATGTTATTTATATATACTTTATATGTATATATAAAATACATTTATTTTTAGTTTTCTTTTTTAAAACATAAGCTTAAATCCCTAGATTCAGTAATGAAGCAATTTATTTTTGTTAGTCCTTCAGCCTTGCTCTTTAGTTAAGCTAAGATGAAGATAATGTGGAAATGAATAATACAAATATAGAGTCAAATACCGTTATCTTGCTCTCAAGCTAATTTGGGTTCTTATAGACTTAACATGCATCATTGACCCATCGAGTCTAATACTTGATGAGAGTCATGTTTAGGATTTTATAATTAAGCAAACAAATATTTATATTTATTTTTTATTTCATAATTGACAAGCAAGACTTCCTGAGCGAAAATTAATTTTTTTTTGGGAATCATTCATTTAAAAAAAATATATATATATAGAATAATTCTACAAAAATAATAATAGCTAAGCCAAACGGCTCCCAACTTGACCATCTTGTTATTTTAATTAGCCCTGTAGCTAAAATAATTGTCGTACTTGATGTTAAGGTTAATTAGAACGCGCTTAGCAGCGTCCACACACACACGCACAGGTAGGCGTTCAGTTTTTGAAAACATCTTTCAGGCGCAGCTGCAGCTCGAGTACTTGAAAATGTGTACACAGCCCGTGCAGGTGTGTAAGGGAGCTGGGCACATACATTTCCTTGTTATTTGCTGCAGACACATGTACGTATTTATGTACTAATTGCGACTGTCCAAGTTGACATAAAACAAGTTAAGGCCCAGAGGCTGCTTTAAAGCACCGCCCCATGTTGGTCGTTTTTTAGTTTTTACAGAAATGTTAGCTTGTTGTCTCCAAATGGACCACACGATGCGTGTAGTATATGTCAACACCGGATGCGAGTAACATTAGCTAGCTCCGAATCGCCGAGGCGCATCAAAACACATATTTTCGCATTGAAGTAGCATTTTTATTAGCTTTTGCCGCCGGCTGATTAGCCGTCGGCTTGGTTGTCATACTATACGAAAGGTTAAGGTGCATTTGATTTGATTTGATGTTGAAGCAAACAACTTCTAAGAAATAATTTAATAATTGTAGGTCCAATCGACGTGTTTCAAACTGCCTTAAACAGTTCCTAACTAAGCACAGTGGAGCAAAAATCATATTCAAGCAAGAGAATTTCAAAATATAAATGGCATAGAAAAGTAAGTTTCTCGAGCCTTAAAATTAAAATGAATTCAGAGAGTACTATATTTACAAGGTGATTCACAATTTTCTGCCAAAATTGGATTTTGTAAAATATTAACTTTTGTTATTGCAGATGAAAAATTATTATTAGTTTTGATTAATACGACAAGAAATTCTAGAAAGAAGAAACTCAATAAATTGTTTTTAGTTTTCTCAAAAAATTTTGTCGCTGTTGGTCTTCCTGTACGTAATTTTGACCTCATCAGGTCTGCTTTATGATTCAAACAAATAAGGACTAATCTGAGTGTTCACTCGCAAAATTTTAGCTGCTTTCAGTCGGTATTAAGGCACGTAAATAATAAATGCTAAGGACTTTCAGCTAATGCCTAACATATCTCAAAGGACACTTTTCTCACTGATTACTTACGGCTTACTGACATTTGTATGAAAAGATGCTAGCAATTGTCAAAAAATAAAGATAATAAAAATGACATATATGGAATCACATATAAAAATAAGTATTTGCAAATTATTAAATTTTATTTTATATTAAAAATTTTGGAAATCAAAGAATCTTAATTAATGTTTTCTTTTCAACATTTATCAATTACAATTAACACATACATACAATTAGAATAGTCTTATCTATAATAAAATTCTTTGGTATATCAGTATCAAATATTTAAGCAAAAACAATATTCTGTTTTCGGCCATACGGGAACCAATCGTGCAGAGCTAACTAATTTGTTGTATTTCCCTTTGACCAATCGAAGTACAAAGTTGGCTTAAGTCGAACTGGAAACAAGTTCTCAAGTTACTTCATGTTACTAACATTTGTAAGTAAACCTTAATGCTGTTGGTAACTTCATTAGTTACACAAGCTGAGCATTAAATATTTTATAAGTACAACTGGATGTTTCCTTTTTATTATCTTTTGCTCTATTAACAGTCGATGACTTTTGTGTGCTTGCTTAAGCAAACTTGATTTTGATACAAAGCTATTACATTGACTAACAGGTTGAATTATTATTTTGAAAGCCAAAAGTTGTATATTATAACATCACATTTTAGAGTCGAAGTTCGTTATTTCACAAATATTTAGCTTAATATTTCATAAACACAACTATTTCTATGCACTTACAATTATTAAATTTTAAAGTTTCAATTGTTTGCCTTGCAGTTGCTCAACAGCTCTGTGTGAGCTTCAAAAATTGTTTTATAAATTGTTTTTTTTTTTTATCTTATAGCGCACTGCGAATGAACACCCCGAGAAGTATGCAACAACTGAGCGACAGATCAAAGCGGCAAAGGACTTTATAAATGCTCAACGCTGGCCGCCAGCGAAGAATACAACTACATACACACACAGAGCTGAATGCGCTTCGTTGGATACACGCACACAACGAACAGGAAACGACAAGCTCGAAGCACGAAGCACGATGCTGCTCGTGTGTCGTTCGGCTCATGCCTTTTGCGTTTATTTGTTCGTGCATATCAACAATTGGTCGAATAGAAATTCAACTGTGTCTGTGTTGTTCACTGTGTGAGTTGGCGGTGGGACTTGGGCCTCACGCAAGTGAGTGTGGGTGCATGGGTATGTGTGCGTGCGTTAGCGTTGGTCTGCTTTTATGTGGGCGCCACTTTGTTGAAAAAAACGAATAACGGATGCATACTTTTAGGTCGCGGCGCGCAATTGAATTGAACGGAAATATTGTTTGCATATGTGAATAAAACATTAAACAAGAAAAATTTTGGCCTGCCTTCATAAGCATATGCGAAATATATTCATTTGCTTTTCGATATTAATTTTTACAACTCGGCCAGTTTTTATTTGAAATGTTAAAGTAACTTTCAACAAACTTTAAATTTCCCAAAAATATCCTAAATTGCATATTTGCATTTAGCATTGTTTATGGACATTATTTGCACAACACATCAAATAATAATAATGCAAAAATACAAAAAATGATTTTCCATTGCAAATTACCCCTTAAATGTGTATTTATGTTAATCTTAGAATTCTTATGCCTGCGTCATGCTGTCAGCGTGGACGATGACGTTGGAGGAAACGAAAATAAAATCTGAAATCTGCATCTTTTAGGCGCGCGCCACACTTGAGTCGAGGCTAGCTTGGAGAGCAACAGCTCCAAGACCTAGACCGTACAACCAAAAGCCAAGATAATAACAAACCACGTGCCACTCGTAAAGGCCAAGTGTATGCAAACACGAACGCCCACGTCCGTACATCCTTTGCTCATAGCCGAAAGGCAAGCGTTTATTACTGTACTGTATGCAACAACAAAAATATTAAAACAAGCATCTTTAATACAAATGCAAATGCAAATGCAGACAACTACATACACACAGCATTGCTTGTCTTTTTGTTGTGTTTCTTTTATTTTTCAATTTAAATGTCTGTTTAACAGCTTTGGGCCTTAACATATCCAAACAAAAAATATTATATTTTAAACAAAAATTGAAATCAAACTAAGTTTGGCTCCGTATGCTTCGAAGGGGTGAAGGTCAAGCATAGCTGAATATTGATTCATTTTTGTTTTAACGTGCAACATCTTTAAATTTCAAAGGTATTCTGCTGTTTCGCTTCCAACTGGATGCATATTAGGCATCTTCATTCGGGGCCATAAAACTCGATTGCACAGTGCTGTAATTTGCATTTAGATTGGCAATCACTTCCTGTAAAGTTTGGATATATATTGTATTATATTTATTCACTCTTTCAATTAACAGCATTTCAGCTATATTTGACTCATTCCGAATTTAACTGTTTTGTTCTATTTACGACCATTTCAAATATTTGCGCTGACTATGACAAACATAATTAGCATTTAATTAAAATAAAATTGCGCAATGCTTTTATTGATAGACAAGCAATTGGTGATTTGATTATTGAAATCAAATAAATCAGCCGCGAAAGCCAGCAACCCTTTGGCAATGTTAATATACGTGTATATACATATATATATATATATATATCGGAAATGCTGATAACACTAGAATGATCAAAGCCCCAGTTTTAGACGATTGTATTCTGGGAATGGCATGCCTTACCACGGCCAAATAAAATTGATAAAGCGTGGCAACAGTTTTGTGCTATTTTGTGGCGTGTCATTTATCTATAAATGGAATTTATTCTGTTAATTACATTATGGACTCGCAAATGGCTCTTACGGCCTGAGATAAGCCCATGGGACCACACAATGCATATGTGGCGCCACCTGTTGTACATCGGAGGCGGCAGATCCGCAACTGCAGCAGCAGGTGGCACAAATTCAATTTAAAAATGCATTATAAAAGAAAGCATTCAGAGCATTCCAAAAGGACATGAACTACGTAATAGAGGGTTGCCCTTAAAGTTAGCCTAACGTAAAAAGACTCATTTTGCTGGAGGCTATCTAATCCAAAACCTGTTGATTATTTATATATATATTCGTCTCAAGGCAATAACCCAAATGTTAAAATCATAGATAGAACATTTACATTATGTGTCATTACATCGAAAACACATGGAGCTGCCCTCTTATCACGTAAAATGCAATTTTTTGCGCGTTTCTGTATTTGCTGTCCGTATATTGTTGAGCAAACAAAGTGAATTTGTCGCACATATGGAACACAACAATTGGGTTGGTGAGATACGGATAAATGAGATTTATCTGTGTTTGAAATTGTCACAAGAACAACAAAAATTGGAATACGTTCAAAAGCAATATATATATATATTGAATTGTATTGCTGAGATGTTAAATGTTTACAATTTAATGAGTATTGTGGGCTACAAATAAATTACACACTACCAAACATATACAACTGGAATGTAATTCACTTAACAATCCTGAAAGACGCATTAATCAATTTTAAAAATAGAGCGGTGGCTAAAGCACCACTAAAGCTTAGTTGTACATTGACATATATGCACAAGACTATAGTATATAATTGCATAAATTAACTAATCAAATAACTACGTAAGAATTTTTGGCTAGGCAAGCTAATCAATGCGGATTACACCAGCACCAACACCACCACTGTGTGCGCACATTGGAGGCATGAATGTCCATTTGTCTGTCTCCGGATCGTAGACTTCAACGGTGGACAGATTCGTTTCACCGTCATAGCCACCAATGGCCCACAGCTTGCCCATGTTGGCAGCCAACGCTACGCGAGATCTTTTACAGTTCATTGGCGTCACCAGTTTCCAAGTGTCTGTCAGTGGATCATAACACTCCACAGAACGCAGAAATGAGTTACCACAGTAACCACCACAAACATATATTTTTCCATTAAGCGTGGCTACTCCCAAGCGACAACGTCGATTCAGCATCGGTGACATCTTGATCCAGACATCCTCGTTCTGATCATAACGCTCCACAGAGTCGAAAATTGACAAACCATCATGGCCTCCTAAAGCATAGACGTAACCATTCAGTTGAGTAACTCCACCCGCTGAACGATATTTCATCATTTGGGCCACCTGAAAGTATATTATACACATGAGTATTATTAACATACAATTTTTAGTATTCTACACACCGTTTTCCACGTATTAATTTTGGGGTAGTAAACCTCAACAGTGTTCAGCGATGTAACGCCATCGTATCCGCCACAAACATAAATGCAATCATCCAAAGCAGCGACCCCGACGGCGCTGCGCTTGCACAACATAGCACAGCCCTGAGACCATTTGTTTTTGCGCGGATCATAGACTTCCACTGTCGACAGTCGTTCGGTGCCGTTAAAGCCACCGAAGGCGTACAATTTGCCGTCTAAAACAGCCACACCCACTCGGGATCTGTCGATTGCGATTTAATATATACAAGTTAAATGAATGCGTGTGATAGATCTATGAAACTTCCAACTCACCGCATCATGGACATTTGTTCACCCATTTTCCATTTTTTTTTAATGGGATCGTAAATTTCCACAGTACTGACAGATTCACCGGTGCTGGCTAGTCCACCTACGGCGTAAATTTGGCCCGTAAAGAACTCGCCACACCGTTGACGTGTGCGAAAGCTCTGAAGCAAGCCACGACGCTCGGGCATCAAATGAAAGTCTTTTGCCTCATCTAATAAGTCTCGGCATTGGTGAGAAGAACGTATTAGTTCCTCTCGTGCTACACGGTCTGCCAGAAATTGAGGTGATAACAGAGGCAAACGCACTGCAGCCAGTACTTGCGGAAAGAGCTCCGAGCGTTTCTCTTCGGCAAACTTAACCCAACGCATGCAAGCTTCAAATATTACTTCCTCATTGAGGACATTTAGTTCATCTCGTCGCATCAGCTCCAATAGTTGTTCACAGTCCAGTGTGAGGAACTCCTCAGATTGAGATACTTTTGCAAAGTTTTGATCAATGTACTTGTCCGCGGCATCAGTCAACTGCCGACAAATCATCGAGTCGCCAAATGTGCGTATGCCCAGCACATTATGGGGATGAAAGCGGGAGATGAGAAAAGAAGCACAGGCGTCACGCACATTGGACAGTTGCAGGAACGAAGCGCCAACCATGAGGCTTTGAACGTTTTGGTTATCGATTCGAACCTGCCCACTGTACACATAATTAATCAGACTTTCCAGAGCACTAGGCTCAATCTCCTTCATGGTAATTTCTCTGATGCGACTCTCTGCCATGTTGTTCGTGAACATTGCATAAAAATATGGTACTGTGGCAGCTAGAACAACGCGATGGGCCGAGAATGTCTGATCTTCAACCTGAAGGTAAAGATTGCACATATGTTTATATTTAGATTTAGACTCGATAAAGATAATGCAAAGATAGGGGACTGGCAACCGACCTTCAGTGTGACATCACAAAGCTTTCCCAGTCTTCGTATCTCCTTGAACAGCGGAAAACTCTCGGTAAATAGCTGCTCGTGCTTGTATATGACGGATTGATCCTCCAGTTGATTATCGCTCAGATCCATATTTATGGTCTCAGGCTCATCTGCCAGCAGCAACAACCAAAAACAAGTCCACTTGCAATAAAATACTTCTAAAAATACCAAAATAACAATGCGTTAGGGATGAGCAGAATAACGATTATTCAGTCACTGTGTTCACTCCGATTTATCACTGATTTCCAAATAAATCATAAAATATGTGTAGATGAAATAAATATGTATTCTGATATAATATTTATCAACAAAATATATCAACTGTCGAAAACGATTTCAAGTTCAGTAGAAATTAGCAAACAATATCATGTTGGTCATTCAATATTTAATCCATAATATTTTAAATTGCTGTTGGTAACAGTTCACATTTTGAATATGAATTGAGAGGTTTTTTGTGAGTACAAAATCAGCTGACTCACACAGAGTTTGAATTTTCACTATTTCTCGATTAGTGATGGGCACTTTTTAAAGTGAATGATTTATGTTAATAATGTTTAATTCTTACTATATGCAAAAAATATAGAAATATATCTCCGTTCACAATGTTACAAAAAATGTATTATTCAGATAGGTAGTCGAGATTCACATATCCCTTAAGAGTGATCGTCTAAAATAATAGCTCATCTTACCAATCGTAAATTGCGATAGCTAAATGTTATCGGTTATTTACCCATCTGACAAGTTGTTCAAGTTTTATTTGGTACAATTATTATTAGAGGGAAGAAAACAGATAAAGGCAACAGATCAATGTGTTTGTTAGGCTTTAAGATAGCAGAAAGGCAGCATTGAACATGGATACATCAATTAGGGAGACCCAGGTATATACTTGCTCCAAGCTTTAGGCCCCAAAAAATCAGCAACGAAAGCAAAACAATGACGTTTCAACGACATAAATATATGTACATATATGCGGTGATGTGTGTATTTTTGTATGTTTGCAGAAGAATCCAATCGAAGCTTTAAGTAAAGATGAACTCATCAGTAAATACAAGGGTCTACTTGGAATTGCTAAAAAAGCGAAGCAAGCCAAAGATGGTAAAGAAATCATTTTCCACATTATACTCGTTGTTAATTATTTGCTTATCTCATGAGTAGAGCTTGTTGAAGAAAATCGTCAGCTGAAGGATGCATTGGCAAAGGCAGCCGCCAAGCAAAGCAGTATTCCTGCAATGCAGGAAATGCTGCAGGATTTCACCGATAAGAACCTCATTTTAACTGAACAGCTGAGCTCCCTACAGCATAGGACCAAAGAAGATGCAGACCGATTGCAACAATTTGAAATTGAAAATGAGAGCTTAAAGCGTCAGCTGGGGCGTTTAAGCGATGAAAATGATGATCTGCTTGCCGACATCGAACGCATGGAACAGGCCATGCAGCAAGTTAATACGCTGGGCAGCGAACAACGCAAGAATCTTGAACTTCTCGAGCTGGATATAGCCAAAATTAAGGAGGCTGAGACGCAAAATGACATTCTAAGGCAACAGGCTGATAAGGCGGCAGAGGAGGCAAAACAACGCTCAATTGAACTTGAAGAGCTTCAGCAAAAATACGATTCGGTCAAACAACTAAACTCCGAGCAGCGTAAAAAGTTCAATTCGCTTAAAGATAGGTTCATCGATGTCCATCGCAAAGTGAAGAACCTAAAAGAATGCAAGTGTGTTCTTCTGGAAACACAGCACGAATACGCTGCGTCAGTTTCCAAGTGGCAGAAGGAAATTATTAAGGCATCGCAACTACTCTGTGCCAAAATGACAGCATTACAGCAGGAGAATGTTCAGCTTAAGGAACGACTAGAGGCGACCAAATCTACCAACCAAGTTTCTGGAAATAATAAACGGTTGCTGCAAAAAGTTTGTGAGCTGGAGCGTTTATCCAAGCTAATAAAAGAGCAGCAGCAACATAATCAGCTTCCCAAGAATGCACTAGACATTGATCGTATACTATCGAAGTTAAGCTGCGTGGAACAGTTGGCAAGCATCATTAAGGGGCAGCAGAGCTATCAGCAAACGGTTCAGCCTATCAGCACATTGAATTCATCATACTTCACTTCAAAACTCAATCAACTGCAACGCTTGGCTCAAGTATTGCAAGAAGAGCGTAGCCAACAGGACTGCGCAGTAAAGTTAATTGAGCAGCAACATGAACGAGAGAATGCGCAATTAGAGGCAAACTATGTGGAACTGCGACAGCAGCATGAAGATTTGCAAACGCGATACCAACTGAAGGAAAACGAACATGCTGAGTTGCTGGCCGAGATGCGTGAACTGAACGAGGCGTTAAAGGCGCGCGGAGATGTCATATCCCGTATGCAAGAGCAATATGACAAGTGTCGCATGGAGCTACAAACTATCACAGAAAATCTAACTGAAAAGTCAAAACAACTGGGGCAACTACAGAGCAGAATAGAGGAAATGGAGCAGCATGAGCACTTAAATGGGGATGCGCAGAGCGATGTGTTGTCTACATCTACAATATCGCGAGCGGAGGAATTGAATCGATTACGCGAACTTGACGATGGGTACGAGGAAAAGTACAATAAGCTACGGTCTCTGGCCGTTAAGTTGAAAAAGAAACTGCAGGAGCAAACACAACAAATTCAAAATATGGAGCATGCTGGAGCAGCTAAACTAGAGGCCGAAGTGGAAGCCATTAAATCAGCACAGGTTCAGCTACAACAGGACTTAAATGCAGCTCGCGCTGAGAACCAGAAACTTAAATCCAAGGACAAGTCAAAGAGTTCGAATGTGTTGAACCTGGAAATTGAAGCAGCCGAGAAATCGCTAACAGAAGTGAGTGCAAAACTGTTAGCTAAGACCACAGACCTGGAAGCGCTCACAGAGACGTTAACCAGTAAGGAGAATACTATTACACAGCTTCGCAAGGAGATAAGTATATTAGAACAGGCGCAAAACGGGGAGACAGCCCATTGCAAACAACTGAAGCAGGAAATTGATCGAATGCAGGCACAACTTAAGGACGCTGTGCATGGCAGGCAGGAAGCACTATTAGGCAAAAAGGAGCTTGAGCAGAGTGTAGAGCAGCAAAAGTTGCAGGTGGAGGAAATCCGATTGCAGCTAGCTGAAAACACCCAGCAATACGAGACTAAACTCAAGCATTCTCAAGAGCTGCTAAAAAATAGCTTAGAACAGCTGGAAGCAAGACAAGATGCTCTTACTCAGCTAGATGTCGCGTTACGCCAAGCCGAACGCGTCAATGAACAGCTTCAAACGGAATATTCTGAATACAAGCTCAAAGCACAGGCTGTGCTGCGTAAACAGCAAAACCGGGATTCAGATAAAGAACAATACCTCGAGGTAGAATTGGCCAATATGCGTGCGAATGAACAGAAACTTTGTGAAAGCAGAGATGCGAGTGCGTTGCGAATCACTCAGCTCGAATCTCAGCTGGAAGATCTGCAGCGCAGCAACACACAAATGCAGCAACGCAGTCAGGAGCTTCTGGGCATGATCGACGACTTGAAATATCAAAATGAGACTCTCACGCAGGACAATCAGCGACAGCTTCAGCAGCAGCAACAGCAACTGCTGCAACATCGCCTGCAGATCGAGCAAATGGATGATGTGCATCAGATGCGCGTTGCGCAGCTTCAACAACAGATCGAACAACTCGAAAAAGCAATGCCTTCCAATCCGATTGCCTCATCAGTGGCCGTGCCGGCAACAGCAACCGCCGAATCGACTAGCCCAGAGCAAAGCAAAATTGATTTCCTGCTGGATCACGATAGCAGCGGTGAAACGCTTGCACAGCTGGCAGCACAGCGCAAAATTTCTACGGCCTCACGTCGTTCTCACGATTTTATGCCGCTGGATGAGCTGTTAAATACATCCCTCAATGCCATAAATAGCGATCAGGTCACAACAATTTCTAATTTTGGGCGCAGCGTCAGCATGCAGGACGATGATTTAGAGTTGGATGGCCGTGGTGAAACGCAAGCTGCACTTTTAGCTACCAAAGAACGTTTAAGCATACAAGAAAGTCGTGTCCGTCATCTGACGACCTTACTGGCCGAAAATGAACAGGATCTGGCCAAACTAACACAAATGAATGATATGCTGAAAGAGGAGCTTCGTCGCCAGGAGCGCTCCGAAGAACGGGAACAACATATGCACAACTCGGAATATCTGAAAAACGTATTCCTAAAGGTAAACTATTTGTATAAATACATCTATTTACGTCCAGTGCCCGAAGTATATTCAATAACTCGAAAATAAATTTTGTTACAGTTTATTACATTGTCCAATTCTGATGAGCGACAACGCTTGGTGCCCGTACTGAATACAATTCTTCGATTGAGTCGCAACGAGGTTGAAATGCTTAACTGTGTGGCTAAGGGACAGAAAGGTAATTCCGTTTCTGAAATGCCAGAATGCTTACTCATACTACTTTCTTCTTAGTGTCCACCGATGGCAGCAGTCGCAGCTGGACTGGTTTTCTGAGTGCGTGGAGTGGAAGCGGCAATTCGGCCAATGCCAACAATAACAATTAACTGTCCTCTTGGAAATTGGGTTTTATTGGTATTATACTTACTTTTTAAGGCAGTCGCAGCAGCTCTTATTGGCTAGCTTATCTGTATGTGTACTACGTTGTGTAAATCTTGTATATGGTTATTGTCACCAAAATTGTATTTATGTACATTCTTATCGATTCTGTTGGACTTGAGATTTAGTGCTGTCCTTTATAAATATACATATGCCATAGAGCGCCCTATACAGTTCTCTATAAGCAATAAACATATGTATGTAAATATCACATAACTAACGTGAATATATCTGTGTGTTTATATGAGCGAATGTCAAATGTCAACAATGAGGAAAATAATTATAACAACTGAAGGTATATTTTGTTATGCAAATTGCATTTGTAGATAGTTTAATTTCAAATTCTATTACCATTAAGATCAGACTATAAAATCAATGCTTGCGATTTGTTTGTATGTGTAAACTTAAAAAGCAATTATGAATATTGTGTGTATATCTATAGACTTTATAAATACGAGCAGTAATTGGCTAAACCTATGCGAAGTTTATGCATACATTTACACTTATTAATTGTATAAATCAAACAATAATTATACAATTTATATAACTAAACTTTAAAAAGTTAAAATCAGCGGAGAAATCAAAAATCACATTTCGCGCATCGCTCTCTCGATGGCGACAAGGCTAAAAACAAAATACACTATTGCCTAAATACTCGTACTAATCAGTTGTCTGACCGCCGTGTGGAACTATTGCCATACCCCCGCATAGTTTCCCACTAATGTGGCAGGAAGGGGACCACCTGCCGCAAATAGTCGCATCCGTGTGCTATCATAGCAGTGCGTATAAATGGCAGGCACATATTTCACCTGCTGAAAACCATCCATTTCATCTTCCGGATACTGAAACAGCAATGCAATTAAATTCAATAGAGGCTCTTTGCATTCATTAAAATAACTTACCACAATCCCTTTACTACACTTCAGCGCCACGGTACGTGAAGCGTTCACGCTACTCTCTAAATACTTGCCAGCCCGTATGTCGTAGAACAGCAACATTCCCAGGCCGGTACCTACCGTTAAAAGATTACCCTCAAAGGATGTGGCGCGTATGCCACAACCACTATATCGGGATGTGATCTTCTTGATCGTCTGCAGCGTTCGTGCGTCTAGTAAAATGGTATAGGAACGGCAGCCGACGGCGTAGAGTCCATCGCTATGATAAGCAATGCTGACATTGTCCTGACAGTTGGGTAGCTTGCGTGAAAGCGTTTGCTTAAAGGTCTCTGCATTGAAGATGTGTATGTAACCATTTAAAGAGAGAGCTGCGATCTCTTTGAACTCTTTATTGAAGCACAAGGAACGTATCTGAAAATTGGAACATAATGTAGTCATTTGTTCTACGTATAAATATATTTTAATGTCTTACACGTTGCGCGGTGCGTACTTCCTTAACACTGAGCGGATGTATAGTGGCAAACGTGGGACAAGACTCCTCTCCGCCGTCGGGAAAGTCCATATGATCTTCGTTAATACGCCATAGGGCCATGCGGGAGTCTTTAGAGCCCGAGACAAGAAACTGATCATCTAGCCAGCACATGCCCATTATCAAGTCCCGATGCCCGTTCTCTCCCACACAAACCGGATCCAGTGTTGGCAGCCGATATACTGCAATATCAGATGAATTACGTGCACCCGTAGCTAAAAATGATCGACTGGGTGATAGTTCGATTGCATGCAGGCCGCCTTGGATCTCTGGATGATTGGCACGACTATTGGAAAGCGTTGGAATGGCGTCAACTCGACGCATATTCACATCATAGACGAGCAGCTTATTGCACTTGGTGCCGAACACCACCTGACGGTTGCTCAGCCATTTGGAGCAGAATACCTTGTTAATGTAACCTAAACTGATTTGCGTTTCGCGCAGCATGTCGTGGGTGAGCACATAGCGACTGGTATACTCTGCATTGACGCTGCGACGCTATAAAGGTAGAATTTCATTACCCAATAGCAAATAAAAGTTAAAACTTAAGTATGGTCTTACATCGCGTAGTGAATTTTCTCTGCTTCGAAGATAGTCACACAGATTATAGGAAGTGTTAAGAACCTCGTCCTGCTGTTGTGGCGTCTCCTCGTCGCTGCCAGAATCCTCGTAGGTCACAAAATCGTCTGGCTTGTCTGGCTTCCGCCTTCGTTCCTGTCGCATCGCTCTTTGCTTAGCACGACGCTCTTCCAGTCGCGAATTCACATGACAGGACGGGTATGTGCCCACAATGCTATCACGTATGGTTTTCACCATGCCATTGAACATTTTTACGGCGGTCAATTTTATTTTATTATTGTTATTTCTGTAAATTATTTTCAGTGATTATTCTCCATTGTCCAAACAAAAATGGTGGTGCGCGACAATCGATTATAGATTATATTTGGGGCGATAGCAGAAGTTCCGATAAATGATTATTGAACTAATTATATTCAGATTTTTCGTTCATTATAAAATACTACATTATGTTGGATGACATGTGATGTTTTTTATGTGTCAATAATCTATGGCTTCAGTGAATTTCTATGCAGATCCGTGACAGTAAATTTGAACTTAATACTTTAAAGTAAGTAAGTATAATAATTTTATATATGTAAGTGAATTAATATGTCCTATATATACAAAATTTAAACAAAAAATGGCAACGGATATAAATAACTAATGTACCAGCTATTGTTTCTAATATTTTAGGTCACTTTTACGTATTTACCCACTGTGCTCACTTATTTTGGTTTATTGTTGCATCCCTCGTGCATACCTAAATATGAACTAGTGAGTCTTATACTGTTTCGTAGCTCATTTTTCTTATACCATGTTTATACACAATCTTGTGTGGCAAGAGGATTTACTATCAGTAAATTAATTGATTTGGCCAAATAATGAATTATCAAGCAAAGCGCGTTATGCGCCAAAACTCTGTATCCATTGCGGCCAGTGATATTGTCGGCGTCGCTTCACCAGTTATGGCATCAACACCATCTGCACCCAGCACCCCTCAGTTGCCGAATCTCGACGACAACAAACCTGTGCACGTTCATCGTCAAGTTATACTGGTCCAGGGCGGAAACGTGCCGCAAGCCCAACATCAGCAGCTGCAATCAGTAGCAACTGCAACTCCTAACCAAAATCAAAATGCAAGCATGACAGCCGTTCAAGTTGCGGATGATGCACCTGTCTCGCTGCTAACTGAAATTGCGGACATAATGCGAAGCTTTGGGGACAGCGATCAGCCACGAATTGCTAGCGTGAAGCTTGTAGAACAGATACTACAGCAGCAGCTACGTGGGATCTTCAACGAAGCCTCATTGGTGGCTATGCGCCGGAAACAGAATCCCTGTCCGTCGCAAGCGGACTTTGAGTTCCTGATGCGCAACCATCCCGTGAAAATAGCGCGAATGCGAAAACACTTAAAGGACATGCGGATATTGAAGCGCTTTCTTAGCATACGTACTGGTAGGCCGCAGGACTTTATGGACGATCTAGAGCAGCCAGAGGAGGACGAAGAGCTAGCCATTGAGGTGCAAGAACTGCATGACGAAGATCGAATGCGTCGTCTGTTTCGCGCCGATCGCATTTCACAAATACTCACAGGCCAGCAGTATCAGGAATTTAATGAAGCCCGAAAAACGTCGTTCTACTGTCGACATGGCGAAAAGATCAAGAATAAGTTTAGAAGATTTCTGGATTTACCCGCTGATCTGCGTATACCGACGCCAACGATGAATATTCTGGCCTACCTGGCCCACGAGACCATTGCGGCAATTGTGGACTACTCGATACTGACCCGATTGAACTCGGATAACCGAGTCACAGAGCCATACAGCCGCGTTACTTCTGCCGGCGGCAGTCCATCCATGATGCATGTCTGCCCAGAGGTGACACAGGGTCGCGGCATGGAGGTGGTCAAGCCCATAAGCGTGCAGGAAATACACGAAGCAATGCGCAGGTTTCGACAAATGAGCAATCGCAAAATTGGACGTTATCGCAATTCCTGCGACATTGATTTTAGACGTAGCTTTCTGGCCATTTAACTGTAGTTAGGATAGGATAGATATATCATTAGAGAAGTTTGTAACTGTTTGCAAAATATAATACAATATCAAAAATTTGCATGCAAGCTGTTATAGTTATATGATTACAATTATGGCTAGAACTAATGGTCAGGCAACTAGGAAAAGAGAAGAAAATATATATTTGTATAGCTATAGTGCTGCGGCGCTACTAGTCAGAGTATATAAAATGTGTAATAGCTAGACTTTTATTCTGTTAAAGAAGTTAGTTGAGCTCATTGCTCTTTGATGAAAAATAATTAGAATGTGTTCAACTTAACAAGAGATTGTAGGGAGTATATATTCAGTTTTACCATATATTTCAATTTGTTCACATAAACAATAACAATATTTTTTTTAAATTAGGCTATCTATAAGAGAAGTTTCTATAATGTATTCAACGAAACGTGTTTTCTGTTCTAAACTTAATTTATGCATTAAGCTATGCTAAAAACAACGTGTTATTGATTATTATATTCAAGTCGGGTACACAGATCATGTTAATGAAATCATTTTATAAATGGAACCAAGTTTTGAGTGCGAACTGAATCAATTGTGAAGCTCATCAGCTGAAATTCAATTGGTTTATTTACGTTTTATTAGACGCTCTTTAAAAGCTTGCAAAAGCTTTTCACTTGTTTTGCCTTATACGCCCTCCAAAATGAAAAAAGCTTTCGGGCTGGAATTTCATTAAGAGATCAAAATGTATAACGTTAGTTGAAGTTTAGAGGCAAACAGTTAAGGAACGCAGCCAGAAGCAAAATGTTAAAAGTGCGCAATTACCTGGCCATAAATCAGGCACAAAAGGTAACTGAAGCGCTGGGCTTATATTCGAGTACCCAACAAGTGAGTGTGAGATACTTTTCATAGATTAAAAAAGTCTTATCAGCAATTTCTCACTAGTGTCGCCAAAGTACTGCAGCCGCAGTAAAGGAATCAAGCGCTGTTAGAGATGACGTCGAGTGGCAGCAGGCACGTCCATACGAGGATATACCATACACCAATCCCATAGCGTTAACTTTCAACATGGCATTTCCCGGGGGCAAATATAAGAACTTGGACATGGCTCAGCTGGTGCTGGCCATGCGTAAGGATTATGGCGACATCTTTCGTATGCCATCTATTTTCGGCAGCGATCCCATGTTGACTACATATAATCCAAAGGACTTTGAAGTCGTCTATCGGAATGAAGGCGTCTGGCCACATAGACCAGGCAGCGACACAATGAGATACCATCGCGAGACGTATCGAAGGGATTTCTTTGACGGCGTCGAAGGACTCATTCCCACACAAGGCAAAACATGGGGCGACTTTCGCAGCATTGTAAATCCTGTGCTGATGCAGCCGAAGAATGTGAGACTCTACTACAAAAAGATGTCTCAGGTCAACAGCGAATTCATCGAACGGTAAGCAGATTATTTTAGTCTCAATCCCAAAGCTGTTAGAATTGTTTGATTACCTCAGCATTAAGGCCATACGTGATCCCACTACACTCGAGGTGCCCGACAATTTCTTAGAGAGTATCAATTGCTGGACCTTAGAATCGATTTCTGTGGTCGCATTGGACAAGCAGCTCGGTCTACTCAAGGAATCAAACAATGATGAAAACGCCAAGCTACTCTTTAAAAGCTTGGATGAGTTCTTCACTTTAGGTAGTATATACGAGGTGAAGCCCTCAGTCTGGAGGTACATACATACGCCAATGTTTAAGAAGCTGTTGAACGCCTACGACAACATACAGAAGGTGACCTTGGCCTATGTGAATGAGGCTATGGAACGACTGAGTGCAGAGGCTGAGCGTGGCATAGTGCGTCCTGAAAAGGAACAAAGTGTGCTGGAGAAGTTACTCAAGATTGATAAGAAAGTAGCCATGGTCATGGCCATGGATATGCTCATGGCCGGCGTCGATACGGTAAGTCTATCAAGTAAAACCCAAATGAACTTATTTTAATATTATCTAAATATTCTATAGACTTCGAGCACGTTTACTGCGCTAATGCTGTGCCTTGCAACCAACCCAGACAAGCAGGAGAAACTGCGCGAGGAAGTGATGCGCGTATTGCCCAATAAGGACTCAGAGTTCACAGAGGAGTCTATGAAAAATGTGCCCTACTTGCGCGCCTGCCTCAAGGAATCGCAGCGATTGCTGCCCCTTGTGATTGGACAAGGTCGTACGACCAATCGTGACTGCGTTCTGAGTGGCTACAGGGTGCCAGCGGGCACATTTGTCTCCATGATTCCCCTGAACTCCTACGTCAACGATCAATACTTTCCGCGAGCTTCGGAGTATCTGCCTGAACGCTGGATGCGCAGTGAGACGGGCGCAGAGGGCAAGTGTCCGGCGAATCCTCTAAAGAGCACAAATCCTTTCGTATTCTTGCCATTCGGCTTTGGTCCTCGCATGTGCGTAGGCAAACGCATCGTAGATATGGAACTAGAACTGGGCATCTGCCGGATCTTAAGAAACTTTAAAGTCGAGTTCAATCATTCGACAGAGAATGCCTTCCGCTCAGTGCTCATAAGCAAGCCAAATATTCCCCTCAAGTTTAAATTTTCGGATTTGCAAAACTAGGAGATTATTGATGAGCAAACATCGGTCCAACTATCCTAATCTGTTTCTGTATCTTTGAGTAATGGCGAGCTTACCAGGCACTGCATTGAAGTCAACTTAATGTACACAGATTTGACTAGACTAGATTATGTAAAAAAGTGTATTTAATCAAATAAGAGTCAAGGAAAGTAATAAAATATTGTATCTCTTAAAACGAAAATCTTAAAGTAATAAATGTTAATTTTTTAATGACAATAAATTATCTTTGTTTTGAATCATGAGTTGATCAATGGAGCATCAATAGACATGGATAATAGAAGGGCCAACACAGAATAAATTATTCTCCATGCAGCACTTTAAAATAGCTTAAATAGCTCTGACATATACATATATACTTAGGTATAGATGTAGCATATAAATATATAGATTAATTTTTTAAATTTTATTATACTTATTTACTTTTCGTACATAACTAGGATTTACTTCCCTTACGATATTTTACTTTTCTCATTCAAAGCACTTTTCATACCTTGTGCGCATTGAAATTGCACAGACTCAATTCTCTCTCTATTTTTGATTAAGAAAGACCAGTTAGCACGATCTAGCAATGTTCGCTTGTTCATTCGTATGGCAGATAAATTTCAAAGTCTAAAGATTACAGTATGAGCTGATCATCCGATAACTCATCTCGTTTTCATACATATAACAACAAAATGTACTTAAGTATTTTATCGCAGCTTAAATACATAATGAGAATGCACAGAGTTTTAGTAGCGTAGAATGGTTGAAATTGCAGCTCTGCTCTCTCTCTCTCTCTCTCCTCTCTCTCTCTCTCTCTCTCTCTCTCTCTCTCTCTCTCTCTCTCTCTCTCTCTCTCTCTCTCTCTCTCTCTCTCTCTGTCTCGCTTTCCCTATCTGTCTGTTAGTTTCTCCCTTTTCTGATTCTAAGTTTCTACATTGCATTAATTATTTTCATCCTCGATAATTAAATATGAACGTACAGAGTAAAAAGAAATTTGTTGCAAATGTTTATTCATTTAAACTCTCTTTATCGCTCATGTCTTCAGATAAGAACACAATCAGGCAACAAAGAATTTTTTAAGGGTATGTTCTCTATCTAAAATATTATTAAATTCATTTTACAATTGTTTTCGTGCTGGAAACAGTCGAATAACAATCTTATCAACTGAAATAGCGATAACAGAAGACCTTTATCGGACAAAGTATTATTATATGAGGTCAGTTAATTCTGTTCTTGAACTTGTCATTATAATTCCAGAGGCCCGTTTATTATACGCTGCTTAAAAGCTTTTAGAAGCTTTTTATTTGCATGACAGCAATTGAGCGATTGTGCTGAATGCAACCAACTGCGCCATACTCGTTCACTCATTATTACAAAATCAATTTTCCTATATGCATCTGCCGATCGTGGGCTCCCAACTCTTCTAAACTCGAAAGGTCGATATTTATGGGCATTACAGATACATGTTATGAAATAACTGAAAACATAATAGTCGCTTAAAAAGTTGAAGTGCTTATGCATAGCATAAACAATCCTCTGATGTAAGTTCTGGACAATGTTTGTCGCTTTCCACTTTACACGTGGATTGAGCGTATACAAAGATCTCTCGTGTGTCAGCGATTTTCTCGCGTTTCCAATACATTTATATTGATACAGTTTTCCAATATTCTTCGATACATTTCACTCATTTAATTTTTCAGGTGTTATTTTTGTTGTGGTAATATTTCTCTGTGCGATTGCTCTTCGTCTCTGATCAGCACCAAGAATAATATCGCAAGATCAGTCACAATATCATTTTGTATTAATATAAATGTTAGATATTATTTGAATTATATATGTAAAGTTTACATATATAAAGTTCAAAATTTTCAGCTAAGATTACTTATATATATCACATTCTTCGCTTATTTATAATAATTGTTAATTTCAAAGGGAAGAAGTTTGGAACAACTCGTTAAGAACTGTTTTAGTGAAGATGTTTTAATAATTAATCAATTTTTCAGGAACTTTTGCTTATTATTTTTATTATTATTATTATTCCTTATTCCACATGAATATAGCTCTAATACAGGGAGAGTTGTGTGAATCATATATGAACAAGTAAGAAAGCTCTAGTCGAGGTGCTCGAGTAGAAGATCCCAGTCCAGTTGCAAATTTGAAGTTAAGTAGCAGCTAATAATTCAGCACAATTCAATCGCAATTTCGATTCTTCGAATAGAAAAGAATACACGCATTTGGATGTATGTGTGCACACGCATAGGAAAAATGCGTGCGCGTGGCGCAAATTGGTCAAACGTTTTGTTTAATAAGTTCTGTTATACTTAATGGATTTTAATGAATTTTCAGCATATGATCTAAATATTCTATTGGATTGGTAGAGATGATATCGCCTCACATAATGGTCCTAGTTTCAACTGAACTTAAATTTTAGAATTTGGGGAACTTTGGAGCCGGTATCCAAAATCCAACAAAAATCAAAATTGCATAAAATATACATAAAACTAAATACAAAATTTGAATGCTCTAGCTCTTAAGATTTCCGAGATATAATTTATTAACTGCATTTCAATCATGCATTTATTCGATAACAATTAAATGCGAATAGTTATCGAATATTTGCTATACACGGACCTACAACAAAAATTTCAAGTCTCTAGCTCATATAGATGCTGAGATCCACGCGTTCCCACATACGGACAGACGGACGGACAGACAGGGCTCAATCGACTCGGCTTGTCGTCCTGATCAAGAATATATATACTTTATGGAGTCTGCCCCGCCTCCTTCTGCCTGTTACATACAGTTGCACAAAACCATTATACCCTGATGGGATCAGGGTATAAAAACCAAATAATGAGAATAAAACGCTGACGTCGTTGGAGCTTATCAGTTTTTTGTTCTTTTATTAAAATATTTTCGTGTTTTAAATATTATAAATATATATATAATACATTTAAAATGTAATTAGTGTTTTACACAAGCAGGTTAAGACAGACAATAATCGATTGTAAAATGATCATTGCAGAGAGCTTAGCAGATTCTGAAGAGATGTTGGGCTTGAGTTGTGTTCGGAAAGTGTATGTGAAATAGTCGCTCCAGTGGGCGCGGACAGCATTGATGCGACGTCGCATTTGCAGCTTGTACTCCTGATTGGCTTGGGGCAAGCTGGTAATGCAAAAGGTTTCCTTAAGCCTGGCATACTGTGGATCTTGCCATGCGATACTGGCGTTGGGCTCCAGCCGATAGTCCCACTTAATGCCATAGTTGTGGTTGTCCCATCTCATATTCGGCCATTGTAGGCATATTGAACTCGAGGTTTTGTTGAGTTCGACTACTTCCATGCCGGGGGGTTCCAGCACCATGCACTCAGCTCTATCGATAGAGATATTCTGTGTTCGGCTGCCCACTTCGTCCTCTATGCGAAGCATGAAATTGTACTGACTTCGGAACTTGCTGAAGTCTTCAGACTGAAAGTTGCACTCTATACGATTGGAAGTGAGCTCGGGCTGGCAGAGCTTATCGACTGATAGATGTTGCAGATGGTAGCTGGTTTTGGAGCTGCTCACTGTTGGCCGCCTGAAGCTGCAGTTCAGGCTGGATCTCTTGATGTGATCTAGAAAAATGCAGTCAAAACCGTGCACCATGCTGCACTTATCAGGCAGCTGAGGCACTTCGTATGAGCTATCAACTTCGGTCGGCACACAGTGAATGTGTCTGCGGAAAAGGGCGATTCCAAAGAAAGTATGTATTAATAACTTAAGTAGAAAATCTGTTTCCGGGTACATTTTAGCACTGATAAGAACAACTGCACTTATTTATTATTCTTATGAACACTGTGCTCGACCTTTTCTCCGCTCAACTGGCGTAATACGACTGAGAGCTCATTATATTTAAAATGTAATTACAAATGTATCAGTTATACCCTGTATCAAAGAGGAATGGAAGAGTACATTGAGTACAATCGAAAGATATGTTTTGTCTGTGGGACTTTTCAAATTAACCAGATTTCCTACTTTAAATGTTTATTTAAAAAATTTGTGTAATTTGAAAGACCACATTTGCTTGTGGCAATGGAAATGTTATCTTTAGATATAGCTGGATTGTTGCAGTTTTTATTAAACACTGCAGATCACCTTTTTGAGGCTTCATTCCATTTTCCTTCTTTCTTTTCATACCATATGGTATATTGCTGCTGAAAGCATGAGCTTCCCCGTTTAATATGTATTTTTACATACAATTATTTATATTCCAGCGAAATAAATTAACAAACAAATTTCATTTTAAACATTTAAAGCTATTTGTTCCATCAGCTTTATTTATTATCATAATAAATATATATATCTTGTTATATATATATATATATTTTTAGACATAGAAGTACATTTAGTATAATATACATATATATATATATATATATATATATATATATATATATATATATATATATATATATATATATATATATATATATAACAACAGTTTTACAATTTTGTTAGATTTAGTTGGATTTCATTTTGGAAAGTTAATAATCTGTTAAGTATATAATTTTCTTTAGAGTTTGGCCGATTTCAACAATAAATAGATTGCTGTGAAGTTTCTTTTTGTTTAATTTTGATTCCATATTTCAATTTTAATAACAATTAGATATAAACTTGCAATTTGTATAGAATAAATATAGAGTTATATATGTATATATGTTTACAGTTAGATTCATTTAATAAATACTTATCTATAATGTTAATCCACGTATGTATATTGTGTATATATATATATATGTTATGTATGTATATCAATTTAATGTAAAATATTTTCTGATATATGTATACTTCAAACTCTATTTCGATTTTATTTGATTTGTATTTTTTGGTCCGATTGCTCAGAATATTAAAACATTGAAGAATTGGTTCGTTTTTTTTTTATCATTTTTTTATTGTTAAACCTGCTTCTGACAATTTGAATTTGGGCGATGCGAATCATTTCGAGTTCAAGTTTTCCTTTCTAACATTTAATATAGAAAACAGTTGTAATAGCTTTTTCAAAACATATCTTATCTGTTTAATTGTTAGGACAGAATTTCTTTATATACATATATATCTATATGTAATTAGAAAATTCAAATGAGATGCCTTAAATAATGTCGTTTAACTTCAATATGCTGCATTTGTTATTAGGTATTTCGTTAACTTTTCTCAAAAACTTATTCATACAAACGGATTACAAAGTTTACAAAGTTTCAATATCGAAAACGGAATTCAGTCATAAAAAACGGATATGAAAAGTTCTTTATATAATTTACACATAAACTCTTTAAATTATTACTACACTTGCTCCTCCTGATTGCGACTCAATGGAAACTGGAAGCGGGAAACTGAGATTTAGCTTAATTAGAAGTTAATCAGGGCATAGCCTTTAAGCTGCTTAATGAGCGCACTTTCCCACTCTCGCCTAATTACCTGCACAAACTTCGTATACATATTTCAGTATACGTCATTCGGCTTGCGAACAGGATTTTTATGTTCATACGTATTTTAAATGCGCAATCGATACTCGGAGGCAGCGCACAATATATGTACGGCAAGAACATGAGACTTTGGGGTCAGTGTTAGAAGGGGGCGTGGCGAAATACAGAACAGCCTGCAGGAATTGCGTCCGTTTGATATGTGACTATGTCTTTGTGTGTGTGAGTTTGATTGTATACATGTATGCGCAATAAAAACAATCCAGAGAATACGGAAAATGGCAGCAGGCTATAAGCCACAAGTAGGCTCTTTTATATGTATGAACATATGTGTCCAATATGGTAGGCTTGGAGCTTTAGGTAAACATATATTTCACATTATTTCTAGTGCCACAAAATACAACATTTTGAAGAACGTTCACAGTAAGCCTGAAGACCTTTTGTCTTAGACGGTTTTTGCAGAAGATAATTCGCTAATAATAAATTTGATGGCTTGCTTCTGGCCAAGTGCGGCATCAACATTGGGTCTTTACTCATCTCTTTGCCCGCTCATGTATTCATGTTAGTGTATTTGCGTGTTGTACGTGTGAGCGCAATAAAATCTAATTTGATGCACATTTACACACCCACACACACACTCCCTTACGCACGCACAAGTGTTAGGGAGGAGCAAAAAGTTGTTAAATATTACGCTACAGCTGCCAAACGAGTCCACAGCAAAAAAAGAAAGAAAACAACAAGAAATATTTGCTGTTGCCTAGTTTGGGGCTGAAACAAAAACCGAAAATGTGGCCGGAAGTGGCGTCGGCTTTGGACCTTCGGCCGCACACGCCACAACCAGGGAACAGTTAAGGCAGGTAGATTAGGCGGCAAAGCCGTAGATAAAAGGCGGCAGCAACAGAACATGCAATAAACATGTGCAAAAAGGCTGCCCCAAGACTCCAGTAACCCAAAACCCGAAACCCAAAAACCCAAGGCCCAAGGCCTCAAGAGGCAACTGCCACTGTCTACGGTCCGTGCTGTCTACGTTGGTTCCTGCTTTGTTCTCTATACAGGCATTTCGTGTTATGCCCTCGGTTTGCGGGCGCTGCGTTAATTAGTTTTCCTTGCTGGTTGTTCAGTTGTTTTTCATTTTTTTACCCAATTAAATTTTAATTTGCCGCTGGCAGCTGTCAGAAGTTCATGTTGTGTGTGTTGTGTGTATTTGAAACTGACCTTTAGACGCCACTTGACCTGCATGAGCCAGACAAGCGTCAAGGCATTAAGTATACGCCACTATAAATTTCCACAGCCAAGGACATTTGGCAGGTCCGTTGCAGCTGTTGTTAGTGTTTTTGTTGCTATGCACGGCTTGTAAATCAATTGTCGCAATGCCTGCAGTCGACAGCCACCAGGGCCGGCCTGCAGCCTGCAGCCTGCAAATTGCAATTTCATGAAGCCATTGCATAAGTGTAGGTGTACGTTGCATTTGTGTGTGTGTGTGTATGGATACTTTGTGGGTGGGTTACGCGATGCTGTGCCCCACTGGAGTATAAGCATAAACAAAACAGATAATTGATGATCCCAGATTAATGTCAAAATCCGGGGAACACGGTGCGTATGCTTGATGACAGAAAAATGGGATTCGAGCATAAAGAAGACAATTTGTTATGTGGGTGACATCATTTTTCAAACAGCCAACGATAAACCAAATATACATGAACAACAAAAGTACTAAATACATACAAAACAAAACATGTTAACCACCATCAACATCAATTATGGTCCGTCTAACTAGGGCGTGACCATAAATAGATAGATATTAACCATAAATATAGATAACTACAACTTAAATGTACGAACTATGCAAATGGACTTGGCGCTATAACCTGCTCAATATTTGCGGCCGAAAGTTGGCGTGCCCGGATTTAGGACGCGACAATAATGCGAACTGGTCACGCAATAGTCCGTTGCTGCGGCGGTGTCATCGTTGCTACTGCTGCTGCCGCCAATTGCTAGTTGACGAAAGTGCTGCTGCTGCTGCTGCTGCTGCTGTTGTTGCCGGCGGCGCATCGACAACGGTCATTGTCGCTGTTCGGCGCTGCTGATGAAGTCGCCGTGTTTTTGCACCTACAAATAGAATAATGACATGAGTTCAGTTGGCAGCTGCTGTCTGTTAGGCACGTTTCACACACTCACCACATCGGCCACAATGGGCTCCTCTATTTCCAGGCCCTGCAGCGCCTGTTCGCGACTCAAATGCAGCTCATAGGAATCTGTTGGAGTTACAAAGACAACACGGTGTTTGCGTGTCTGAAGGACGTTGGCAATAACCAACTGACGACAGAAAGGTTAAGTGGAAGGGAGAACCAGAAAGAGTGAGTGGCGAGATTAAAGCTGTGATTGCTAGCGTGTATGATTGACAACACTTACCTTATGCTTGTATTTGTTGAGGCTGTCGCGTGCCTTGACAATCAATAGATTCTCGTCCGTTTCCAGTTTGAAGGACACCACAAAAGCATGCGGCACCCACAGACTGGCGAGTGGTGCCAACATTTTTGGCACCAATTGCAACGATATAGTTGGTGCTCCATCTCCTGATTGCATTTTGTGTGTGGGCTGCAACGGTGAGCGGTTTAGCATATTAATGGCATGACAAGCCAACGATGCGTATGAATGTTGCCATGAGATTGTAAGCCAACCAAAGGGAGTGCCAACACGCCCATGCCAACACACAAGCGCGCACACTTGCACACACAAACAAACCGACAGCCAGTTCATGTGTCCTTGCGAGCTGCGAACAGACAGCGCCGCGGCACAGTAAAAGGCCAGGGTTAACTCCCCCTCCACAGGCATCGGGCACTTGGCTCTTGGCGCTTGACACATGGCAAATGTATTACAACTAATTGAAAGCATATTTCAGTGGTAATGAGCTGACGGTGTCGCCCCGTTGCGCTTTCGCCGCAAAGCTGCCTTAAAGACGCTTTAAATGATACACATACGGCGCACACACGGGGTGCTGTTGTCCGGCTACTTGTTGAGCATTATACCCTGTGCACTGATAGGGTAGCCCCTTTTCAATTGCTGACCAGTTTCATTTTTTTGCGCACACAAAGCAACTTGCAGGCCAGCAGACAGGCAGGATGGACAGTTAGAAGGCCAAAACTAAGTAGCCAGGACATTGTGCGACTGTTGAGAGAAATGAAAAGCCTCGCTGCAAGGCATTAGACATGACAACGAAGACGAACCAAAGCGACATTGACAACTGCGCAACGCCAACGCTAACGTCGCCGCTGCCGTTGACGTCGCTGTCGCAGTCGCAGTCGGCTCTTCTGCTAATTCGAACTTTAAGCTCCTTGAGGCAATAAGTTTGTATGCTCTATGATCGCAGAAAATGAGGTAGCATAATTTTCTGCAAATGTATATATATATATTTATATATACTGGTCTAAACCCAAAGATTTTCTATTCGATTCTTATTTATCAACATGTTTATATTTACATTATAAGTTGACTTAATTAATAAAAGAAGAACTGGCGCTTGTAAGATATAACTAAGCCATTCCAATAAATTAAATATATTTTATCTGAAATCTAAGTGGCCATCCATATATATATCTTATAGCATTCTGGCAAAGAAATTAAACATTAAAGACTTTAGTTAACTCTGTGTACTTGAAGAAAGAACAATTTACAGGGTTTCCCTTTGTCGAGCTCACTCGACCTAGACGATTCTTACTTGTTGTGCTTGCTTTTAAGAACTGCCAACAGCTGTTGACATTGAATTTGGTTACTTATTCAGATTCCCTCTCCCTTATAGTTTGGCTCGCTCACTCGCACTCGCAGTGCTTCGAGGCTGTGTCATTGTACTCAACAAATCGGTGACTGTCCGCGTGGGTATGTATGCGTGAGTGCTAGTGCCTCAGAATAACTGTATAAGTCGCTGTCTCTTTATGTGTGTTCATGCGTGCTCTTGTAAAATCTTTTGATTTGATTTGCGGATTTCGGCACGTTGCTTTCTCTGTTTGCTCCCAGTGTCATCGCTAATATTCTCTCTTCTATCTCTCTCTCTCACTCAGCCCTCGCTTTGTGTTGGTTCTTTTTGTTCGTGTAGTTTACATTTATAATTTCGTGTTGGTTTTGGCTTATTAGAATTTACTTAAGCAGCGTGTTTGTCCCTTAAAAATCCATACAAAATATCAACTTGTTTGGCGCATTTGCATAAATTTTCTTTAAGGTTGAAGGTTCTTTACATTGCCCTTGAGCGTGAAAAGACAAGTGGCTGTAAAATGTGCAATGCGAGTACTAACTGAACTGTAAACATTTTTAGAAATTGCCAGGTGAGAGGCACTGACTGCTAAGGCTCAAATGTGTTTCTGTTTTCCTAGTAGCCACAGAATATGCTTTACATGTGTGCTACGTGATCCTTAAGCCCCATTTGAATAAGCATGCTATATGTGTATGTGGTTGGGGCACAGGCAATTCTATGGATATGCATCCACATATGCACTTGGGCATTATGCAAACTAAGTGTATTTCTGTTGACAAATCAGCTGTCGGATAGAAGGGACCTTCGCTCGAAAACCAGGGTAGCGTAGATAAGATATGTGCATAAATTTCAATGTGCACACATCACCAAGCTATATTCATCATTGGGCTTAGAAGAGCAAGGCGAAGGGTGTGACGAGAAGATTCAACAATTCAATCAAGCGAACGATTTGTGGCTAACGCCCCAGCCACCACCAGACCAACAACCACACTGACACGGGGGAACGCCTCAAGCATGAGGCCGAGCGGAAATGCACGAGCTAAACGGAAATAGAGCGTTGCAAATGCCAGCACGGAGCTGAGAGGCTGAAAGGTAGGCGACAAGTGGAAAACTTTCCGTTTACCTGCCCCAACACTTTACCACGTGCACATCTATATACGTGTACATACATACATATATATTTCAGTGTGTGCATAGTAGGTGAAAATTGCAAGCAGCTAGCGGCGCAACGGCGAACGCCTCCAGCAATGAGCGTTTGATGCATGCACTTGAAAACCTTTTGCCGTTGAGCACTGAATATGTAAGCGCTCGAGAGTCAGCTGACAGGCAGAGCAGGAGGATGAGCTGAAGGTGGAGTATGACAAGCAGAGGATGCAACCAAAAGCTGCATGGACATGTAAATCAGTGCAAAAGTGAAATGAAATGAAGATGTGGCTGAGCGCTGTCCCTGTCTGGACAGTGGATGGAATATGGCCACATGGGCACGTAACAAGCAAAATTATGCAAATCAAATTAAAGGCACGATGACAATGTTACGGCTTCTGCAAGGACACCAATAGAGAGACATACAGCCATGTGTACGTGGGTGTGGGTGTAGATACATAGTCACTGCTGTTGACAGGCATTTGATACTGAGACAAGGGGACAGCTTGTCAGGAGCAATAGTTGACTTTAAGCTGCTGTCGACTGCTCCCGAGTGCTTCTGCTTCTCCTTCTGCTACTCCTAACACAGCTGTTGTTCCTGCTGGGGCTGACGTCAATTATGTGCAGAGAAAATATGTCAAACACAGAGCCGACAATCAACATTGCGAATCGATAAAAAGCAATTTGCAGGCAACTGAAACTGGCGACTGACGACTGGCGACTAGCGACGCCAGTCATTGAATGACGAGTGCAATCAATTACAAGATTTCCCATATGACCATCAACGTGGCTGGTGGCACGATTCGACTCACCATCATGTCCTCGGGTATGTAGAAATCTGATACGGCAGCTGCCAAATATAACACAGCACGCTCGTCAAACGCAGCCAAGCACTCGCAGGCGGCGCGCAGCAGCCACATGTAGTCGACAACGCTGGTGAAGTTCACGTAGAGTATCATTTGGGTCTCGCGCGCAATCTTGTATTTCGCCAGTACGGGAGCAAAGACATCAACTGAGTCCGGCTTGATGGCTATCGTGGAGCTCTGGCTGTTGTCCGCAATATCGAGCATATCGAAGAACTGCTGGCCAGTGAAGTGGCGCGTGAAGGGCTCCAGAGACTTGTGGCGATGCATAAAGATGACGGCATAATCGTGGTCTAAGAAGTACTCTGCACTCGCCGAACCACGAGTCCCAGCGCTAAAGTTGTCCACAAACCGCACTGTATTATGCTCCAAGGGGACAGTGGTGCCGCCCGACTGTGAGAAATATATAGATTAGGGATTCGAAGTAGTGGTCAGCTCATTAATGGGGATTTGGGCTGTCGTCAGCGAAAGGGATGGGATTAGCGAGTGCTTACCGTGACGAGCACAATGCGGTTCTGCAGCTTATTGTGTCGCTCGCAGAACTCCTTTAGCAGTGAGCGATTATCCTCGAAGTCTGCGGGCGGCAGATGTGTATTGTAGAAGTCCTCCCAGTGCGTCATGATGTTGTTTTTCTGTCCTGCGGATGATGTTGTCCAAATGCTGTTGCTGGCACGGGCACGAGCTAAGGGAAGAGGAAGCACGCAAGGAAGCACAAAAACAATAGCGTCGGAAAAGATGCCTTGCTTATACCGTTAATTGATATAAGAACGCCCACGCACACACACACACACATACACGTACGCACAGCAGACAGACAAGCACACACGCACTGCTAAAAAGCGAGCGGAAACTTGAACAATCAAAGCGACAACAGCGGCAACAAAATTAAGCCACGCAACTAAATTAATTACAGCACAACGTGTGCTGCATGCGGTGTCTACAGCTACACGGACAGCGCGTCAGAGCTTTCGCACTATTTGGATACAATCTTCACACTGCACACGCTGCTCTGCGCAATGCTGGGGCTGCAGCGACAGCGACGGACAATTTTGTACTGACGGACGTTTTCGTGTCGCTACCGAGAGACTTTCACTTGCTTCTTATCAATGAAACTGTTCGACTAGAGTGCGCATTCGCATTCGCATTCGCATTGGCATTCGCGTTCGTATTCGAACGGCAACATAAACTATGTAAATATATAGAGCGGTCCAGCTTCTCTCGTATCTGCTCGGTTGCTTGAGGACTTGTGCATTCCATGGCACAAATGTTCGAAGCAAGTGCGATAGAACAGCAATAACTTGGCTTGGGCCTTTGTCAGCTGTGCGAGTGAAGAAGAAAACGTCGAACATAACTGCGAATTAACAGTCATACCGATGAGAATAAGAGTTACCTTAGAGTACTTTCAGACTGTGACAAAATGTTGCCCCTGTTGCCGGTTAGTATTATAGTTGCAGCAATATACCTACTTTATGACTAAAGAGCGCGCACTCTATGTTGAGTCGAACAGAGAGTATTGAATGGCAATTTGGGGCAAACACCACCGATGTAGGTACATATATTGAAACACGCGTATCCAAGTTTGACACAGTTTGCCGAAACAAGCACAAGTTCAAAGTGCAAATAGCTAAAAAAACAGCTGTTGCGCGAGTATGTTAAGTGTGGAGCAGTTCTGGCAAAGGAGGAGCAAATATATTTAGCAGGCATTTTCCATTTAAATTCATTTGCAGATGAATTGTGTAATTTTCCTGATAATTTGTAAAATCACCAAGTTTTTCAAAGTAACTTGGCAATCATTGAATAAATATTTTAAAGCATCTGTGTTTACATAGAATCTGCCAACCTAATTTTTCCATTAACATTTCATACAGTATACGCCCTGTAAACCGACTGTTATGTTATTGTCAAACAGGTGACGCACTCACCCACGAAAAATGCAGTATGTTAACGCCAAAGATCATTTATACATGTCGGTAATTTCAAAAATTATTTCTTGAACAAATTTGATTTTGAATTCGTTTAATGCAATTACGGGCACCTTTACAAATTTTTTTTTACAAAATATTTTAGTTGTTGACTCTCAGAATGATGTTAATATAAAAGAGTCTCTAGAACAATATCACAGAATCTTAAAACTAATTGGCATGTCCAACGTCGAGCAGAAAACTTTTAACAGCTCAACGACCCGCATATTCTAAGATGAACTTATTTAACGTGCGATTATGTAGGTGTTAGTCAATTGACAATGCACATGAAACACCCGTCTGGTATACACACAAACAATGGTGTGTGAATGCAGGCGATGTTATCACGTGCACTTTAAAATAAACTTAAGCGTTAATGAATCTCATCCTACACAAAAATTGACACCAGACTACGAACGAGTCGTAGCCGTCGTTGTGGTTGGTGCGTAGGGGCTTAGTGTGTGGGGATATGTCACATGATAGTCCGTGTCGTCAACACCCTCTTCATCCACATCCCGATTAACGAGTCTTTCGCGCATGCCATAACGTTGCCTGCAAAGAAATCATACATTAAACATTTTCCATATATTAATATCCTTGTGTAACGTACTCTAAGTGAGATCTCCATATAACGAGTCCAGCGTATAGACACACTGACACCAGAGCCACTACCACAAGAATAATGCTGAGCAGCATATGGCTTTCGCTAATGGCACCCGACTCCACGTCCACAGGTGTCATCTCAATATTTTCAGCTACGAAAGTATCGGTGTCCGTGTTAAAAATGCCGTGGCCCTTGAAACGCTCCTCCAACTCCTCGCTGCTATCCCGATCCTCATCCTCGTTGTCCCCAGACTCAAGTATTTCCACATCGTATTTATAGTTGCCCGCAAGCACTAAATTCGTTGCCGTGTTTAGCTAAAATGGAAATAATAGAACCGTTAGATACCCTTTTCTAATAAAGCAAGGCATATCAATTTGGGCGTACACATGTCTGTCCATATGTATGTAGGTCGACGTTGGCGCGTGATTAAATTTCGATTTCAACATTTTCAATTGCTGGCCTGCCGTATAATTTATGCTCGATTAGTTTTCACAATTCGACGTCATTGAGTGTGAACAATCTTGGCAACTAATTGTCATTAAATTTCATTAATAAAGTCAAGTGGGCTTTCGATAAGCGCATTACGAGATCAGCCGGCTTAATTTGTATGCGTAAGCATTAGTAAGAAGTAAGAACGTTGCACTCGGCCAAAGCTGATTTCGTATTACTCTATTTGGCGCCAAATATTGATATTTTTTGTTTTGACACGCTCCAATTCAGTTAGAAGGGCAACCTTTATAGTAGTCCGTAGGGTAATGTATACGACTAAATTTAAATAAAATTTCAAAGCCAAGCCAAGATACAATACTCCGATACTCCGCTTTGCCGCGACCCAGAGGGCAAACCAGAAGAGTCTAGAAAGAAGTCTATATTGAAAATTTCGCCCTGGAGAATTTCATACCCTGTCAAATTTCATTTTGCCAAAAGGAATGTGTGTAGAGAACAATAAGCGCTAAACAATTCAACTATGTACGCTAGTTGAGGAAAAGGAATAGACATTCCAAGAATATATTATATAATTACGATTTTTCCTTTCTAAGTGTCGCTAACTCTTGAACTAAAGCAAGCGGCTGATTGCTGCTATTAGAAACACGTTGCACGTTGCAATTTCCCATTCTGATTGTATAATGTATTCCATATTCTAGGCCTTCGACTGACCCAGAGGTTGTAAGTTAAAGCGAACAGATCAGATCAGATCAGGTCTGGTCTGTAATTGAATAAAGTCGACTAGGTGGTTCTCGACAACAAATGCTGTTACGTGACTTGTCATTACTATGTTTTCCAACTCGTGTTTCTCTACATACGCTTAAATTATTCAGTAGCGACAATCATAGCAAAGTATTGTCATAATCCGTAATAAGAGCGCTGGATAATTTCATGGATGGAAAGTGATCTTCTATTTGAACAGCTGAAATCGCGTGTGCCTTAAACTTTAGTTTGTTTTGCTTAGAATGTGGCATTGAGACGTCACAAAAATTACTTAGAACGCGGCTTTGGGTTTGGGTTTTGGGCTTTGAGCTTAGGCTGACTCATAGCCATGACGACAAAGCTTTCTGATCAGGTTGAAGCATTTGGGGTATCCACTTCATTGTCTCGTTCAATTATAACTCAATTTTTATGGAATTTCGTGACTAAGACGCTAAAAACCCTCATCGGCGACTTCTTCAACATTTTTTTAATTTCATGCAAATGGTCGTAACGTGCGTTTGAGCCTTATAAGGCAAGCAGCGCGCGTGTCTTTATTGCGGTTTTTGCATTTAATCAAAGTGAAAATAAATAAAAAATTTCTTTAAAGCGTAAATTTCCGGTTCTGATTTAATAATAAACCGGCAGAGCTGCATAGCCATCATATCATATTACATTTCGGTTGCCCCATGTGTCGCTACGTCAACCAAACAGTTAGTCAGTTAGTCAGTTAGTCAGGCAGCCAGGCATTGAGGCATTGAGCCATTGAGGCTCCTCAGTTCAAGTCGGTCTTTTGTGTTTTCGCTGTCCCAGTTACTCGGGTCTCGTTAGGGATTAGCTTACCTCCTCGCCAGCGCTGACAGCTGTTTTATTTTTGAATGCCTGCCCATTCGAATCACTTAGCTCGGTATCAGTTTTCTTCACTTCGTCCAAGGGCTTGGCATGAGCTGTAAAAAACGCAATTAAGCATAAAAGATCAAGATACAGAAAAAAAAGAATTATTTGGTCATGGCATTTTCCTTGGAAGGCGTTTCTTCCACAGACAGATTATTAAATATTTGCACAAGTTTCGCTACTCTAAAACAATTCGCGCCTATGTTTATTGGTCCAATCAAAATATTTATCTTATCCAGAAACATATTCTGTGCTCTGACTTTTCAGAAAAGGCTGACATAATTTTAGCGGAGCTACTTTTGGGCAAACAAAGAATCGTGCGGAGACGACAAACTCAACCGGCAAGCTTAATGTATACAATGAAACCAGTCTATATATATAGACCATATACATGTATATATATATATATGTTTCTATATACACATATATATGTTAGATGAGACAAGCAATAAACACATTCCTAATGACGAAGGCGCGTTTCAATCTGTTTGGCATGCGAAATGCATAAAACGCGCGTAAATCGCGCCGAAAACGCGTGGAGAAATTAAGGTTCGCGAATAATTCAAGCAAAGGTTGCCCCAAATAAATCGATTTCAGGGCCTTGAATAAATGCTATTTAGTTGCTAATTAAGAATAGAAACGGAAAAACCGCATGAATCAATCGCTTATCATAGGCTACGCATGTCACCCGAATCAGTATCAATATCTTATCAGGTTTATCATGGCAAGTTTATAAGGAAGCAAAAGCTTGCAGACAAAAATGCCTCTAAATATTTGTATATTTTGTATTTTATAAGTGCGACCTTGGTACTAAGTGCTCTTGGCTCTTGGCCATCGATTGTATTGGCATAATAAAAAGCCATATTTATGCGTTGTAAACTGGGCTTGCAAGCTGGACCCGCATCGCAGGTCCGTTAACGTTTAAGGCAAAGGGTAGCCGCGTATCTGCCTCTGGCTAGCCTTCCAGCTGCATCGGAAACTAGTTTCCAGATAATGTATGAGTGGCAAAGTAAATACTGAGACGCTGTGTGGATATTTTAAGTGTGCCTTGGCTATCCGTCTATCTGACTATGCCTTTGTGTGTGTGTACTTACAGAAACCCGTCGTCAGAAGCGCCAAAAGCAAGAGACTGCAGAATGTCAAACCGTTGCTGACACGCATTTTCGTTTGATTTGTCTGATAACTTCTTTTTTATCAATTGTTAATTAATTCGCTTATCACTCGGTCGTAAATTAAATAATATTCAGTCAGGTGCGTCAGCTATATATTGGCCTGGTGAGTAAGCTTTGGGATTTAGCAGTCAATTACTTAAACATAAAACACTTCGATCATCAGCCACCTTCAAGCTTGGAAAGTTTTAACGCGTGCGATCGCGACGATTTCCGTTTGAAGACTGAGCGAGCGCAGACTGCCCATTTCATAGCTCTGCATTATACGAGCTTTTGAGAACGGAAAATTAGAGAGAGCTTACGTCAAGTTCAAGTTAAATGAACAAAGCATAAGACAAAAAGTAGTTATTTTGTGTTTATAAACCTGTTCACAAGCGTTGCCACATGTGTTTGAAAATTTATCAATTTACTGGTAATTTTTTATTACTATACTTGTAATTTATTATACGAAATTATTTGATTTTTTTTTTAAATTTATGTCTAAGCATTTTTAGAATTGAACTTTTGTCGACATTACTAAAAAACGAATGGTACTTTTTTATACTTACATGATATATTTCCTTTCAGAACTCCGATTTGAAATAAATTATTATATTTAAAGGCTTTTGCATTTTTTATTAAATTTTCTACACTTTGAAAATGTGTAGCATGGATTTTACAAATAATAAATGTGGTAATTGATGAATGTGGCGCTTTAGTTTCAGCTATTCATTACAGTGAATTTTTGTCTATGTAAAGATGTGTACATAGGCTGGCCTTAAAAGTATTAACAAACTTCCTATACTCAACAATTTAACTTAAGAATTACTAATTGCTTGCACTTTTAGCTTCAACATTTAAATTTGGGCCAAACACTTGCGGGCTCCGAGCGCCGCCGGCCACACCGCACTCTGAGCACCCAAGTTCACAGTTTAATATACAGCTTACAAGATAGGATAAAATATACAACATATATAGCGCCATGAATGGGCGGTCAGGGTGTAGCGTAGCCGACGATGACCGTAGTCCGTGAAAGCCGCGGCAAATGCAGAGCCGAGCCAGCAATCTACTGCATCACAGATAAGCTAGGAAACTGACCAGCAGCTCCGGCTCGGCCGAGCAGATGCGCGCGACTAACAGTTGGCAAAAAGCTTCGAAGTAGTAGAAGTATAAAAGCGAAACTTTTGCACACATTTGGAAATAAAAAACCAACTGCTACGATATTGTAGAAGTGTTTGTCGTTTGTGTGTGTAGTGTCTGGGATGATGAGAAACTTAAACTGCTTACAGGTAAATTGAGTGCAGCACGTTTAAACAAATTGCTCCTGACTATTGGCCGACAGCTCCATCAGTCGCCAGGCAGCTTTGGGATTGAGTTCATTTCTATCACGGCATAGCACCCAAACGTAATGAACACGCATTACCTTGTCCGGATTACCTTCGACAACCTGAGCCTTCTGATCACGTACACACATGATCTGTTGAGCCTGGAACGTAATAATGAGCACGGGACCCTGTTCCATGACTTTACCCATTGCTAACTCAATGTTTTCAATGTCGAGGATCTTGGAGTCCAGATATAGGCCAGCCTTTTTCGCTTGCGTTATGGGCGTTGCAATTATGTTGTACGTGCTCTCGAAGCACCAGTCCTTCAGAATTTCCAGATCCCCTCGTACTATGGCTTCGAGAACATTGGGAATAATGTCCTTTTCGCAATCATACAAAAACTGCTTTTGATCAAAGTTCGGATCGATCTTGACTAGTTCGGTCATCGTCTCAGACAGCTCAGTTTTCGAAAACAGACCGCCCATTACATCGGAAACCTTGTCGGTGAGCAGACGGGAGGCTCGAATGACAGGATTTTCCGATTCGTCGTACTTTACTTTCCAATCTAGTACTTTATTCACATACGTATTGTTGTTCTTGAAATTCTCCCAAGACTGGTAGAATTTGGAGTCCTTGTGAAGTTCCAAACCTGCAAAATATATCATTTTTGTTACGCTTAGAAAAGCAAACTAACTTCAATTTTGGCTTACCTAATGCTTCCGTATTTGCCTCCACAACCCTCGAGCTATCAGACAAATCAACCTGTATGCGTTTTCGCAGGGTAACGGGCGAGCAATAAACGCGATTTTCAATGCTCGTCTCATTCATTTCCTTTTTTATTAATTTCGTTGTATCGGAAATGGCTTGGAAAGCACCGGACTGACCCAATTTGCCGCTTGTATCTGTAATGGTATCGCTGACGCCCTTCGCCGTTTTGGAGATCTCCTCAGAAACTTTTTTGGCCAAATCCGATTTGGAGGCATCGTCGATAACATCGCCAACCTTTTCCTTGATGGCACCCAATTGTTCTTTCAGTATGCTGGAAGACTTTTGCGCTTCCGATTCAACAATGTTGAATTTTTGCCGCGCCGATTTTAGCGCATCTGATTGTTCCAATTTCTGCGCCTCTTCACGAAACTTTTTTATGCTATCTTTCATCTCTTTGTTCTTGTCCATTTCACTCCGTACATTATCAATAAATTGCGAAAAGAATCCTGGCCGACGTCCAGGTGTGCTATATAGGCGTTGCTATCAGTCGAACAAACAATAAAATATATTAGATTTTGTGTCTTTAAACAGAATGAGATTTTTTGATACTTACCGGTTGTTGTTGCAGGTTGTAACTCGCCAAATGATACGTAATGAAGCAGGCGCGCTCGCGCGCTAAGGCAGCCAATTTATACTGAAACGAGAAAGCGGGTTTATAAATTAGATAGATGGGGGCTACAACCGGGCCAAATTTAACCTCGAAACTGTCACATGTGTTTACCAATTCTATTAGTGACATATACTACCTATAATGTATGAACCTACCATTGCGACAGGTATTGCTGCTGCGTGGAGTTTTTCCAGACTTTCGCTATGTAAGGAATGATTGGGCAACTCACGACAATGTCACCAAATTTATGTAATTCGGACCATGAAACACGCACGTCTAAGAATCTGAGTATCAGCTGTTTTGAGCGTGCAGTGTTGGATAATAATGATTACAGTGCTGTGGAACGAATGTGGTCGCTTTTGGAATTCGAATTGGTTGATTCAATGGGATGATGGTGTTTGATGTTGTTGATGGTGCAGCAATCGTAATTATTGAATGATGGCGGGTGATTGTCGCCACGACTAGAGATGAATTGTATATGACTTGATTTGTATATCTTGGTTGCTCTGTTTTAGTATTTTGTCAATTCCCTTTTCAACTTTTTTTTTAGACCATGTGGCAACTCTGAGAGCGCATTACGCCGTTTCAAACCGTTATTCGGCCGAGCTTAGCTATCTACACTCACTTATATATTTGATTTTGTAGATGACGCCAGTTGCCGATCTTTTGGTTTGGATATATCTATTGCATTTTCATGCCAGTTTTAAACAGTGAACTTAAGTTAAATCATAATTAAATATTAAAGAAGTAGCGCGTAAATATACTTCATGAAAGAATAAACAATTTAGCTTAATTTTATGTGTGAAAAAATTGGTGAAAATCAAAAAGGGCAATAACGGCACTTTGTTAATTCTACATTCCCATACACATAGCTTTTGGCATTTATCATGTTTCGTAGCGGCAGTAGTCTGGAAAGCAATATACCAATGGTAAATGGACGCCATTGTATGCTATAGGTTGCTTTTGATTAACATAAATGTATTTGTATTTATTCGGTAGGACAATATATCACCCTTCCACGGTATTGGAGGTTTCAATATGTACTTGGATACGGCTTCCCACAACATTTCGCCACCTGTGTCGTCGGCAGCTTTGAGTCCTCCTACGACACCATTGACACCGGAACCTACGATGTCCCCGACTCAGTTTCCTTTACTGACGGACAGCAGCGAAGTAAATATGAACGCCTCTGCTGCCAGTACACTATTCCTGCAGCGCCAGTATCATTATCACCTGTTGCAACAGCAGCAGCAGCAATTGGCTTTGGCGCAGCACCAATTGGCATTAGCTGCGTCTGCGGCTGCTGCGAATCATCAGCAAAAGGACGAAATAGCACATTCATTAAAAATGTTTGTGCTTGTGACTGCCTGCAATGCAGGTAAGTGCGAGTGGGATAGATACGTAGGCAACGGTACAGTCACTGTCATTGAACCAAAGCATTTTTTAACGGTAATAACGGGATGTACTTATTGCTGTTGCTTACTTGTAAGAGTATAGAGGCAGTAAAAAAATGGCGCTAATTAATGTTACTCCTCTATACAGATAAAAATAATGGATCTACACAAGATGCGATGCAGGAGTTTGCAGCCAATGGATATGTGAGCGATGAGTTCAATTGTTTTCAGTATAATAATCAAAGCTCCGCCACTCCGCAACCGTCACCTTTGCCTAGACAATATCCATCTTGCAACTCAACGGCTTCGGCGACGTCTGCGGCATCTTTTGTGCCGCCCTCATCAGCAGCTCCCAATTGGGTTAATTTTAACAATTATCGGGAGCAGCTCAACAATGTGTGGCGGAGCATGTCCTACGTGCCAAATTTGGCAACCACCGCAGGACTTGCTATGACCACCCAAAAGAACATTAATATTGGATTGCCTATGCCCCCGGATCATGTACGCAATATCAGCAATGTGAATGTGGCGAATAACAAACTGCACAAGCGCTATAATAATGGCAAGACCAAGGCATTGGTTAGTGGATGAATTTCTCTGCTGCTTGTTCCCAGTTCTGAATAATATTTTTGTATTTGAAACTCGACAGGTGACCAAGCACTGTGTTTTCTGTGAAAACAACAATGAACCCGAAGCTGTTGTCAACAGCCATTCAGTGCGTGATACGTACGGACGGGTGCTGTGTCCCAAGCTACGCACCTATGTGTGCCCCATTTGTGGAGCATCCGGCGACTCGGCGCACACCATTAAGTATTGTCCTAAGAAGCCCATTGTCACAATGGAGGATGCCATTAAGGCAGAATCATTTCGACTTGCCAAAAGCAACTACTATAAGCAACAAATGAAGGTTTAATTGTGGGAGAAGCTCTGGTAGTTTTTCAAACGTGTATATAATCTCTATATATACGTGATCCACATTGAAATGCTCAAAGATGAGCGATAGTTTAATGCGCCTGGCGCGTTCGTTTTCATTATATTTTTTTTAAACATTTCGGTCAGTTTAGTGTGTTATCATTAACAAAACACACATTCAAACTTCAAAATATGTTTGTTCATAAATTCAATAATTTAAAAATACTTACGATATCGTAATATTTGTAAAATCGTAGCGGCCGATACAAATGTCTAAACACTGGCTTATTGATTTGTGCCAGCATTTTTGTTTACGCTAACGAAACTTAGCGATCAGATAATCTGCAATATTGATCAGATATAAATCTTAATCTATTATTTTTGGATTGAAAGACTTTGAATTTCGAACTGCCAATCGTGATAGAGTTTAATTTGAATGCTAAAGAAAAAAAAACAATGAATATTTTCGATGGCAGACTTTTCACAGTACAAGTTTTTAAATTTTGACATAGAAAAAGTTTATTAACACAATTTTTATTATATGTTTCATATCTATTCTTTTTTTTTATGTATCAACGCTCATTACCAATATATATATCTTATATATTTTTTAATATGATGCTATCTTCAAAACGTATAAATCATGATTTATGTTATATAAAAGTATATTTTTTTAAGTTTTCTTTTTATATAAAAATGCAAAGAATTAATTAAGTATAAAAGTTTATTTGCATTGAAGTCGAAACTAACCACAAAAAGAGTCAAATAAAGACATTCTTTAACTATGCTTTTTTTCAATTGACTTATTCATTGTCATTATCCTGACGTTTTTCGAACATCGCCAAAAAGATTCCATCGGTAAGATCCTGATCAGGCAGACAATACAAACAATTCTTGCCAACTTTAACATATTCCTTGTCGCCCACGTTCTGCCATTTATTCCGCAGGGCTTTTTTGCAACTAAGAAGCTTGAATGAAGGATTCAACTCGAGACAACGCTGAACTACTTGTTCATTCTCCTCCTTCCAAAGAGAGCAAGTGCAGTAGACAATACGTTTGACATTTGGAAACGAGCTCATGGCATGGGACAAAATCTTAATCTGTAGCCCAGCCAGTTTATATAGACGTTTGTCGTCCTTCTGTTCGTCACAGACGCTGATGCGACTTTGCATACCATTACCTGAGCAACTGGGATCTACTAAAATATACTCGACGTCTGGGCATTTTGTTCCATCTAAGAAAAAAAATACTTTATGAAGAATGTGAACTATTCGTAGTTTTCTATTACTGACCTATAGTAAGTGTATCGCCCAATATGGGGGTGACTATCTGACAGCCTGCCTCATTCGTAATATCACACAAGGCTCTGTAGCGATCTTTGGATTGCTCCACGGCATAAATGCGTCCTTGGTTATGCATAACATTGCAAATATGCAGTGTTTTCATGCCTGGAGCTGCGCACATATCTAGTACAGTTGACCCAACTGGAGGGGCTAGCAGCTCGGCAGCTAAGCATGTGGCCTTGTTTTGCAATATGAACTTTTTGGTACGGACATATTCATGGGAGGCCCAGTAATGATTCCATTTGGAATGGAATATCAGCACCCCTTCGACATGTATGTCCATCAAAAACTCGTCCTCCTCTAGTGCTCGAATGGCTACCAAAAAATCAGCATATGTTACGTCGGCGGCCAATTGTTTACGACGCCACTCCTCGCCATACAAGTACTCCAGGGCATCGGCAATACTGAGCAGATTCGTATTGATGCGTACATAGCGTGGATTGGGCTCTGTGTATTTAAGTAAAGAAAAGCATTGAAAACCGTTACAAAAACTGTTTTTATTACGTCTGACGTGATACTATATTACTGATCCTTCTTATTATCGACATCTTCAATGGACAATGAAGGCGGATCCTTCTCACGGACCGCCTTCAACACATACATAATTACAATTACATTGACCACCAGCACGGCTGTCAGTACAGAGTAGCAATTCACCTCAAATGTGCTCAGTTCGGGAAAGGATTCATCTAGCCAGCTGCGCACACCATAGAAGCCAAGGAAAGGCAGTGTAAACATTAGCACGCTGTATGCTGTTAGCCATAGAAACACCTCTAAACTATTGTCCGCACCTTCTGCCTTAGGCACAATTTCAAGATCCGACTTTTCTGGTTGCACAGCTGAACTCACTTGTACAACAAGTGGCGATTGCTTTTTCGATTTTTTGCCCATTGCTTTTTGTTAACCAGCAGATACCTGCACTTAATACTGTTTGGTTTACAGCTACGTCTATATAAGAGCACCTGCCTTTCTTCTGGTTTTCTGATCCGCTAATTGCCTGTTCCAACCGTTCTTTGAACGAGCGTACTGTTTGCACCGGCCTGCTTTCCCCGTTAAGTTGTCCGCGTCCGAAAATTAGCTCCGTAACTAGCACTTTCGCTAGTGCTGAGTCCAACTTAGGATTTTCTTTCAGCAGACCAGTCTCTTCAATAGCGTTGTCAATAGCTCCTCTGTTGTCGCTGTAATGTCTTAGCACCGCTTGCAGACTTCGTACGCGCTGTTAATATGAAAATATACGGTAGTTCTCATTAGCTCCCTGTAAATTGAACTATATTTCATATTGCTAACCGCATGCTTTTCTTCAAATATTAAAGATTTAACTGATTTTTGTTTCTCAATTGCAGTTTTTAATATTTTGGCCGTTGCCTTATATTGGGTGGGCACTTTTATTGAATGTGTAAATTGGCTCATGATGTATCACGTGTATAATTGTATCGAACCATAAGAATAAGTTCGCGTGAACAACATATCAAACTGAACCAACGAACTGGCCTGTCGTTCATTTAGTTCACTGTTATGCATTCTGTTACTGGTAACACCGCGCGCTTTTCGTTTTAATACAAATCATATGTTATGACCTTTTTAATACATTTCAAATTAAAAAATATTTTGTGTTATCATTAAAAAGTTTATGGCAGCTGCTGGCTTAACAGACAACTTTAAGTCACTCTTCATGCTTAACATATCTAATGTGCAAATATTACTTATCTTTCAAATAACAGTGGAATAACAGCTTCGATAACTAACGATGATATGTAATTCGATTCGATTCGATTTAGCTGTAAACAATTCTCCGTATGTCCGTTTAAACTAATCACTTAGTAATTTTGAAGGAAACATATAAAACCCATGCCCCATATGTTAATAAAGTAAATTAAGTAAAAAAGTCATGGTTTCATGGTTTAAAGTATATGTTAATAAGATTTATTTCATAGACAACGACTAAAATGCATTTTAAACATAGATTATAGCTTAGCTAATTGTGTATGTAAAATTGTTGTGTTTTATTAAAATTAAGAGCATCATAATATTTAAACACATATCAAGAGGTGACTACATCTAATACGGGATTTGTTATGGTATATGGTTATGAATACAAATTCAATTGCTAACTGCTTGCAGTTGTAAACGCTTATCTAATCAATGAATTAAACTATTGCGCACCTGTGTTGCCAACTCTGTCTCTCCTTCTCTATCTCTCTGTCTACGTGCTATTATCGTTTATGTTGGGCTTGAGCAAGTGCAACTTGGTCGAAATGGGCCGCAATGACGATGTTAGTAATGGCGATGAATGTGAATGAAGAGTGCTGTCGGTGCTGCTGCTACTTAGACGTCCTGGGCTCGTATAATCCGTAACTGGTCGAACACCTGCCTGAGTAGTTGAGAGGAAGTCTTCTGGCAGATCGCCACGATAAGCGCCAAACTGTGGAGTGGTACGTATTAGCTTCTCTAATGGGGTTAGCCCGTAATGGGTGTGACGCGAGTGTCCACTGTCGCGTGCGTCCAGTTTTGGTGGCAGCACCAATGTGGCATCCACCACAGATTTCCCATCAAAGGTGTAAACGGCACCGCTGGGAATTCCAGCTTGTGGTATTTTCCGATTATCGGGTGGCAAGTAGTAAGTATCTATGCGTTCGGCTGCTTCTGCTATCTTTTCGTCGGGTTCCATTTGCAGGTCGTCAGCTAAAGAGTCCTGCATATGGTGTTCTTCTTCCGCTGATGGCTCGAATAGGCTACCTACGTCATCATAGTCCAGATCTTCACCGGCGCCGATGGCTGTTTCTGAGGAACCTTGTTTTTTTTCAATTATAGTTGGCTTATTTGTTGAAGTCGGCCGTTTATCCTGTCCCACTGCTTCACTTTGAACATCATCTTCTTCGCCTTCAAGAAACAGTTCCTCAAGCGATGGCTTTCTAAGCTCAGCTGCCTCTGGCAGTGCATGTTTGATTGCGACTGAAGGCAATCTTAGCGGAGATGGGGACTCTGGCAACGGGTCGACGACTTCCTCCTTAGTACTCAATGCTAGCATTGTTGCATTGGTGCTGTCCAAGGGAGATGGAATAAACATGGGCTCAAAGCTCTGGGTCTCACTGCCACTTTGCTGTGCGGTTAGGAAAAGCGTATCTGTTTCCATTACTTCGTCAATTTCAGAGCCAGGATCCTCGCGTCTGTGAGCTACCTGATCAATTAACTCAGGTGGTAGTTGTACGCCGGTGCCATCATTACGCACAATTGGACGGAAGCCGCTCTCAACAACAACGGAATCAGGCTTAAATCCTTGATTTATTGCCGGACGCATGCTGGCAATTTGTTGAGGCGATGGTTCTTCCGGCACCGGACGTTTGATTATTGGTATAGTCGTCGTTGTAGTGGTGCTTAAAACTGGTTTCTCCACATTCGTGTTTGACTTAAAATAGGAAGTGGCCTTGAGTGATGCCTGAGGCTCTAGGTCTACATACGGCACGGGTAACGGGATAACGGGCTTCGACTTGATTTTGGCGCGCTCTGCGGCATCAGTTTTTCTTTGTCCAATGCCGTTAAGCTCCGTTGGTTGACCCAATAGCAATACCGAAGCTGCTATCGGCTGTATGGGAAAGAGTTTTTCCTTAAGGAAGGGCTTCAACAGGCTGGGCACAGGCTTCCGATAGTGGTTAACAATCAACGATGACTGTGGCAGTAGTCCACCAGGTGGCGGATGCTGTTGCGGCAACACTGGCCTAGAGGCAGGCACCTTCTTGATGGGGCCGGGAAAGGGTCGACGTCCGGGCAACTTGACAGGATGGAAAAGCGGAGCATTTTGTGGTGGACGTAGATATTCGGATAAGCTAATTGTTTTTTGCGCCAAAGCTGGAAGATTACTAGTTAGATTATGATGCAGTTGCAGTGCAGTATGAGCGTGATAATGGTGTGGATGAGGGAATGGGTAGTGTGTGTGGTGCAGATGCGGATATTGTAAACGCTGATGCAAATGAGAGTTAACAATGACAGGCGATTGCGGTGCTGCGAAAATGGGAAGTTTCGAATGAGCCGATGCAGTGGATGAGGATGATGGTTTCAATGAATGAGTTTCGCCATGCAAAATCTCGGGTCTGGCTGGAGCCAGCAATGGTTTCGATGGTATTCTAGAGCCAATATTATCGTTGTTGTTGTTGCTGATGTTGTTATCTCTTAAGTGTGTCGGTGGTGCGGAGATGATCGATTGGTTCCTCAGTAGGCTCTCCTCGAGAGCCTCAGCAGCGCGGATCCCATCTGAAATCAGTTTGGTTATTTCCGAAGATTTCGTTATTTCAAAACTCAGTTTAGGCGGTGTTCCATTCATATTGTGATTCTTAATCAAATCGGTTTGGTGCTTCAATAAAAAATTATCGTTGGGGCTGACCTTTGTTTCGTGACGAATCGATGACTCGGCAGCATAGTCTTCCCGGACGGGTGCCGGCTGCCGTAACTCGTGCCGCTCTGAGGCGGCGCCTATACCATCACCATCGCATGAGTCATGCACGTGAATCTTCCAACCCAGATACCGATGCGTAAAGCAGTGATAGTAAACGGTGTCCGGCGTATTCCTATCCGGCTTCCAGCTGATCACTCCCGGTTCGCCGGCATCGCATTTAAGTGTCAACGTGCGCTGGTACGCTCCGAAACTCTGATAATCATCCGCTGGGGGTCCATCAACATCGGGTGTCCAATTGCACAAACGTCCCACGCCAGTGGGCGTAACCTGGCCGGATCTGGATCGGTGCACACCAGCAAAGATGCGTACGGCCTGGAACACAGCAGGTAATGTGAAGCGAACTATAATTGTTTTATTGCTTTTACCTTCTTTTCTTCCTCACGCTTGTGCTCAAAGCCGCCCACGGGGTCATCGCTAATGTAGAAGGGATGATACTTGGCGGGTATGTCCGGATTGTTGCCGCCCTCCACAACAAAGGTGTAGGTCTTTCCTCTTACCACATGAATCTCGGGAATCAGCAAACCGTTAATGTACCAGGAGATACCCCAGCCCACGTGACCTATAAAAACAGAAAGCAATGTTAGCTAAAAGAAAGCAATCTGTGTCTTCAGCAATAATCACCGGTTATAGCAGGATAACCATGCTTGCCACCTGTCGGACCCATTTGGGCATAGAAGACACCATCCTCTGGCTCGTGGCATTGTATTTCTGGTATATCCCAGGCACCGTTACTGTTCACCGGCCTGGGCGTAGGTACAGGACGACGTTGCGTGGATAGCGTCTCTTGGCGCCTCTGTGGTGCCTGAGCCGTTGTACGTTTTAGGGCTTGTGGGCTATTGTCGTAGAACTCCTCATCAGGTTCAATATTGGGACGACCAGCAGGCGGATAGCCTGCTCCGCCAGTGGAGCTAATTTGAGTAACTTCTTCCTCTTGCTCGGCTGAGCTGCTGCTGCTCCCTGGCTTGGCGCCCTCCGGCAGGGGGCAATTCCATTTGGGCTGGCGCCCAAACTCAATCTGATGCAAATGCTTATTATAATAGGTATGGAAAGAGACCTCCCTGAAATCATTTAAGGGCCCAATAGCCCACACAACAGACTCCGCATCGTTCACTGATATCGGCAAGTCCAAACGATCTGTGGCAGATAACGAGCGCTGATAAGTGACAATTGAGTAGCCATTCACCATGGCCGCATTAAGCAGCCGGATGGAGTTGGTGTTGGATTGTATCTTAATGTCCGGACATGCGCCACGACCACCTGAGCACTGAGCCTTGCCTTCCAGGAAATAATCCTGTGCAAAGCCGTTGCCAGTTTCGGGATCCACCCACGCCACAGCGGCATCTGCTCCAATCATCTGGCTTATGTTCTTGTTCGGTGAGATGCCAAAGGACATGTAATAGTTCGGTTCTGCGAAGAATTGAAAATGGTAGTATCTGTCTCAGAAATGCAATGCTATTGGGATCGCAATCAACGAAAGTTGCTCGCCCCATTTCTGGAGGCCAACACAACATGTTCCTAAATGGGTGCCTAACCAAGCAGCAACCGGTTTTCAGATACCAGGTGAAAATTCCCAGTTGGCATTCTTAGCGGTTCCAAACAGCCACTGCCACACGCCAGACTCAAGACCAGTAGCATCATAACAACGCAGCATCCAACGCGTGCCACTAAAGAAATGTTCAATCATAGATGGCCATGCACCACGAGTGTGTGTGCCGAGTGCCGAGTGCTGAGTGCTGAATGCTAAATGTGAAATGCAGATGCGCGCCATCGGTAACGGCAGCATCCACTTTGGCATGGCTATTAATTGCCCCATGCTTCAAGCTCCATGCGCTGTTCTCTGTGCTCTGTGCGCTGTGCGTTGGTTGCGCAATAAACCAGTCGTCATATTTTGCAACTTGTTATTCTACTAACGATGCTGCCGCTGATCGGTCAATTTGACTGCTAACTGGAATTTTGTTGTTGTGTCGCCTTCAAAGTGCGCAAGCGTGAAGACTCCTTTACTCACTATGCTCAGCGAAATGTCAAAGCATCATAAATCGAATCAAAGTTTAGCTGCTCTCAATTTATTTTCAGGGCTTGATTCATTGATTCTTAATTGAAACCTGATTCCATTCAATCTTCAGGCGAGTTGTATTGAGAGTTAAATGGTAATGCATGGAATATGGTTTTTTTAATGTACTAGAACTTGGCTTTGTATACCTGATAATAGTTATTTGGAATGATCTAAATGATTCCCATAGGATTTTACCCTATTTTTTAATGAAAGCAACTAAGTTTTGGTATCGAAATATAAATTATCAATGCTCATATCTTTTGTGTAAAAAGTCTAGAAAAGGTCTGGAAATCGTGGAAATGTTTTTCGTATTTCTAACCAAACTGCACTTATATATGCTATATAAATCATGTGCCGATGATTCGTTAAATCCTGCCTTTTTTAGAAAACAGGACTTATTCAGAGCAATCAAGATTAGTTTGCATAGAAGTTTTGCACTAGATATAAGTGTTTTCAGTGAGGTCTTCATTACCTCATGTATAACATATAAAGCGTTTCATATAAGGTTTCATGGTTTTATGGCTTAGTAATATATTATATATAATACTGAGTACTAAATAAGGAAGTCGTAAAACTGGTGTGAGTTCCTTTTTGTTGAATTCTTTCAAATTTATAAATATAAAAGTAGCTAAAAAATAGTTTTACAATGAAGATGTGTCGTATGTGCCCACAATCATATAGCCGCAACGAAATGAAATGAGATATCAGGTTTAATTAGCATGATCATGCGAAGCGCGAACTTTATGTAGACAGCTTACTCTAATTTGTTTAGCTGCATATTAGACTCTTTAGAGCAGTAAATTCGCCAATCAAATTGAATTTGTCTGTCGCTTCGCTAATGCCGTAATTGAAACAGTTTACAAAGTGATAAACATTAAATTGCTTTGGCATTTGGCATTTCGGGCGAGTGTCAAGTTCGCGGGTAAAGAAAGACCAGAAAATGTTTCCGCATTTAGCTCGGCGCTAGCGACTTACCCAACTTGGCGACCAGCTGCACAACGATGCTCTCACCGGCCACGGCCCAGCGTACTTCGAAGGCCAGATCATCGTAGAGCACCTCGCAGTTGAGCTTCGACTGGAAGAGAATTAGTTTTGCTTTTGTATTGCAGATAGGCATTGGAATTGGAGCATAATGAAATGAGTGCACGTGTGGAATGAGTGAGTATTGGGGATTAACTGATTTAGGCTCAGGTTGGGATTAGGAGATGAATGAATAGTCAGCGCGTGTCAAAGGTAAATTTTGTATCAAATTATCGGTCTTTTTTTTTTTTTTTGATTTTGTTGTGTTTAAAAATTTTGCTTTTCGTTTTATAGGAATCAATCACAATTTGAATTCTGATTAAAACGTTTAATGAAGCTTATACAAAATGAAAATGTTTGTAGTTGGGTAAGAGGCTGACGGAAGGAACGAATACGAAGAGAGTTAAATTAGTATGGCTCAGGGGTTTGACGCATGTAGATTGTATCTTGTGTGTGTGTTTGCATGTGTGTGTGTGTGTGTTGCTGTTGCGTGTTTTGGAAGTGTGGATGGGACTAAGGACTAAGTGGAAGGGGATAAATGTTGGGTAGACCCCAAAGAGAGTATTGCACACATTTCATTTTGTATAGGGCTCAATTCAAAAATACAAAGCAAAAGTTTTTCAACTCAACAAAACACAGAAGACGACCAATGTTTTAATTGTATATAAAAATGTGCTGCACATATATATTTGTATACATTAAATTCGTGAATTCATTCAAATAGTTGTTTATAAAAAATGCACACTCTTAGAGTCTAGTAATTTCAAAAGCAACTCGATTGTTATTGTTAAATAGATTTTGCATATCAAAATAAATACGAATATTAAATTTTAAATAAGTTCCACGCACACCTCAAATGCTTGGCGAGTGCCTAGGGCCATCAGGGCTGCAGCTCGCTTAGTATTTGATTTAAGGGCTTCTTTACCTGTGGACTGATGCCCAGCATTTTGAGCGAGGGCGGCACATTGAGGCCCTCCGGCAGGCGGACATGGCCGAAGTCAACGGTGAACGCCTCACACCAGACGCCAAAGTGTCCAATATCGAAGATGGTCAGATCTTCGGGCAGCGTCAATACGATTGTCTTTCGGTCGTAGCGACGCAATGGATTCTCTTTGCCATTCTCATCGGGTATACGTAGACCATCGGACGTGGGCCGTTGACCACGACCCACCCAGAATTTGGCGTCTGTAAAATTGAAATCGAGTGCCAACGCTGCAGTTCGCCCTTCATTAAGCCATGATTGCTGTCATTCACTCACCTGGCGCCTCGCCGTCGTAGCTAAAGTTGGGCACTAGCAGCGTCTGGGCATCCACAATGACAATGTTATCGGAGGAAACGCCGTGAACACCTCTCAGTGCGCCAATCTTTTGCGGACGGGGAAAATCTAACGTGTTCGGAATGGCGACATCGCCGAAGTTCACAGCAAACTCATCGCACCACACAGAAAACCATTTCACATCCCGAAGCGTCTTGCCCTCCGGCAGGGATAGCGTAATGTCCTTGTTGCGATAGCGGCGCGTCAGCGCGGTGTTGCCTCCACGCTCGTCCCTAAGGCGAGCGGCACCCTCGTTGCTGGGCCGGGCGGTGTTGCCCACATAGAAGTAGGCTGCGGGCGCTTCGCCGTCATAGTTGAATTTCTTGATGAAAATCGTACGGGAATCTACGGCATAGACGTCACCGGAAACGCCATGATGCAGTCGTGTCAGCGAGCCGATCTTTGTGCCGTAATATGGGTAGGCGGCATCACAACAGTGCTGCAGTGCTATTTTATAATTTAATTTTTTTAGCGAGAAAACAAAAACAAAGAGCAAAGCCGCAAATGTTAGGCAAACCAAAACAAA